AAGAGGCAGAGAAAGAGGCAGAGAAAGAGGCAGAGCAAGAGGCAGAGAAAGAGGCTCCACGTGCAGTGCCGAACAAGAGACTACAACACATTGCTACTCCTCTCATCGAGAGCATCTCGTCATACAAGTACGCCTCAGCGTTTCTACACCCTGTTAACGAGTCCAGTGCACCCAACTATTACTCTCTAATCAAGAAACCAAGGGATCTGAAGACCATCAAACAGATGGTCAAGGACGGACGTATACAGACCAATCTTGAGCTGGAGAGGGAGATCTTGCTGATGTTTGCCAATGCCATCATGTACAACAAGACCGGGACGGATATCTATGAGTGGACCAAGGAGATGCAGCCGGAAGTTGACAAGCTCATCGAGCTGTTTAACGAGAGTAAATAGGTTACAGGCTAGAGATCAAAAGAAGAATAGAAACAGCTCGATAAAACGGTATTGTAAGTGGTATGTACAAAGGGGTGTGTCTTGCTCAACGTCTTTGCATCTGCTGAGTCAAAGCAGCGTTCTGCTCTTGGAATCTAAGACCGACTCTTTCCGAATGCTTGAGGAACTTTTCAGAGCACTTCAACACACACGATTCCTCCTTTGATGATAGCTTTTCAGAGGTGAAGTCGTTGACACAGTCGCTGAAACAACGCTCAACGAGGTTGGAATAAAGACGCATAAAGTCCTTCATCTGCTTCTGCTCAACAAGCTGCTGGAACTGCTGCTGCTCTTTTGGGTTCAATTGGTCCATCCTTGCTACTTTTCCACCTGGTTTCGATTCCGATTCTGATAGAGAAGCCCAGCTATGAATGGAAGAAATTTTTCACTTTTGTATGTCCTTTTTTTCACGCTTCGTTGCTTCGGACAAAAAAATAGTGGAGGCACTCGGTGGAGGGAAGCTATCCTCGAGATGAAAAATTTCAAGCTCATCTCATCGTTCAAGGGGAACAGCAAGCTGAGGCTTCTGAAGACGTTGAGGAAAATGGTCACCACGTTATCGTACACAGAGAGGGCATCACAGCACCCTTCGCCACTTGCTAAGCGTCTGTTTGCGCTTATGGAGTCCAAGAAGACGAACCTGTGTGCCAGTGTCGATGTTCGTACCACAGAGGAGTTGCTCAAGCTCGTTGATACGCTTGGTCCTTATATCTGTCTGTTGAAGACGCATATTGATATCATTGATGACTTCTCTATGGAGTCTACTGTGGCTCCACTGTTGGAGCTTTCAAAGAAGCACAATTTCCTCATCTTTGAGGACCGTAAGTTTGCTGATATCGGCAACACCGTCAAGGCACAGTACGCCGGTGGTGCGTTCAAGATTGCACAATGGGCAGATATCACCAACGCCCACGGTGTCACCGGTGCAGGTATCGTCAAGGGGTTGAAGGAGGCTGCACAGGAAACCACGGATGAGCCAAGAGGGCTGTTGATGCTTGCGGAGCTGAGCTCCAAGGGCTCCTTGGCTCACGGGACATATACCGAGGAGACCGTGGAGATTGCCAAAACTGATAAGGACTTCTGTATTGGATTCATCGCACAGAGAGACATGGGTGGCAGAGAAGATGGGTTCGACTGGATCATCATGACACCAGGCGTGGGACTCGACGATAAGGGCGACTCCCTGGGCCAACAGTACAGAACTGTCGATGAGGTTGTCAGTGGTGGCTCTGACATCATCATCGTTGGTAGAGGCTTGTTTGGAAAGGGAAGAGATCCAACAGTGGAAGGTGAGCGTTATAGAAAAGCAGGCTGGGATGCTTATCTCAAGAGATGCTCAGCTCAATAAGCGTTGAGCTCTGGCTTGTATAGGTTCACTTGTATAAAATGTTCATTACTGTTTTCGGAAGTTGTAGATTGCCATTTTTGCGCAAATTGACGCCAGTCTTTTTTTGCGCCAAATGTCAGTTTTTTTGCGCCAAAATTTACTTCATCTTATACAACTGCAAAAACCATCCAATCCAATCCAGAAAGGACTGATCAATGGTGGTGATTGACTCAAGTTCTGATGCTACACAACAGACAGAGCTCTCTACAAAGAATTCCAGGCTTGTTGGTGTCGGATCAGCCGGTATCAGGGCGTTGATGTATCAATTGACCACTCTCTATCTAAGAACACCACCGGCAAAGCTGTTCAGACCAACAAGGGTAGACTACATGGCTATCACGAGGCTATTCGTGAATCAGGACCGAGATAACGGTAGATCACATGGGTCAAGCCGACGTTACAACTTTTATAAGGACTCGTCGTTGGGCGTGCTGATATCAGCAGTGAGGAAGTTTGGTTGGAGATTTATACCCGAACGTGTATTACCACCACTATTCGCTAATAGTGCTACAGGGTTTGTACTGTACACCTCATATCTAACGTCTTTACAACACTTCAATGGACAAAAGACGAACTTCCTGGAGAATCCATCTCCAATTGATACTTTTAGAGCAGGTTTTGTTGCAGGTACTTTCCAGTCCATTGCAGCTGCTCCAATAGATGCCATATACGCACGGTCAACGGCAAATGAACTGCTGAAAGGTAAGCACGAGAACCTTTGGAGATTTGGATTTGAGAAATTGAGAGAGGTTGGGTTCTCCGGCGTCTTTGCAGGTTATGGGTTAAGTTTCATCAAGGAGAGCATAAGCTTTGCCATCTACTTCTCCACATTTGAAACCATCAAGAACCAAGTTTATAGATATACAAGGGATTCAATGATAAGTTACTACTACTACAAGGAGAAAGTCCTGAAGGCAAGTTTCGCTCTTACAAGGGATGAATACGAAGCCATGTTGAAGGAACAGGGCCAATTTCGGTTTTTGAAGACATCCTTTGTATTCATTGCTGGTATCACAGCATCTCTGGCACTCCACTTGGTTCAATATCCTATTGCAAAGATCCAAACTATCCATTTACAGAGATTGGAGGCATTCGACTACTTCAACAGTGCAAAGAACTCGAGTTCAAGGAGACTGATGACCGTGTATTACAACTCGTACATAGACACGATGGAACATGTCTTATTCATCCAATTGAACTCCAGGTTGAGTTGGAAGGAGTGGCTATACAAGGGTTTCAAGAGACACGCACTATCGACGATACCTTCAACAACACTAGGTCTTGTTGTTTTGGAAGCGTTGAGAACAAAACTTGCCGATGAAATAGGAGATACATCGTTCCAATCGTGAGTTTAATATTCAAAATAAATATCATGTGTATATACAGAGGGAGTGAATCAATAAATAGAGCATCACAAGGATGATTAAATAGTTCTTGACTTGTAGGAGGAGTAACTCTTGTAGACCAGCTTCCAGTATGAATTTTCAAATTTGGAATCAACAATGTTGAAATCGTTCTTTTCCAATGCCTGTAGATAACCATGTAGTGGAATAGCATTCATGAATGGAACAAACAAACAGTCAGGCAATCCACATTTCCAGTTCTTGGATCTTTCCAAGATCATGGCATCGCTAGTAGTGTCCAGGAACTTTGCCGTCAATTCTTTAACCTGCTTGAGCTTTGATCTTGCCGTTAAGAGATGATCATTTGCAGTGATACAAGTCTCATACACAACATCTTTCAACTGTGTAGTGATTCTCTCCTTATCGATGTCCTCATGTCCTTGAAACAGTCTCAACAGATCTTCCTGCGATAAGTCATAAGAGGCCATCACATCGACTGGGAGATAGATCCTGTTGGTATGACGGGCATAGTACTGCGTAGCCAACACAATAGTGGCAACTCCGGTGGCTTGCCCCAAATGTGCACAGATTTCTCTCATGAGAATTGCAATGTCGTCATTCTGCTCTACCAGTGACACAGTGGAGGGCGATATCTGGTCTGACAGGAGAAGGTCCTGTTCCAAGTAGTTCAGCTGGGAGAATTGACCTTCACCGTAGGAACACACTTCATCCACCGTACGGAACTCCTGTCTCTGTAAGAAGTCGTTACGCGTACTCAGCATCTGGTCGAAATGAGAAGGGTCAAACTTCAACTCATTCCGCAGAGCGTCCCTCAGCAGTATCCCAACAGGCTCTCCGATGACCCTATCGGCAAACGGGTCCTGGAACAGCTTCAGCAGCATATCTTCCCAGAATTTGATCCTGAGGTCCGTAGAAGTGAAGCCAAGGGACGACTTCAGCCTCTGGTTCACCTGGTTAGGGTCAGAACCCGTGATCTTGGACAACTCGAGGTTAAACGCCCTGATCGCAATGTAGGCATCTCGAGCAGGCTCAGGGACATAAGCAGAGAGCACGTACGACGACTTGTCGTACTGACGCAGCGCCTCCAGACACGCCTTCCGAGCCGTCGCCAGGTGCGAGCTGTATGAGTTGAACCTCCTCTGGATCAACGGGATTCTCTTAAACGGTCTCATTATCCACCAATGGAGTGGCAAATACCCTCAGAATGGCTAAAAGAGAGAGAATGCTCCCCCATAAACATTGCCGGAAGTATCGTTGGTTCGGGAAACATCAACAAGAAGGGCTCAGGGCTCATAACCACTGGAGGAATTTGCCACTATGAGGCGATGAGCTTGAGGTTGATCATCATCACTTTTCCCTGTTTGGAGGGCCATTTAAGACCATTTGAAGATGCAGATCAAGGACGTCAACAGATGTGTGTACCTTGATATCAGGATCGACGATGAAAAGATTGGTCGTGTTGTGATAGAGCTGCTTGAGGCGGATGCGCCGAAGGCATCCGAGAACTTTCTACACTTGTGTAGGGGAGATGTTACTCTGAAGGACGGTACTGTGTTGACCTTGGAAGGTAACCATTTCCATAGAGTGGTGAAGAACTTCATGGTCCAGGCCGGAGACCTGACATACGGGTCAGGCGCCAAGCTGGAGGACAAGGTTGGACTCGGAGGCGCTTCCATGTGGTCTGACGGCTTGATCAAGGATGGTGAGTTGGCAACTGGGTTCTTTGAGGACGAGAACATGGGCGAATTCGGGTCTACTTTTAACGTTGCCATGGCCAACAGTGGAGCCAATACCAATGCATCCCAGTTCTTCATCAATACCTATCCTTCACCGCACCTGAATGGGAAGCACTCTATCTTTGGGAGGGTGATCCATGGCAAGTCCACTGTCAGAACCGTCGAATACGAGCGGATCGACGAGAACGGCACCCCACTGAGAAGCATCGTCATTGAGGCATGTGGTGAATGGACCGAGGATCTGGGTGTCCCTGTGTATAACGCATCGTATAGCACACTGGCAGGCGACGTATACGAGGAGTTCCCAGATGACGATGACCATTTCGACAAGGACAAGTCCAGCGAGTCCTTCGAGGCAACAACGAGGATTAAGGACTCTGGGTCGCAATTGTTCAAGGCCAAGAACTACCTGGAGGCGTACCTCAAGTATAAGAAGGCCCTCAGATACGTTAACGAGTTCATACCGGACATCGACACCGACGCAGAGTATGCGCCAAAGTTCGAGGATCTGAAGAAGAAGATCTACAATAACTTATCGCTGACATGCATCAATCTGAAGGACTACACCAAGGCCCAAACATATGCCACGTATCTGCTAGAGTCTCCAAACATCACCACAACAGAGAGGGCAAAGGGCCATTACAGAAGAGGTGTCTGTCTCTACGAATTTGGCAAGTACGAGGATTCGTACAAGGATTTCAAAGCGTGTCTCGAGCTGAATCCGAACGACGAGGCAGTTAAGTCGAAGGTGAAGACGCTGGAGAACAAGCTACAGGACCTGAAGGATAAAGAGAAGAGACAATACGCAAAGTTCTTTAGCAATTGATGTATACTCATTTTGGCGTAAAGCTGTGTAAGGCCCGGTGTACAATGGCGTAAAATGGCGTAAACGAAAACGAAAGCGAAAAACAGACACGCCAAAACAGACGCGTAACCTTTTTTTGTCCAAATTGGACATAAACATACCGGAACGCTTTCACCTTCTCCAAAGAACAAAGGGTAGAGATCAGTAGCAGATGCAAATCCCAGCGTGCGTACCAATCCATCACACATTGGCACAGGATGTGCTAAAGATTCGAGATGAGACCGTCCAGGAGTCCGATCTCATAGAAACAAAGAAGAAGCTCTTTGAAGCCGCGTTGAAGTTCCTAGACGAGATCGTTCAAACACCAAGCAGGCCTGGGGATGACGAGGACACGGGCCGGCTGGCTCCCTTAATGAAGCTCATCAAGTCGATTGATCGAGTGAGCGAAGCAGAGGACGAGTCTCGCATGTTCAAGCGGTCGTTCAACGAGGTCAGGGAGACGGTTTGGAACAGGATGAAGGACGAGCCAGAGTTGACGATGGAGAACGTGGGCATGTATGCTCAACGCGATCCTGAGAACACATTGTTCTCCAGGATCCTGGAGAAGAGGCTGGAAGAGGACTCGAAGGTCCTGGAGAGAAACAAGACGAGTGTCACACACAAGGACCACCTGTATCTGAAGAATGCTGCGTTCATCATCGACCATCCTCTGGACCCCTTGCCAGATGAGAATGCAGACGACGACCTACAAGTTGAAGGTGGAAAGGTGGACATCAAATGTCCACTATCGCTGAGAATCTTCGAGCAGCCCATGAGAAGCAAGAAGTGTGGCCACACCTTCGACTACTCTGCCATAAAAGATACGTGGAGGCATAACGTTGAGCCTTGTCCAGTGCTCGGATGTGGTTCCAGGATCTCCATAAACGACTTTGAACCGGACGAATTGATGAATCTACGGGTGAAAAGCTTCCACCGTCTACAGAGAAAGCTGGAGAACGACGATAGCGTCGAAAAGATCTGATGTTGTACGCTTTATCTGTGCTATGTAGTGCCTTGTAGTGCCTCGTGTGTAGCGGACATAAACAGAAAAGTGTTGATACCAGCGAAGTGAAAAATTCAACCATTCCCCTGAGATTTGTCTCGAGAAAGTGGGAGCAAGAGGGAGCAAGACGGACATTAAATACGATGATTCGTTCTGTCCAGTGGCATTCAAAGAGGCTACAGCACTCGCTGGCACCAAACATCTCACAATTGCTGAAGAAACCGCCTGCTTTGGACTCCGCGCTAACAGTCAACGGGTATGTCAAGTCAGTGCGCTCTTTGAAGAAAGTGTCCTTTGTTGACCTCTTTGACGGTTCCACTCACGAGTCGCTGATGTGTGTCTTGTCACCAGCTGATGCTGAGCAGCTGAAGACGGGACAGAGCGTGAGGTTCCAGGGGACCTGGAAGCAGTCGAAGGGGAAAGAGCAGCCCTTTGAGCTGAAGACACAGGCAGTCGAAGTGCTGGGCGACGTACCAGCAAACTACCCCCTACAAAAGAAACTACACTCGTTGAAGTTTCTCAGAACGATTCCTACGCTACGCTGGAAAACCGGCTATCTGTCCTCGATCCTGCGGTTCAGATCACAGGTTGACGGAAGATTACACCGGTTCTTTGAAGATGAAGGGTTCTTCAAGACAAACCCGCCGATCATCACGGGCTCTGACTGTGAAGGAGCCGGTGAGCTGTTCCAGGTTGAGTCCAAGTCGAAGGAGTCCCAGCCATTCTTCGGTAAGAGCGCGTATTTGACCGTGTCGACTCAGTTGCACCTTGAAGTGCTGTGCTGCGCATTGGGCAAAGTTTGGTCATTATCACCAACTTTCAGGGCAGAGGAGAGCGATACCAACAGGCACCTGAGTGAGTTTTGGATGCTGGAAGGCGAGATTGCCTTCATCGACAACGTCCAGCAGCTGACAAAGTTCACTGAACGGATGATCAAGAGCATCGTCAAGGATCTCGTCGAGGACAACAACGGCATCGCTACCAACCTGCTGAAGTCGCAGAGATCCGAAGAGGGCATGGAGCAAGCCATTGGGAAGCTACAACAGAGATGGAGCTCTCTGTACACTGAAGAGTGGCCTTGTATCACCTATTCAGAGGCATTGGACATCTTGAAGCGTTCTGGCGTGAAGTTCCAGATCCCCGTGAGATACGAGGATGGACTCGCCTCAGAGCACGAGAAGTGGCTCGCAGGTGAGCACTTCCACTCACCGGTGTTTGTCGTTGATTATCCAAAGGAGATGAAGCCCTTCTATATGAAGTTGAACGACGACAACAGCACAGTGGCATGTTTCGATCTACTGGTCCCTGAGGTTGGCGAAATCATCGGTGGCTCCGTGAGAGAGCACTCGCTGGAGAAGCTCCACACTGAGATAGAACAGAGAGGCATGAACAAGCAGGATCTACAGTGGTATCTAAGCACAAGGGAGAACGCCACGGTGCCTCATGGTGGATTCGGCCTCGGCTTCGAGAGGTTGCTGTGCTATTTGAGTGGTGTTTCCAACGTGAGAGACGTCGTTCCATTCCCAAGAGCCCACGACGAGTGCGAAGCTTGAACCACTTAGCCATGTTTATATATACAAGAAGAAGCATAGAACGTGTAAATAGCTTGATGTTGACGAGTAGCGTAAACTGACCAATCAGAAGCGAGAACGGTGACGTTTCCCCGGACTTTTCCCCCCGTCTCGGGCTGGGGTTAACTATGGCTCAACGTTGCTTTTGCTCTCTCCTTCAACGGCAGCAAGTGCTAGTGGACTACGACTAAGTGCTACTAGACTACGACCAAGTGCTAGTAGACTACGACCAAGTGCTAGTGGACTACGACCAAGTCCCAGTGAACTACGACCAATTACAGAAGCTGGAAGAGTGAGAAGCAATGTCAGGTGCTCATATCATCGCTAAGGCCATAAAGAAGCTCGGTGTTACGACGGTGTTCGGAATCGTGGGCATCCCCATAGTGGAGGTTGGAGATGCTCTCATCAGAGAGGGAGTTCGTTTCATATCCTTCCGCAACGAGCAGAGTGCTGCCTACGCCGCGTCGGCCTATGGCTATCTCACTGGAGAGCCTGGTGTGCTGCTGGTTGTTGGCGGCCCCGGAGTTGTCCATGCCTTGGCTGGTGTTCTCAACTCGAACTCCAATAGATGGCCTCTCCTAGTACTGGCGGGCTCTGCAGGTGTTGATGATTTGACGAAGGGAGGGTTCCAGGAGCTGGACCAGCTGAGCCTCCTGGCCCCGATGACCAAGTTTGCTGCAAAGGTTCAGCAGTTGGATCAAGTTCCTGATTTGCTGTACAAAGCGTATAAGAGCGCAATGTTCGGTACTCCAGGCACTGCTTATATTGATTTACCGGCAGACGTTGTTGAACTGGAGGGCGTGGATCCAAAGCTGGAGAGTGCTATCTTGCGTAGAGTCACTACACTGACCAAGGCCTCCATTCCAAGGTTCATCCCTCCAAGGTCTCAGGTGGAACAAGCTGCTGCTCTGTTGCGAAATGCGAAGTCACCACTTGTTGTCATCGGCAAGGGCTCAGCATACGCCAATGCTTCCTCACAGATTAGAAAGTTCATCAATGACCATAACCTGCCGTTTTTGCCAACCCCAATGGGGAAAGGCGTCGTGCCAGACTCCTCTGATTTGAACGTTTCTAGCGCAAGGTCACAGGCATTGAAGAATGCCGATGTTGTGTTGATACTCGGTGCACGGTTGAACTGGATCTTACATTTTGGTGAATCTCCAAGATGGCAAGCCGACGTGAAGTTCATCCAAGTGGACAGCAACCCTGAGGAGATTGGATATAACACTGCATCATCCACGAATTACGGGCTATGTGGTGATATTTCACTGGTGACTAGTGAATTGGATGCACTACTGGGGAACTACAGAGCCGAGGAATTGCCTAGATCCATCATTGACACCATTGCGAAGAACAACAAGTCATTGGCAGCTAAGGAGATTGCCAAAGCTCCGCAGCTGAACTACAACTTGGTCTATAAAGTGCTCCGTGAGTTGATTGACCCTGTTGAGAAGGATACGATCCTCATCACTGAGGGTGCAAACACCATGGACGTTGCACGTATCTCATTCCCTCAAAACTATCCGAAACAACGACTGGATGCTGGGACCAACGCTACAATGGGGATTGGTTTGGGCTATGCAATTGCTGCAAAGGTTTCGAACCCAGATAAGAAAGTGATTGCCATTGAAGGCGATTCAGCCTTTGGATTCTCTGGAATGGAACTGGAAACAGCAGTACGCTCTCATTTACCAATCATAGTCGTTGTCATGAACAACAGTGGCATATATCGTGGAGTTCCAGATGCCGAAGAGTATGACCATTACGAAAGCTTGCCCTCTACGGCATTAGGACAGCAGACAAAGTATGATCTGTTGGCAAAGGGATTAGGAGCCAATGGAGTCACTGCCACGACTCAGGAACAGGTGTCAACTGCGTTCAAAGAAGCTCTAGTAGCATTGGATCGTGGAGAATCTACTCTCATTAATGTAATCATTGGACCAGGAGTGCAAAAGAAGGTTGGTTTTGGATGGCAGAACAAGAAGGCCAAGTTATGAGTGATATTGTTAGATTGAGCACCTATTTAAACACCATGAACCACACGTTCCATTCCAGTGTTGTAAGGTCTTAGAGAAAGAGAGAATACAAAGGCATAGAGAGGAAAAGCACACACAGCCAAACCTAATGACCATCTCCATCACCTCCCTTATGTATCTTATCAGAGAGATCGTGGATGGCATCTTCAATGGCATCACCGAGATCATCGATAGCGTCATTGACTTCATCCATCAAATCCTCGGCATCGTCAACAAGATCTTCACCCATATCGGTGATCTTGTCCCATATATCCTGTTCCTTGTCCCCCTTGTGATCTTCGTCATCTTGTTGTCCACCAGCATTAGATTCTCCCTGATCATCATTTGAACCAACATCTTGCACATTGTTATCTGTAGAAGGATCTTGTGCATTGTCATTAGACGCTTCTTGTTGTTGTATATCGTCATTAGACACTGCTTCATCTGCTTGATTTGAAGAGTCCGAGGTTCCTCCCTGTCCAGCATCATCAACAGAGCCAGCATTAGGAGTAGAGTCTTCAGCTTCAGTTGTTTTGCCAGCGTCGCCTTCAAGCGTAGTGGTTTCTCTATCCTGCTGAGGTCTATAGAGTATATCGTAGGTGGAGTCTTCCTTGATGAAACCTCCAACGTTGAAACTGACACCTGGATAAGATTGTTCATCTCTCCAATCCTCTGGCAGAACATTCTCTGATACAAACAAGTTCGTTCCATTGTTCTCAGCAGGGTTCAAATTCAGCATATCACAGAGTATACCGTAAACCTCAACATTCTCAAACGGGTTAACCTTGTACGGCTTCTCTTGAGCTATCTTTCCCTTAAAATAAGGACCAGAACCGAGGAAGATGGCTCTCATTAAAACCTCCTTGTTATCATAACCATGGACACCCTTTGGGCGATACTCGCCATTCTTGCGATCCATGTCATCGTGTGTAGTTATTGAGAACCCAATATCAGGAATGACCCAGATAGGAGCAACTCTTTCATAGAAGTCATGATTCACATTGGTTGGATCACCACCAAAGTGCCAATCCTCAGGCAAGTCTTCACGCAGATAGAACTTGTAACCATTGTCCTCAATGAAGGTTGATTTCAACTCCTCGTTGAGCTCCTCCACGGTATACTCTGGAAAAGGTCTTAAACCGAACAATGGCCAGCCATCAATGTGCTGGATCTTTGTCACATTGACGATCTCGTCCAAATACACCAAACGATCATTAGAAGTTGGTGACATCCCATGGTCTGAGACAATGACAACGTTGATGATATCTGTGGCGTTTCTATCCTCAACACCCTGGAGTATGCTACCCACAAATTCATCAACATATGTCAATTCCTTCTCTAGCTCTTCACCTTTGATGCCGTTGGCATGGCCTTTAGAATCGACGTTAGGCACATAAGCCACTATAAGTTCTGGTCTCTGTTCAAATGGACGATCCAGCCATCCCAGCACCCTCTCAGTTTTGATTTCTAGCAGCTCAGTGCCGTTATATCTATCCATCTCTGAAGGGTTTCCCTTAGGGAAAACAACCTCGCTTCCTGGGAACATATGGATAGCTGATTTCACACCTTGTAGCTCAGCAGTCGACCAGATAGGCTCACCACCCCAGAAGACAGGGTCAAGAGACTTCTTTGGAATCACGTTGATGAACTCTCTCTCCAGCACAGGGTCATAGAACCTATTGCCGACAATTCCATGGTACTGTGGGTATAGTCCCGTCGCCATGGTCCAATGGTTAGGGAAAGTAGACGAAGGGAACGACGGTATCATATAAGGCGCCCCGTAGCCGTTCAACAACAGGTTGTGAAGCGTTGGAGTCAATTTCTCGGATATGTAGTGAGGATGGAACCCATCCAGGGAGATGAATATGGTGGTTGGGTAGAACATATCTGTCCCATTCGAGAGCACTGCCTTTGACGGAACAGTTGATTTGGAGCCTCTCTTGCCCAATAACACAGAGAGCACAATCACTGCAACGAGCAGCCCTACAAGAACAGCATATACAAGCCCTTTCTTGGACTTGCGCAGGATATGGGCCCATATCACACTCTTCTGTCGTCTCAGTACAAACTGCTCATCGCTGAGGTCAAAGGAATCATCGTCTCTCAGATCAACATGGGACCCACTGTCGAAGAAGTGGGTCTGTAGCTGTATCCCGTTTCTCACAGAGCTCGACGGAACACGTGTGTAGGACTTCTGAGTCCAGCTTGACAGCTTATTCCACACATTGCCCATGAAGGAGCTATCACGATGCAACACGTTATCGTTGAAGTCGATGTCCTCTCGAAGAACCGTCGGGTCGAGCTCTTCCTGGGAGAAGTCCTCCTCGTCTTCATCCAAGTTCGTGACGGGAATGTCCACAGCGTGTGCCATCGTGTTCATAAGCCAATACCAGCCAGCGGAGTACCAGAGAGATGCGAGTGTGTATGGTTGAAAGTGCTTGTGATGTGAGAAGTTGTAGGCTAAACACGGGATGGTGTTTGGATGTTGTTTTCCTCCCCCCTTCTGCACTATCGTGTTTCCCGGGTTACACGCGAACCCGTAAAGAGATAGTTTTCCCGAGCCCGCGAATCTTGCCGGATGCGGAATTCCGTCTGGTGGTGTACGGATGTCGCCTTTTTCTCTCTCGCACCCTCGGATTTCCAACCACAAAGCGCGCACTCTCGAGGGCACCGCACAACACGTACTGCTTCTATAAGCACTAAACCCTCTTCAATCGAGACATTTTGAGCGCTTTAGCCACCATATCACCATTGGAAAACCATGAGAAGGCTGCTGCTGAGGTCTGGTTGTGCGGTGCCGATTTTCTCCAGGAATTTCCACCCACAACAGCACAGTACACCGGTGCTTGTGCTTCCCTTTCTCAAGGACAAAGAGCTTCTGATGAAGGTGTTCCATAGGGATCGTTCACTGCCGTTCAACACCCTGAGGGACGTGCTGGGGTTCAAGTATACCGACCCGGATACTGTTGAGCTTGTGAGGCACTCGTGGCTGGATTTCGTCACGATGAACGAGGATGTGGGTGCGTTGCAAGAGGGATTGCACGACTGTGGAGATGAGGACAAGTTCTGGAGCACGAGCATAAGGATCGCCAATAGCTCGCCGATGGTTATGAAGGCATTGGTGGAGATATGGGGCGATGATGTGAGGAGGGCCGAATTGCCGGTACCGAATGATCTCCTGGAAACGTTGATTGCGTCTTTGATGTACCATGAGAACTTTGAAATGTCATCAAAGCTGGTTTCCAGATGCTTGAACAATGAGAAGGCTATAAACTGGAAACCAATGGTTGACGTTGCAATATCCTTCCACAATCCAACTCCGTTGGAGTTCTTAGCTAAGATATGGAGTTCGAACACGTCTCCAGATATCTACTTACAGGTGATGCCACATTTGAGATCATTGGGATTGAAAGAACCGTACCTCAACAGATGGAATAACTCGTTAGTAGGTATAGGCGCGTTCCCAAGAGACTCGAGTATGCCGTTAAACGTTGAGTTGAAATCTCAATTGGACACTGCAAACCTTCGAAGCTTCCAAAATTGTTTGAAAAACCTTGCCAAATACGAGAAGGACCCGCATTGGCTGAAGAATCCAACTTCTCTACTGTTTCTTCGGTATATCCTCGAGAGCAAGGATCAATTGGATGCTCTGAAGACTGCACTGGACTCATGCCATGTCGATAGCTTCAATATGTCATTTTGGAAGACCTTGTACATATACTCATCTATCCCATTTGACGAATTGGATCAACGACTGCGCCAAACCAAGTTCAGCCCAGAAAACACAACCATTGTGACTGCAAAGTTAAGAAGAACTTCTAAAGAGAAGCCAGCCGAGTTCTGGACGATGCTTGCCTCTGAATCGAGGGCAGACGTGATTGGTAAATCCTATCTACCGATACTCGTGGCTACGATTCAGTGTTCCACTTTGGAGAAGGCCATGGACCTGGCTTTGCATGTTCTTTCGCTGGACTCTGTGAATAACAAATTTGAAATTTGTAAAGCATTTATTGTCGAATCTACCAAGGTCATCAAGGACGACCCCAAGAGAATTGAACAGAGCATGGTTTTAGACCAATTTGAAGAGTTTCTAAAGGAAAACATGCTAATGAACGATGAATTAGAAAACTACTTCATCTTTTCCGATCTTTCCCTGAAGCATTACGACTCTGCCGTCGAGAGATTGGAAATGATGATTGAGTCCAAGAGAACCATCGATGTACGGACTTTGGATCATCTCCTGAAGGTGCTGTCATGGATGAGGAAAACTCACAAGAGAGAGGATATCATTGAAAACATGTTCAGAGCAACAGTCAGTGCATTGGAACAGTGTAAGGATATTCCATCAAAGACATGGAACGGCATCCTGATGGAGGTTGGCGAACACTATGATATGGCGATGATCCGAACCTTTCTCCTCCGCACCACGGAGCTCGTCAGCGCACAATGCCACTTGAACATCCATCCATCGAACCCAAACCACCCTCTGAGACAGGTTTTCAACGACAAGCTGACATATTCGATTCTGGACTGGGGGTTCATCAAGGAGCCAGAGAACCCATGGGCAGGCTTAGACCTCATAAGGGAGCTGGAGACAAAGGGCATATACTTCCAAGAAAACCTCATAAAGAAGCATCTGCTGAAACTGACGAGGATACTGCACAGGATACCAACGGTGGAGGAGGATGGTCGAATCCCTCAGAGGCTATTCGATGCCATGAAGGGGAGAATAGTGAGTGGTGATGTTGAAACCACGATAAACGCACTGAACGAGATGTCCAAAAGGAATTAAGCATGGACTTTCTATTTATTAATCTATTTATTCATTATTTATATATGACGATCGATCTTATTCGATCATTGCATTTCTATTAGCCCATCTAGTATGTTCTGTTATGTTGTTCTTCTTCCTCATTGGCCGGTTCTACCGGCTCTATCGGTGATAACTCGGTGTTTGGATCCTCTCCCCCCGGCGAAGAAGACTCATCAAGAACTTTTTACATGAAGGACTTCGTTCCAATTGAGGGCCATATCGTCTTATAAAAGGCACAGACATCGAGCAAAATGCATTCTCATCACAGCCATAGTGGTGAATACGTTGCCCATGGCTCAGACACCTTGGATGGTGTCACTGGTCGAGCCATTGAGATGGGGTTTGATGTGTTTTGTATGACTGAACATATGCCCCGCTTGAAGGAAGAGTTCATCTATCCGGAGGAGAAGGAGAAACACTACGACGTGGGACAGTTACAGGCGATCTTTGATGACTACTATAACCACGCAAGACGGATCCAGGCTGATAGCTGGGCCAAGGGATGCCACACCAAGTTCCTGGTTGGTTTAGAGGTTGAGGGCATCGACATCGACCACATTGAGTATACCTCGACAATTAGACAGAAATACGGCGTAGATATGGTTGTTGGCTCAGTGCACTTCGTCAGAGGCATCCCAATTGACTTTGACAAGGCGCAGTTCGCCAGAGTGCTTGAACTGTGTGGCTCATTCCGTCAGCTGGCTTTGGAATACTTCCAATTGCAGTACAAAGTTATAGATAGACTGCACCCTGAAGTGATTGGGCATTTCGATCTCATTCGACTATTCATGGATGGTGCTGAGATCGATGAGTCCACAGGTAAGAAACTGAGCGATGTCAGTATTGAAACCGACTGGCCAGACGTTTGGAACCAGATAAAGATAAACCTGCAATTGGCAAATTCATACGGTGGATTGATCGAATTGAACAGCTCAGCCATTAGAAAAGGATGGCATACACCTTACCCCCAATTTGATGTGGCTAAAGCTGTGAAACTGTATAACGACGGAAGGTTCTGCCTCTCAGACGACTCTCATAGCATCGCCCAGGTCGGATTGAACTACCATAAGGTTCTCGATTACGTTGTCAATGAGCTAAAGCTGGACAAGCTCTACTATTTGGACGTGGATCTCACCTCTGATTCTAGGAAAGTTACAGTCAAGACTATAGACATGGAGGATGTTAAGAAGAACAAGTTCTGGGAACAGTTCAAGGATTGATGCTCATCTACACAATTGCTGAAGCTAATGCAAATATACAATTAAAATATCATAATAGGAACCCCATAGCCATAACAAGAGCACCAAAGTTCATGGATGGTGTAGTCATCATGGCATTGTTCTTTGAGGAGGCACTGGTTGTTGTCCCTGAGGAGCTCGCTGACGAAACACCAGAGGAAGTCGACGAAGCAGTTGAGATGGCATCAGAAGCAGATGTAGTTGAAGAGCCACCAACAGTGCTACTGGATTCCACAGTAATCTCAAAGACACCGGATGACATGTCGCTCTTATCCAAGTTCGATGACGAGGTATAGTTGAATGATCTGTCGACAATAGTATCATCACCAGTGTACTGCTCTCCGTTCCAGCAGTACTCCTCAAAGCACTCAGCACACTCATCAGACTGTCCCCAACCATTACGCTCTTGTTCACGATGAATGATGGCACATGCAACACATTTTGGCCAGTTCTCATCAATGGTCAGGTTAAATCTGGTAGTGGCTTCAAATCCATTCTGAATGATAGCATTTCTATCTTCTGTGCTGTAGGACATCTTCAGAGTTGAAGTGTTTGACCACGCAGTGTAGGCAATGTTTGGAATGTATACAATAAGTGGAGGAATAGTACCCAGGTCAGTCAAATTAGAGCTGTTACAACCCAAGAACATTGGCTTCTCTCCCAACTTGTTGTGGAGAAAGGTATCGTTTGTAGGAACATATGGGAAGCCAGTTCCGTTACCTTGGACTGAGAACTGACGGTTGTAAGTTGCGACGAGAGCAGTTCCATCTGGGAAGTTATCCTCAGTGTTATCAGAGTTATCAAAGGCAAAGATAACATCAACATCACGTTCCTGTTGAAGCATTGGGGCAAATGGGATGTTCTGACCATCCTCACCACCATCAACAAGGTACAGTTCTTCGCTTTCAACAATGGTCTTGAGGGAAGCATATCCTGCTTGGAAGAACGGGTTTGGACTGTACACTGCAACGTCATCGTTTGCACCATCCAACCCTCCTAAGAAAGTGCTGATCAAGCTAGATGACAAACCAGCAAAACCAGTCACGTTCAAAGACACGGTGTTGAACAGAGATGAAGAGGTACCCAGAACAAACCCTGCGTTATCAAATCCTTCAACACAGATATCAGAGGTTGGTTCACCGTTGGTGACGTTGGAACCAATGTATTTCAAATTGGCAAATGAGTACAGTGAAGGATCCCATGAACCTAGCTCGAAGGGGTTAAATTCGAACACTGTCGAGTTCAAGTTGATAATCTTGGTATCAGGTGCTCTACCAAGGGCAATGGAGATTGGGAATGGCATCTCACCGTTCTGGAAGGCCTCAATGTCGACAATGGACGAGTAAGTCAAAGACGCTTCAGCGTCATTCTCTTCACCAAAGAATTGGTATGCTAGAGCTCTTCCCCAGAGATCGGTAAGCGAAGTGTCGAACCCAGCTTCGGCCTTTTCATCCACGTCAGCCTTGATGCTCTGCCAACGCAGTGCTGTCTCAAAGACATCACTACCACCTGGAGTGACAATGGAGTTCTCCAAGTCCCAGATGGTGTCATTTGACAATATTTCTTCAACGCTGGTCCAGTTATTCAAAGCCAGCGTACCGGTGAGCCAATTACCACCAGAGAGACCCACAAAGTACGTAGAGGCCTGGAGCAAACCACCCAACCCGTGTTCGTTTGCGCCCTCAGTTCTACTGTCCAAGGCAGCAACCTGGCCGGCACCGTTGAGCATGGCCCTATAACCACCGCCTGAGAATGCGAGACCAATCGTGATGGATCTGTTCAGCGAGTTGAGGAAGTCTTTGGCATCAAAGCCATCAAGGTCGGCCCTTTCCAGGAACTCGGAAAGAGCATCATCAGTGACAGAGTGACGCTTTTCCAGCCAGCTCTTCTCATCGTCAGATATCGACGAGGCAGACCGGACAAGCGTTGCGTCCTGTGGACATGAAACGTTTACAGGGGCATAGGAGCTGTAAGAAACGTCGATGAGCTGGGCAAGCACCGCAAGACAGGCGAATGGCAGCATCTCTTCACTTGTTTGTGCTATTGCTCGTTCAATTGAGGGAAAACGCTCGTTCTTCCAGCTCGCAATATCAATTGGCTCAAAAGAGATGAGCTGACACAGCTTTTAAATACCAATTCCAACCTCCAACGCCTTTCCAATCCTCGGAAATGACATGATGCAACCGTTGGAGCTGCTGCGTACGGCGTTTCAGCGTTTCTCCTCGAACTTTATGAGTGGTTTCGGATTAATCTTACAGAGGGTTAACATGGTTGCTACGGAAGAAACACACGAGTCGTACAGATAAAAGCTGGGGAAGATGATGCATCGTGAGCCTGTTGTATGAATAAAGACGCCAATGCTCGCCAACATTCCTTGTCAATTGGACAAGAACATGAAGAATTCCTCCGAGTATTAAATGGAAACACATGCTGCGTGTGTAATATAGTTTTATGCGTGATGCACACACGGACGCACCGTATACAGGAGAGTACATCTTTGCGCGTTTTTTATAAACGAAGGGCAGGAATTGTAGTCAAAGAGACGTGGAATTGTTGAGTAATCTTTGTTGGTCTTGCCAGGATTACTGGTTGTGATGATTGTTTACAGGGAGTGCTTGAATGGAAGCGGTTTCTTTGGTTTCAGCGTCATCAATGACAACGCCACTGAAGGAATATGTCCAAGGTGCTACGGCTTTGAGACCAGGCCGAAAAGGAGGAGAAGTTTACACCGTGAGGAGATAAGTCGTAGAAAGTATATATACCGTGGAAAAGGTATGACTTGGTGCGTCGGACATTAAATTAGGGTCATGTACGTTTGAACTGCATTTGGTTGGACTGTGGTTTATGGAATGCCTGGTTGCTTCTAGGGAGAGGTTCCCAGGGCATCATGTCATGGAGAGGGAAAGAAGAGGAATAACAGCAACAAAGGGAATAGCCAGTGCCATGAGAGAAGGTGTCAAAATTGGCACTCCATTGGTTGAAACACTGGAAGTAGATGATGTAGAACCGTCCGTGGCAGTGGCAGTGCCGGACGCTTCGGTCTCTGTAGAGGTGCTGTTGGCATCAAGTGAGGTCTCACTAGTGGAAGAATAGTCTGTGAGGTTGCTCTGTGATGTGTAGTTAAGAGACCTTGACAGCACTTCCTCAGTGCCATTGTACTGAATACCATCCCAGCAGTATTCCTGGAAGCATTCCTCGCATTCAGTTGGTTGTTCCCACCCGTTGCGCTCCTGTTCACGACGGATAATTGCGCAGGCAACACAGGTTGGCCAGTTGGAATCAATGGTCAGATTATACCTTGTTGCAGCCTCGAACCCGTTTTGAATAAGGGCATCTCTCTCCTCGTTACTATATGACAGTTGAAGTGTAGAAGTGTTGGACCATGCTGTGTAGGCAATGTTTGGAATATAAACAACAAGTGGAGGGATGGAAGCAAGGCCGGTTAAATTGGAGGCATCACAACCGAGGAACAATGGCTTCTCATTCAAACCGTGTGCCAAGATGGAATCTGACGATGGAACATATGGGAATGAAGTTCCATTACCTTGACGATAGAATTGACGATCATAGGTGGCTCCAAGTGTGCTTCCATCTGGGAAGGCATCTTCAGTATTATCAGAGTTATCGAATGCAAAAATAACATCAACATCACGTTCAGGCTGCAACAATGGTGCAAATGGAACGTTCTGTCCATCAAAGCCACCGTCGAATAGGTAAAGGGTTTCACTCTGGACGATACTTCTTGTCGATGCAAAATCAGTGTCGTAAAATGGATTTGGGCTGAAGAGAGCATAATCATCATCCTGCTCCAGTCCACCTAAGAGAGCCGCAACAAATTCTTCTGGAATACCAGAACCGTTCAATGGAATCACGTTGAAAACGTTAGACGAGGTACCAAGAACAAGGCCACCGTTGTCATAACCTTGGATGCAGATATCAGTTACCGGCTCACCGTTGGAAACTTCAGAGCCAACGTACAACAAATCGGTAAATGCATATAAAGATGGATCCCATGAACCCAGCTCAAATGGGTTAAACTCAAAGACAGTGGAGTTTAGACTGATGAGATCAGAGCCTGGTACCCTTCCCAATGAAACAGATATTGGGAATGGCATCTCACCGTTTTGGAAGGAAACATACTCTCTGATGTCAGAGAAGCTCAGACCAACTGATCCATTGTTCTGTGTTCCAAAGAACTGATAGGACAAAGCTCTTCCCCAGATGTCAGTGATGGAAGTATCAAACCCAGCTGCGGCCTTTTGGTTAAGTGCTATGCCAATCTCTTGCCAGCGAGCAGCTGTTAAGTTCATATTATCACCACCTGGGTTAACAATGGAATTCTCCAAGTTCCAAATGGTATCATCTCCCAAGATGGACTGAATACTTGTCCAGTTATTTAGAGCCAAAGTACCAGAGAGCCAATTCCCTCCAGAAAGACCAACAAGGTAAGTAGAAGCCTGGAGCAATCCACCGAGGCCGTGATCATTTGCACCTTCAGTTCTATCATCGAGAGCAGCAATTTGACCAGCTCCGTTGAGCATGGCACGATAACCACCACCGGAGAAGGTCAGACCAATGTTGATCGATCTGTTCAAGGAGTCGATGAAGTCCTGAGTGTTGAAATCCTGGAAGTCGGCACGGTTGAGGAAAACAGCGAGGGCACCATCTGTTACGTTATGACGAATGTCTAGCCATTCAGCTTCAGATTCAGACACCGAGGAAGCATCTCTCACAAAGTTAGCATCCTTTGGACATGATACCTCAAATGGGGCATAGCTCGGGCTGTAAGCGAACGAAGGCGTTGCAAGTAATTGCAATGCTAGTAAAGAGGTAAGAACTCTCATTTTGCTGATTGAGAATACGTGATTTGATTAAACAGGTTCACCTTAATCTTGGAAACGATTCACAGGCCATCTTTATATACGCATCTTCATACGGATTATGTGGAACGGGTTCTTCAAAGCCATCTGAATTCTCCGCCTCTTCCCCCCTATTAACCACATGATGAACATCACTCGTGTCCATATATGTATATTTTTACATCGCGTATGTGCCTAGTATGCAAGGATACACACCATTTGGGGACCGATGGGTTCCTTTAAAAGTGCTGGAAAAGCCTCATGTAGATCAATTTTTACGTAATTATACACTGAGGTTTACAGTTTATCTCCAAAAGGCCAGAAGAGTGCATATTTGGAAGTTTGCATTGCTGTTTGCATTGAATGGAATCATGAGATCGCATTGAGCCGGGATGGGTTCAACACGTACTTTCCGACAATCATAGAAACTCTAGACTTATATGATAATGTGCTCTTTCTCATGACTTCAGTATAGTAGTTTCATGGCAGAACCAAGCTCAGAAGAAGCCAAGGTGTGATTGGATGAGAGGGGTTTATGGACACTTTGCTCTTCTTGTATAAAATTTACCTGCGTTGTGATATTTTCTAACGCCAATCAGGTAAAAGGGGTATATACTGCAGAATAATTGTTTAGTGAGAATGATTTATAGACCCTCGTGGGGTTGGTCTATTTTGTGCGAGTACTTGTGAATATCGATGCCAGGACCTTTCCAGTGCTGCATCTTGATCCATATCAACGATCTCTGTGGTTTAAGCAGTGTAGTTCTCAGCTCCATCATCAGAGATGACTTTCAAATGGATAGATACACGGTAAAGCTTGATTGAAGGCTCTAAGATGCAAGATAGCTCTGTGTATTTGGAATACGAAGTATATGTCTTTGCTGAGTTGTGATTATTAAAGAACTCTGTTATTTCTTTAGTCTACCTGTGCAGTTGTAGCAGATGCGATTGTGTTTAAAAGTTTCATAGTGCATATGGTAATAACGATGAGGTATTTTGAGCTATACATTCCATCGTTGACTGCAAATTAGGCTCTGAAATCACTTTTATTATCCAATACAGTCCTGGTGCTTGGAAAGAGACCCCAGGTAAAGACTGCAATACTGATGAAGCAGAGCAACTCGGGACTATATATGAGAAAGAGACCGGAGGTCCTTGTCCAATGAGATAGTTATGGAACAGGAGGTGGACCTGATTTCATAACACCAATAGAACTATATATTCATTTCTGAAACAGTCAAAAACGTAGCCAATGCAGTATAGCCACCGGTGTAGTAGACACAACAGGCTATCCCATACTACAAAGAATCAATATGGATTTATTCGCTTTTCGCATGATAGAAATGACCACTACACGTGGAAACCATGCCAAACGAATAACATGGATAGTAGAGGATGGCTCGGCTCACCTGGTACTTGTTTGCACTATCTCATCATTCTTACACCCCAACGAAATCTGCACTCTGCAAACATCAAATCGTAATGCTTGAAGTCAACAATGTTGAGCCTTAAAGTGGCTTTCCGGAACCACCTACGATAGTTACCAATAAGATAAACATAACAACGGCAGAAACCAGAAACACTGGCACCCAACAGTTGTTACCACCAACACACGCCATGGTTCATCTCTTTATCCTGCAGTTAATAACACCTCTAGAGCCTTTCAATACCTCGAAGCAGACCCAATATGACGATATAAAGCCGATAAGCTCTTTCGACTTTGACAGCCACAGTAGGGGGCGCAGTGATTACCCTACCGTGTGTATTGGGTTTAACTCTTCCAGGGACGTAACCACAGAAACAGTATCTTCATACTGTTCTGTGTAACCCCGTACAAACAGGAACGAAAACGATAAAAACGTTTAAATTAGCGAAAAAAACATCCCAAAACGGCAATTCCCAATTCTACGAGTACGAAAAAAGGTGAAAATGATCAGATTACAGCAAAGCGCAACGGTTATACACAGATACTCCCAGCCTCAATTAAGCACCCAGGGATGTCATCACAGGGTTTATTGGATGGAGCAGCCTCTGAGCTGTTCAACACTTATGAGACGGACTACCAAGTTGCTCATAACGAAGCAGAACAAAAGCTATCACAAATCTCGGACCTCGATGGTGGTATGTGTCCCTGTTCTATCGACCGATATGAGCCCCAACCCCCTATCTGCTTATCACCATTACTAACACTATGGATTAGAACCTCGTAGAGAGGCGATGAAAGCCGTCGAGAAGTCCACTGATGAGTGTATTGAAATCGTAAGTTAGATGAAAACTGTGTTTTTTCCTTCTCAAAGAACCCTCAACTAATCGAACCAATGCCTATTTAGCTTGATCAACTAGCCATTGAAGTACAAAACGTCCAGTCCGGTGCCAGATCAGCGTACAACGCAAAGATCAGATCTTACCGTTCAGATGTGGATAAGCTCAAGAAGGGACTCAAGAAATTACAGGACGATGAGGATAGAAGACAACTACTGGGCTCAAACAACTACTCAAAAGATCAACAACGTTCACAACTCTTACAGTCCAACGCTGCACTTGAGAGAACTTCGGAGCGTCTTAGGGAGAGCTCCAGAATTGCAGCAGAGACAGAGCAAATAGGCTCAAACATCATGCTGGACTTGAGAGGACAGAGAGAACAGCTTCAAAACTCCAGACAGACCTTGTTCGAGGCAGATGGATATGTCGATAGAAGTATCCAGACTCTAAAGTCCATGACTAGAAGAGCTGCTGCAAACAAGATAATATCCTACGCAATTATTGCAGTGTTGATCCTCCTGATCCTATTAGTTATTGCTAGTAAATTCTGGTGATGTTATTTGGAGTCACAATTATGTGTGTAAGCTAATGTGTAGTTAAGGGGACATCTATGTGTTTTGTACTTATAAGCCACCATCTAGATGTAGGTGCTTCCGACTGAGAGCACAGTAGAATTCGCTGTGGTTCTATAAGGCCACCTCATAGATGAAAGGTGCTACTTAGGGGCTCATTTCATGATGTGAACCACAGCTTCATCCTGGTACAGCACCATTTAACTCTTCACTCCGCAAGGCTTCTTTGCTTGAAGGGTTTACTAATGAAGTGGGTACTAGGCTGAGGATTGAGTATAATTTTGTAACATTTACAGACAAGAACAAGATCTTGGTTGAATAATAGATGGTTGACAATGAATATATACTGGTGAAGAAACACTATTCTAAGCTGGACCAGGCAGTAGTCACTAGCTGCTCTAGCCACTGACATATAGAGTACATTTGTAGAGGGAATCATCACCAGGCTGATTCTCAATGTACAATTCCCTACCAATGAGACAATTGCATTTGAATCCCAGGTTAGAGGTGTGTTTAAAATTCGTATACCTTCCTCAGTGCTCTTATTAAGGCGATGTCAGTCGAAATGAAGTCTGTGATCTTCCAACGACGTTTTTATTCAAAACAAATGTTGATTTGGTTGGGAATCTTAGTACCAGTTCTCAAAATATGATGAGGAAACAACTGTTATACTAGTATAAGATATTACTTTAGTAGAAGAAGCATTTGATGAACTATTTCTGGTAGTCTGTTATATATATAACACAGCGTACAATCTACAATTCACGGTCGCTTTGTGCTTTTCCGCATGGATAACACAGCTGGACATCTGCATTCGAGATAATGTGTACTGCTCTAAATACAACTTGAAGCTGAGTCCACCAATGACATATTACAAGGGCCATTTTTCTCACTAACACAACGCTTGAGTAAATTTACAATATGAGTAAATATTGGAATTATCAACACTTCATTAACGACATATCTAAGTTGAACTTCAGTGCTCCAGTTTCCGGAATAACCTGTTGATGTTTCAGATGAATCCAGCTCTTGAAGTAGAATGGCATAACAAATCATAACTCGTATTCAGTAGTTTTGAGCACCGTTTTAAAAAAGTTACCAACTTCCCTGGTATCATTGCTGATGAAGCGTCATTGTCTTCATCATGAACAAAGTTGTTCCGAAGACAATCTCAACAGTTGTACATAGTATGATCCACACCTTTTTGTCATTCAGCTGGTTGTCAACCTTCTGTGTATCACTACAAGAATGGCGCTCATTAGGCGTCCAGTCCCATCCTCACACGGCGTGATGACGAAATCTGGTAAGTCCTCACATATAATATGCATATATACTCAAGTCTCATGCATATCCTAGGCCAATTTCACTCTCCTTCACACCAACTTTGAATCGAGCTCTGTCAATGTGTACCTCTGTAAATCCTTTTTATAGAATAAGGAAGTGATAAGAACAGAATCTGTTCCCTTTACATTTCAGATCACTCTCACAGTATCCGTTTCGTATTTCTCGCAACGACAGCTTGTCTGATCGCACAGAGTATATGAAGTGATCATTGCTCTCCTAGTCCTTCTCCCTCGCTGTCTGTATCAACTAACAATGCATTAGTATTCTCTATCTGTCTAGGACGACGCTACTGAAGAGGCTTTTGCCAAACCCGAGTCACGGCGATCACCTTAGACCCAAATCGACCAGTCCTAATAAGGTTGATGGTTTGCTATCTTCATGCAATGCGACATGACTTTAGTACCTTCATAGCATAAAGATTTGTAATTTTTGGCCTCAGTGTAGACTCTAGTTCAACGTTCCATGGGATAAGAAGTAACACACAGAGTGGGGCAGGAAATCACGGAGACATCCATCCATTTCTTGAACTTAACATAGGATCGACAAGGTGTGAGAAATAAGACTTTGATGACAGGCTTCGACGTTGAACAAGTCCTTGAACAATTAACCACAACGGAAAAAAATGGCGTCATTGATTCAAATGACCTTTGGAGTGCTGATGGTCGGCATAGGTTGGGAGTGCCATCGTTGAGATTCTCCGATGGCCCAACTACACAGAGTACGATACTTTTAGACGGTGCTTCTCGTGCCGTTTCACCCTGTGGAAGAACACCGGAATCGGCCTTTGACAATGAAGTGTGGAATGAAGCTGATGAAATAGCCGGTGTTGAGGCGAAATACAAAAACTCATATGGTGATGTCTGTCCAGCCACCAATATTCAAAGAGGTGTACTGGTTAGTAGAGGGTTTGGATCCTTCCACGGAGATCCTTATTTGACAGATGTTACAAGCTCGAGAGATAACCTATGCTTACAGAGCCAGCAATTTGTTGCCACTAGAAGTCATTGCATGGGTAACAGTTTGGAGAGTGCAAGGGATTCTTCTGGCTCGCTCTTCACAAGCCCAACCTCACGTCAATCCTCAACTGCCTTTGGCAGAAATAGAAGGTCCAGAAATGGTTGCTTAGAATGTCGAAAGAGACGAACAGGTTGTGATGAGATCAAACCGTGCTGCACTCGGTGTTCTAAGAAAGGACTTCAATGTAAATATCAGTTCAAATTGAAGTTTAAAGAGGATTACGATTTAAGGGGGATTATGTTTGGTCGAGAGGGACTATCATACAATGAAGATACTTCCAAAAAATCAGGGATCAACACTATAGCTGACTTCACCAAGCTGGCTTCTGATGCACACTACCAGGCTTATCCTGATGGCTCAGCTTTTCACTTCATTAATGCTCAGATCGGTACTTTCCACCATCAAAACGGAATACTTGGACCAAGAGCTCTATACCCAACTTCTTTTATCCCTTTCGACGTTAAGGAACATTTATCCTCGCAAACAGACTCCTACAACTATGCACTTAGTTATTACATGGAAAGAGTGGCACCAATCTTCACACCCCTTGGAGTATCAGGTGTCCTTGAACTATCTCCAGGTTGCAGTGTGAAACTGAGTGCCGGTTTAGATCTCACACAGTTGATTAGGTATTCCCAGTCACATACTAACGTTTTCCAAATCCTGCTAGCTGTTGGTGCTGGCTACTTGGGGAATATGAAAGATATGTCCAATCGTCAGTACTGGACTGAGGAAGGTAAAAGGTTTAGGAAGGGTGCGATGAAACGATTACAACACAAATTTCAAACATTGGAACTGGCTACTGGTGATAAGAGTACTCTTAATGAGATCTTGATATCAACCTTTTTACTCTGCTTATACGACTTGGCGAATGATTGTCATGAAAACTGGTCTTCAAACATCAAAATAGCATCTGCATTGATTTCAGAGTTCCCAATATGTGCATCTACAGAGATGGAAAGGAAGCTGCTGAGTTTCGTCTGCGATTTCTTTGTATACCAGGAATCTATGGGCAGAACCGTTTGTAAGAAGACGAGTATATTCACCCCTGAATTGACTGAATTAGGTGATTCCAAGGATACACGGGGCTTAACTAAATGGACAGGCTGTAACTTCAAACTTGTGGAAATAATCTCTGATATTACTGACCTATCTTATGAGAGAGCCTTGCCTAGTGAAGTTATTACACCAACGAACTTCATGGAGATGGTTAGCTCAATTGAAGAGAACTTGGAGTCTCTCAAGTTGCAGGTCCCAAATAATTTGGAAACCAGTGAAGAATTCTGTTTCCTATTGGGCTGTGAGACTAAACGAATAGCTACGAGATTATATCTACACTGTTCAATTTTGAATAAGACACCAAAAGACCGTTTAGTGACGCAGCTGGTTGCAGAGATTCACGGTTACTTGAAGACAATAATCCAGGAGAATGGGTACATGTGGTCTTTTCTTATTTGGCCTCTGTTTATTATGGCATGTGCAATCGACCCATGGAACGATAAATGTGATCAACTTCGCTATTTTGTGCTGGAATGCTTCGATATGTTAGAGAATAAAACGCTGGGGAATGTCAATAAGACTAGACAGATAATCATTGATCTATGGAACAAGAGAGATCTATCAACAAGTGGTAATGAACGATTGAACAAGTCCTGTGATGGAAATGGATTGCTGGGATCTATAAACGACTGGGAGTTCTACGTTGCAGATAAAGGGCTGAACATTTCTTTGGGTTAACAAAGAGATCACAATGTCAAATCCAGTCAGAGATGTCTTTCAAATCCTGAACAGTACCTGTGCCTCCTAGTCTATCTTGAATTCTGTTCTTGGTAGTTTCAGGTCTCCACTTCCACTTCTGAGACTTATCCTCGTCTGATAAACAGCCGTTAATGACCAGTTCCGAGACGTATTTACCAACAATTGGCATAAACTTGAACCCATGCCCAGAATCACCTGTAGCTAATACTAAAGAGCCATTCTTATAATCTGGATGTTCGCTGATTAAAAATGACCTATCAGGTGTATCGGTACACCAGCAGATCTTCTTCTTCACGAACTCTCTATCTGCGAACTCTGGTAAAGTCTGCGAAAAGATCTTTCTGATGGCATCTTCACATTCCTTTGGGATAGAATCTCTCGATATTGGCACAGAAGATTGTGGATTCTTCTTCGAATCAACGTAGTTTGTGAAACCAGGTGTTTCGTTGCATATCTTGATTTCATTGTTAGTATCAGGCTCGAAGAAGAATCCTTGGTCCATATTCAGAATCACAGGCATATTCTTGAACTTCTGAGCTTCTTCGCTGCTGAGCTTGATGTGTGCAAATGTCCAACATTTAGCCAACATCTGATCTTCAAAGTCCAAGATACCAATAGAAGATGCACCTGAAGCAACAACAGTCTTTTCAGCAAGGTACACAGTACCTTCTTCTGTAGTGCAACCTTTTACCACACCATCTTCAATGACTAATCCGTTGGCTTTACCAACCAAGATCTCACCACCAAGGTTACGCACCTCGTCGGCACATTGGATCAGACAGTTCCTTGCGTGAGCCCAACCACATTCATCTTGCTGGAACCCTCCGCTCCAACCTGACAGCTCACCTGTCAGTTGTGGCGCAACTTTCAAGAACTCATTCTTCGATGTCAGAGGAACCAATGGGGACTTTCCCAGTGATATTCTTTGACGGTCAATCTCTTTCACTTCTTCAGATGCTTCTAGTGAAGTGCTGGCGTAGACGATGCCAACTTCATGGAAATTTGGTTTAAACACATGGTCGTTCTTCCAAAGTTCCAATGCCCCGAGTGCAAGATTATAGTGGAATGCATCTGCGTATGAGGTTTGTATGATCTTGTTCACGTCATTTGCAGCTGAGATATCAGACGGAATTTCAAAAGCGTCAATAACAACAACATTGCGGTAACCACTTCTCAACAACCACAACGCTGTTGATAGTCCAAATGTACCACCACCAACGATGAGGATTTTCGAGTTGATTGGGAGCTTTGACGGCATAGTATGATAAGGTCCTTGTAGTTCTACGGATAAAGAAGGATGGAGAGATTAGATTAAGATTACATGGATTGTTTTTTTATATCAATGTGGGATAAAATCACATCCATGGGTCGACCTTCCTTGGAAGTACCTGTCTATGCAAAACCAGGTGGTATACGAAGACAAGACATATAGGTTTAGTCCATTCATCTAAAATTTTTTGAGGAAGGTGATTCCGGAGGTGCATATTGTTTAAGATAGAAGTTGACTATATGAATATTCCGGTCTGACTTCAAACACTTCGTCGTCCAACCTTTAAGAACAGCTGTAAGCGATTATCAACCCTCTCCGACCACGGCTAAGTTACACATGTACATCTTCCATTGGAAATTGGACTAGTCTCTATTATACTAAAAGCCCACAAGGGAGACGACAAAAAAGGCCGGTAATAGAGCAGGCAGCATGCAAAAGGACGTGATATGGCTAGACTTGCAAAGTCGTACGGTAAATAGACCTCAGTCTGTTTCCTGGTTCCCTAAAATAGGCGGTGGGGGCTGCTTACTGCTTTTCAAACTCAGCCATTCTTAGGCCCTCCCTTTTCGGTGGTCTTCAGGAACCTGGAACAGAAACCCGGCCAAAGTCGGTACAAATTGTACACTGTACTCAGATGCTTCCAAAACAACGTTGCAAGTAAGTGGATAAACGCAATGCTTCACAAGAAGATCAACATAGTACCTTCAAAAGGTTTCAAAGTCTCGGAAGGCATCTCGCACATGGCCCATTGGGACTTGCGAAAACCTTATACACCCGGCTGCATGAAAAATGGGACTCGGAAAAAACACTCGCTGGACTATGGTGAGCTTTCCAAGTCTCTTGCGAAAATCTTACACAGAGTTGTATACGTATTCAGAACATAAGCGAAGTTGATATTATACACTCTACCTGATACAGAAGATGTCAGCCATATCTGTGTTAGACTCCCTTGAGACTGAGACTGAGACTCGAGTTGGGGATTTGACTTAGCCATAGTGGAAGGAGCTTCCCTTTTATCGGTGATAAGAGGCTTTTCTATCTCCACCAATGATAAGCCTAGAGCCGTAACAGAAAGTTATTCCGTGCAAGTCCAATGTTGGCCGGACTGGTCTCAGTGCTGCATATGCAAGATTCTGATGCGCAATGCATCAACAAAACATAGTTCAAAGCTCATGGAGTGCCTTCCTAGGAAACGCTGGAATCTCCATAGGAAGGTAATTCCACTATGGTGCGGGTCATACCAGTGAAGGCCGAGTGGAGAGTGTGATAAATACGACAAATTAAATTGGTCAAGAATGACACAAGCGATAAGGGAAGAGCACTGAAGATGGGGTATTTAAGACCCCAAGAACGACACCAAACGAGAGCCTTGAAGTATTCCTATCGCACGACAAACAGCCACCATGGACGCAAAGGAGGTTGCCAGTGTCGGAAGCTCGTCTAAACTTAAAGGTCATACTAATACAGAGATCTATGAGATGGGGTCTTACGATAAGGAGGAGGCTATTGTGGAAACTACTCTTTATCCTGTTGATGGCGACGTTGTTGACGTTGAAAGAATTCTCGATGAAGACGAAGACGTTTCACCGATTCCTGAAGTTAGAGCTACAGTTCCAACAACAGATGATCCAGACTTACCGGTGAATACCGTTAGAATGTGGGTTCTTGGTATCTTATCAACAATTGTTGGTGCCGGTGTCAATCAGTTCTTCTCCATGCGTTATCCAGGTGTTACTATCTCAGCCCTCGTTTGTCAATTAGTCATTTACCCAATTGGCGTTGCTGTTGCTAAATATCTCCCTGTCTGCAATCTCAACATTGGACGTTGGACTATTCCAGTGAATCCCGACCACCACTTCAACGCAAAGGAACATGCACTGATTACAATCATGGCAAATATCTCCTTTTCTTCATCTTATGCTACAGATGTGATTCAAGCACAAGTGGCATTTTATGGACTGCCGTTGGATACGGGATATCAGGTCCTAATGGTTCTTACTTGTCAGCTGTTCGGTCTTGGTGTCGCAGGCTTGTTAGATAACTTCTTGGTGAAACCTTCAAGAATTTATTGGCCTTCAACTCTAGTAAACGTTGCACTGTTCAGATCTCTACACTCGAATGAGAATCCAATCGCAAATGGCTGGAAGATTTCAAGAATCAGATTCTTCCTGATAGTGTTCACCTGTTCTTTCACATATTACTGGTTCCCAGGTTACATTATGCCTGCTCTATCCTATTTCACCTTCATATGCTGGGCTGCGCCAAAGAACATAGTTGTGAATCAACTATTTGGTATGTCCCAAGGCTTGGGCTTCTTCCCATTGACGTTTGATTGGGCCCAAATCGCATATAACGGTTCGCCATTAGTGACACCACTTTCTGCGCAGTTGAATACACTGGGTGGTGTTGTCATTTTCATCATGATCTTGACACCTGTATTATACTATACAAACACTTTCAATTCTGCTTATCTACCAATCAGTTCTGCAAACGTCTTTGATAACACCGGTGCTGAGTATGATGGTTCCAGGATCATCGACTCAAATGGTAAGTTCGACCTCGCCAAATACCAGGCATATTCCCCACCTTATTTGGCCATTTCGTATGCTGTGGCGTATGGAACTTCATACGCGGTTCTAACATCAGGTCCTATCTATGCTTATTTATACCATGGAAAGGAAATATGGGATGCTTTTAAAGGTCGCATGAAGAAAGACGTACACGTCAGAATGATGGATAAGTACGACTCAGTTCCTAAGTGGTGGTCACTGGCTTTGACAGTCGTTGTCTTTGCTGTTACTTGTATTATTATGGAAGTTTATCATATACAATGGCCGATTTGGGGTATCTTTATGGCTTTTGGTATGGTGCTGCTCTTTGTCCTGCCTATTGGAATAATCTACGGGTCAACGAACATCAATACAAATAATATGACCGTTCTGGGCCAATTGATATCAGGTTATCTCTTACCGGGACTGCCAATTGTCGCTTTGACTTTCAAGTTCTATGCCTTCACCGGTGTGTCACAGGCTTTGTCGTTCTCATCTGACATGAAGCTCGGCTACTATATGAAGATTCCCAAAAGAGATGTGTTCAGAGCTCAGTTTATCTCTTGTGCCATTGGGGCACTGGTTCAAGTTGGAATCCTTATTTTCATGTTAAACAATGTCAAAGACATTTGCTCATCTGATCAGGCCGACAACTTCACTTGTCCACAAGGCCGTACAAACTTTGCAGCTTCTGTTGTGTGGGGAGCTGTTGGTCCAAAGAGAATGTTCGGTATTGGTGGCCTCTATGCTCCATTCCTCAACTTATTCTGGATTGGTCCACTCTGCACTATTGTCACCTACTTCCTATACAAGAAGTTCCCTAAGAACTTCCTATTGAAGAATCTGAACTGGGTTGTTGTCTTTGGAGGTTTGGGTAATTTCCCACCAGCCACAGGCATCAACTACACCTCTGCAATCATGGTGGCTGTCATATTCAACTACTTCATCCGTAGAAAATACGGACAATGGTGGTCGAAATACTTGTTTGTGCTGAGTTGTGCCTTGGACGTTGGAGTTGCCTTGAGTGGTATCCTCATCTTCTTCGCCCTCTCGTATCCGGGAGTAACATTGAACTGGTGGGGAACTGTTGGGTATGCAGATACTGCAGATGGTAACCTAACACCATATTACTCACTTCCAGCCAGAGGCTACTTTGGTCCTAGCACATGGGACTAGATTGTGTTGATGTGTTTCACGGCTGCGCCGTTGTGAAGACCTAGTAGACTCCATCTTATCCGAGTGGAATGAAGAAAATTTAATAAACAGTTGGTTCGTCTAGTAACAGGTGCGTTTGACATAGCAAGATCCACTATTGTTGTAAGGAGTCAAGCATACTTTATCCTTTCTGGCTGAAAAGATTATTCTCATGGAGCCTTTTCAACCTCATATAACCATCTTCCAAACAGTTTCTTTGGCAATTCAGCATATAGAACAGATCAGAGATAGCGGTCTGGACCTTAATATAGCAGGCATGCTGCTCTGAGTTATATGCCAGTATAAAATGATACAGAGATTTCTCTGACATCAGCTGTAGAGACTTGTTGAGTTTGTGATGTACCTGGAAATGGCCATTTCTTGTATATATAATCACCAGACTCTCAAGAAACGAGGACAGAAAGGTCAAAGTCACTGTGATCCACTTCATAATACAATATTTCAAGCTAAACAGCATATTGGACCTCTTAAGAAAAGTACCCTGCTCCATCCAGCTGATGCACTTGATACATATCTTGAAGAGAAACCCTCCTTTGCAAAACCTTGCTATTCAAAAAAGAAATCCATACACAGTTTCATCCAGATAAAGAGTTATCTTTCGGTCAGTCATCACTCCTCTGTGTTCAAGCATTTGTACCACTACCGGAAGATCTGTGCAGTACAAGTTGATTAAGGTAGATGAGTTACTTAAGAGACATACTAAAGCGTAGGGTAGATCTAGATCTTACTTGAATCTCAGCTTGCACTGTATTGATTCCTTCTTTTCTTCTGTTTCTGTGTTAGTTTAAAGTGTAAGCAGAATATATATCTCATTAATTGTGGGTCTCAAGTTCATCGCTAGAGAACGTTCCATCCTCTTCATCCTTGTCATCATCATCTGGATGACCAGTGTTGAAGCTGAAACTGGAGAATCTATCACGAATATGTTCAAATAGCTTTCTATCATCTTCATTATCAGTATCCTCAATGTTAGTGGAAACCCTAGAAAGTGCAGCACTCGAATTCTTTGATGACTTGAGATTCACTAAATGAGCTTTGCTCTCATCATCATCCAACTCTAACATCTCAGCTGTTAATCTTGCAAGTGATTTCACTGAACGACGTCTCTCCAAACGCATTGGGATTGGAGTGTTCATACGTGGGAAATATGAATCAGGTTCAGGGCTTCCAGTGGCAGGAGTCTTTGAGGACTGTTTCATAGTCAAACCTGTATCTTGGATTAACTTTGCAACAAGACCAGTCCAACCACACTGATGAGAAGCTCCAAGTCCACGACCGGTATCACCTTCAAAGTACTCAAAGAATGGAACCAGATCTTGGAAATTTTCATCAACACTGGCCTTCACGTCATCACCGTTACATGGTCTCTCACCAGTCGATTCGTCCAAAGTGAAAATAGAAATCAAACGATGCTGGATACACTCAGCAACTTGTGCCAAATTCATCATGTTACCAGATCCTGTTGGACACTCAACTTTGAAACTCGGTCCATAATATAAGAAAAATCTTTGTAATGACTCAACTAAGAGGAAATTTGTTGGGAACCAAATTGGCCCTCTCCAATTGGAATTACCACCAAACAGCCCAGAATCAGATTCACCAGGAACATATGAAATGGAGTAATCTTGACCATTTACATACCATGAGTATGGATTCTTCTCATGGTACTTGGATAAAGATCTGATACCGAAGCTGGACAAAAACTCTTTTTCATCTAACATACGTTTCAAGATAGCTTTAAGTCTATCCTCATTCACTAACGCTAAAAGCAATCTTTCGCCAGCACCCTTTTGCGACATAGAGGCAATGTTTCTGTTGGCGAGACTAGTCTTGTTTTCAATGAACCAATTCATACGCTTCTTGAAACTTGGAAATCTCTCCAATAATTGAGGCTCCAGTGTCAAACAGGCATACAATGGAATCAGACCGACAAGAGATCTGATTGGTAACTGCTGTTTGGCTCCACCTTCCCAAGCAATTGCGTCATAATAGAACTGATCCTCCTCGTTCCATAGAGACTCTTCAGTTGGAGTAACAGTCCCCTTATCAGTTTCTTGTGGTTCACCCTTAAATGTCATGGCATCTGCGATTAGGAGGAAATGTTCAAAGAACTTTGAAGCAATGTCTTCATACACAGGTCTTTTCTTTGCCAACTCGAAAGCAATATTCAACATTTGCAAGCAAAAAAACGCCATCCAGCCAGTAGAATCAGCCTGCTCCAAACGGCCACCTGTTGGTAGAGGTTCAGATCTGTTGAAGATACCAATATTATCCAACCCCAGGAATCCACCTTCAAACACATTGTTACCATCTGTATCCTTTCTGTTAACCCACCAAGTGAAATTTAACAACAATTTTTGAAACACACGTTCCAAAAAGTCTTCATCGGTACGACCATACATCTTTCTCTCCAATTTATAAACTCTGAAGGTTGCCCAGGCATGAACCGGTGGGTTAACATCACTGAAGTTCCATTCATATGCAGGGATTTGACCATTTGGATGCATATACCATTCACGAGTCAGCAAATCCAATTGCTTCTTTGCAAAATCCGGATCAATAAGTGCAATTGGGATACAATGGAACGCGGTATCCCAAGAGGCGAAGAAATTATATTCCCATTTATCAGGGAGTGAGAGAATATCGTCGATGTACATATGTTTCCACTCTTTGTTTCTACCATTTGCCCTGTTCTGGGGTGGTTTGGGCTCCACTGGATCACCTTTAAACCAATCCTCTTGAATGAAGTGGTAAAACTGTTTTGTCCATAGCAGACCCGCAAAGGCTTGACGCTGGATCTGTCTCAGTTCTTCAGAAATTGGAAATGGGGTAATTCTCCAGTAAAAATTGTCCGCTTCTTGTTCACGGCGGGCAAACAATTGATCGAAAACCTGTTCATCTATGTCATTGGAAGAAGTATCCTTGGTGAATTTATATCTAATTGTGACAAAGTCACCTGGTGGAATACCACCATCTTCATCAAACGAAAACCAAGCTGCCGCTTTTGTACCAGTTTGATCTGGGTTAATAACATCATCGACTTCATCAACAATGTATTCATGGAAAGCGTCTTTAACGTACTTGGAGTCGTTTTCTTGGTTATACAATTTCTTCCTGTTTGTTTCGTTGTCAGTGAACAACAATTGAGGTTCAACATCAGGGTGTGATTCTGTGAGACCTGGGGAAGGGGCGAAAACCACAGCACGTTCACCAAATTTTCTATGGTTCACACCAATTGTATTGTCATCCAATTCATTCAGTTCTGGCTTATAGTCATCATGGCCCCAAGACCATGTGTTTCTATAAAACACTTGTGGGATCAAATGCAAGGGAGCCGGTTTATCAGATCTGTTGTACGCTGTAATTCTAAACGCCAACTCCTCGTCAGTCTCCTTTGCCATTTCAAAAACCACGTCGAAATAGTCATTTTCGTTGAAAACACCGGCATCTGGCAGCTCGAATTCCCTTTCAACTCTCGATCTATCGGCATTCTTCTGCTTCAACTCTTCATAAGGAAACGCTGAGTGTGGATACTTGTAGACGTACTTCATGTAACTATGAGTTGGCGTGTTATCAACATAGAAGTACACCTCCTTGACATCTTCACCGTGGTTACCCTGTGGGCCTGTTAAACCGTACGCCTTCTCTTTCAAGATCGGGTCCTGCTCGTTCCACATCGCAATGGAAAAGCATAAGAGCTGGTGGTTATCGCTAACACCAGCCAGTCCGTCCTCACCCCAACGGTAGGTTCTTGAGCGAGAATCCTCAAAGGTGAACGACTCCCAGGCATTGCCGTCATACGAGTAGTCCTCCCTTACAACTCCCCACTGGCGTTCGCTAAGGTAGGGGCCCCATCTTCTCCAATACGCCTGTTTCGCCTTATCTTCTTGTAGACGCTTCTCCTCGGCGGTAAGACCAGCCAATGAAGCGGTTGATTGCGTTCTTCTCATACTCGTTCTCTTGATACACGGGATGAGCTAGACAACTGAGCCAACTCCTTCAAGCAAAGAAAAAAAAATTGGCGTGCCTTTTTATATAAATACCGCCCCTTTGTTGTTGTTATTGTAGGTTGATTGCTACTTCTAGGTTAAAAACAAAAGATCCCGCGTTGGAAGTTCCGTTTCTCTGCCGCGTCGCTGATAAAACACAACACACGCACACAAAGCGTTTAGCCGCCCGCACAAAAACCCCATCGCTGGTTCTTGCTGTGTTAACCGAGTCTGGGCAGCTTTTCCAACACCAACGGCTGTTTGTGACCCATTGAGCTTTACCTCCAATGTTGAGAATCGACGCTCCAAGTATCGTAGTTGGTGATAGGATGTTTGGGCTGTTAACTAGGCGCTAACGCTTTATTTTCAGTGTGATGCCATGGAAGAAATACATTGCTGCACACCAATTCTGCGAGTGTTGTGGATTTCGCTCAATTGGTCTATCACTGTGTTGGAACGTATGTGGTTTCAGCGGTCCATGAGCTAGCCGGAATGGAACGTTCATAGGCTATTTCCAATTTTACCGCTTCCACGGCAATCAAGCTGACATAGTTGCAGAAGCGATGAGGTCGGAAATGAAAATCCAGGCCTCCACCTCGGATTCCGGCTCACCCTGAAATGCCTGTGGTTGAATGGTACAGAGCCTCCAGCTCGCACCTACACCTCGTAGAAGCCTGTGTATACATGGCGATTTGTGCCATGGGCTGGTGTTGGTTCGCCATACATACGTGAGCAGTGTGGTTTAGTGTGATATTCAGCATATGCACCAGAAAAACAGTGATTGTCTCCCTAAACGTGTGTTGATGCGCAAGGATGGAGCTGCTGCACTGTCGGCGTATTGATGGGAAGCAAGCGTACTTTAAGCTTTGGGAGTTTGGTGTTAAAGCCCAGCTTTTGTATCGCAACTGTCTTTCACGATTGCTAGCAGACTCAACTGTAGTAACAAGCTCACGGGTTAATTGATAAGAGCAACCGCTAGAAGCAGATAGCCACTACTCACCTGTTTCCTGTACCAATTATGCACCACCGTGCCATCTTAAGTTTCGTCTGTACAGAGGGAAGACGAGGAGTGCGGGACAGAGAGGACGTCAGAGGACAGTTCCCGGTGCGCCAATTGACAAAGAGACAGTGAGTGATGGGACCAGAGGTGACAGAATCCCGATGATATATAACACATGGCCCACCACAGTAATTTAAAGTGGTTCGAGCTAAAGGCTTTGACCTGCTGTTACGGCTTGGCCATACATGATGCGAGAGCCTGGCAGATCCCCCCTATGATAGACAGCGGGCGCCATGAGCGGACCCGAACGCCATTGCTGGTTCCCTGCCCCCCTACGCTGTCCAAACATCACCACGATTGGAATTCAGCAAAGCAGCCTCCCATAAAAAGTGGTAGCCTACAAGCTTCTCATTTGGGGCATTCATAAAAAGGGCACTCTGCCCCTCCAATGACCGAGAGCTCATCCCACCATCTCGTCCCCCACCAAAAAGAAAAATAAACTCGGAGTTTCCCCAGACGGGTTCCCTTTGTCTCGGTCACTCTCGGGTAAAAGGCGCTGCTGCGCCTACCACTGATCACTCGTACAACAAAGCAAAAAAGAGTCACTTACACAGAAATTAGCCAGAGAGAGAAAAAAACTCAGCGGCAACAAAACAATTCAAAACAAACACAAAAACAACTAACAAAATAAAGGGGGAAAAGCGTAAACAAACAACACGTCAGAGAACGAATAGCTCACCTTTTCACTGCCTGATTACCATACAACCACCCACTTTCCAACGGAGCGGTTGAACAAATAAGCGGGTTTCTTTGTATCAGTTTTGGTGTGTTTCGATTCTCGTCATCTCCTTCTCTCTCCCTCTTGCTCAACTAGAAAATGACTACTCCTTCAAAGTTCCCAGGGTTCAGACAGGCTGGTCCTTCGACTCCACAACCGGGCAGCGGCTCAAGACAGGCCTCCATTGTGGAAATGCTATCTACGCCACCACCGCTAGAGGCGTATACCGCTGAGCGCCGTGCCAGCGAGGAGATTCCTAAATCTGAGCTGCTGAGTAGAAACCCTTCCCAGTCTTCACAGTCATCTGCCGGTGTTAGGGACTGGCAGGATGTCAAGCTCAGTGAGCTGATCGAATCAGCAAAGTTGATTTTCATCAAGTCCAACATCAGCGTGGAGCAAGCGTTCAACGTGTTAGAGGATAACAACTTGACTTCGCTACCTGTTGAGGAGTTTGATAACGATATGAACTGTTTAACTTTTGACTATACGGATTTGAACGCTTACCTCTTGTTGGTTTTAGGCAAGTTGCAAATCAGCGAACAGGCATTTGCGCAGAACTCGTCCTACAAGAACCTAGATGAAGTTGCGGATCTCATACAGAAGGCTAAGAAAGGTGATCAAGTGCCAGTGAAATTTGTCGTGCAATTGGCTCCAAAGAATCCATTCTACAAACTACCAGAAACTGATTCGCTTTCCACAGTGGTGGAAATCTTGGGGTCCGGAGTTCACAGAATTGCAATCATTAACGAACAGGCAACTAGAATCACAGGTATTCTCTCACAGAGAAGATTGATCAAGTACTTTTGGGATAACGCCAGAAGATTCCCATCTTTGGAACCAATCTTCCAATCAACGCTATCGGAGGTGAATATCGGTAACTCAAAAGTTATGTCAGTGTTTGGAGATGAACCGCTAATGAATGCTCTTGTCAAGATGAACGTTGAAAGAATATCATCCGTTGCAGTTGTTGACCATCATTTGAACTTGTTAGGTAATATCTCGGTTACCGACGTTAAATTTGTCACAAAGTCTTCCCAATCGCCATTACTCCACAAGAGTTGTCTACACTTTGTGAGTCTTATCTTGAACCATAGAGGTATTGAAGACGGTAAGGATTCCTTCCCAATCTTCCACGTTTATCCAACTTCCTCCATCGGTAGAACAATTGCCAAGTTGGTTGCAACAAAATCCCATAGACTCTGGGTCGTTAGACCTTATGCACCATCATCGGCCTCGTCTAACCAATCAACATCATCTGCATCCTCGGTCAACGTTGAGAGTAATCCACTCAACCCAGAAAATGAAGGAAGAGCAGGAAAATTGATAGGTGTGGTGTCGTTAACTGATATCTTGGGATTGATTGCAAGAAGACATGGTAAATATTATGTTGATCCGAACCAGGCAAGAAAGCAAAGAAGAAGATCCTCTTCCTCTTCAACGAGATCCTCGGGTTCCTTGGAGCAGTTTAGAAGATCAATCAGTGGTGCTTCTGATCTAAGATGAAACTTGTACAGCGCCTGACGTCTTTTTTTCAGGAAACACGGGCAACCTCTTTAAGATTATATTATTTCTTTTTTTATTACACTCTTTATTGAACTGTTATCTGTCTTTATTTATAGAAAGAATCAACAGAACAAAAGAAAGGAAACCATTTTGCATAAAACACCGTATATATATTGTAAAATTGTACGTATAACCTATTAGACTATTCCTAATGGCCAACCTATTGGTCTCGAAACTGCAACCTTGACGTTCAACTCTTCTGCCCACTCCCAGACCAATGAAGGTTTCTTCAAAAATGGGGAGCCTATGAAGACGACATCTGCATCCTCATTAGTTATAATGTCGTTGGCCAGCCATGCACTGTTGATTCTACCAACGGTCGATACCAAGATCTTTAAGCTCTTTTCCTTGACGTAATGCTTCACAGCTCTTGCAAGTGGAACGTGATATCCAGGAGGATGGGCAATCTTTATCTGATTGCTGTCAATTCCACCGCTTGAAACGTCAACGAGGTCAACCCCGTGCTTGTCCAATGCCTCTACAAGCGATAGCGTGTCATTCATATGCCATGCATCTGGATTGTTACTCCATTCCTCTGCGGAGATTCTCACAAACAGTGGGTGTTCATTGTCTTTAACTGCATCACAAATCTCCAATAGGAATCTCATTCTGTTTTGTAAGGGGCCACCGTACTCATCTGTTCTCTTATTCGAAGCAGCACTTAAGAAGCAGTTGACAAGATAACCGTGTGCAGCCTGAATCTCTACAAAGTCAAAGCCTGCAATTTCGATGGCCCTATCTCTTGCTTCCTTGTACTTTTTGACAACGTCTTTGATATCTTCTTTCGTCATTTCTCTTGGTACCGGGTACCCATCTTGTTCGCTGTATGATATAGCACTTGCTGAGATGATCTTTTCAGGTTGATCTGCCCACCCACCAGCTTCTTTCCCTATTGCTGTCAATGCCTTAGACGTGTGCAATGCCCATGTCGATGATTTCCTACCACCATGGCTTAACTGAACACCTATCTTCCCTCCTTGACTATGGACGAAATCAACCACTGGTTTCCATCCCAGGGCCTGGGAATCTGTTTCCAGTGCCAACTCCTCTGGTGAACACCGTCCATCTTCCGTGACAGCCACTGCCTCAGCGACTATCAGAGAACAACCACGTTCCACAACTGAGCCGTAATGGATCAAATGGTACAAATTTGGTGTTGCCTTATTGGGGCCTTCCTTATCAGTCGCGTACATAACCATTGGAGACATTGCGATCCTGTTAGGCACAGTCATTCCTTTTATCTTCAAGGGTGTGAACAATGGGGGAGCTTCAGTACCGTCCAAAGTGGAGATTACCGTTCCCGTGGGGTGCAAAGCTGCCGGAACAAAGTAAGGAATACCAGGAGATGGGTTAGCCATTGTTGATTCTCGATCTGCTCTCTGTTCTCTATCTCAAATGTTTGTATGATGGTGAAAACAGCCAAAGTATCAAAAGAACAAGAAGCAAATCATGTTACATCACGCACTTATATGTGGGTCGGAGCTGCACTGCGGAGGCTCATATGTTCCCAATTGGGTCATTTCCGACATTTTCTCCTGCGCTGCCCTCGGATCTTGAGAGATGCCGGAATTCTCAACTTCCACCTAGAAAATTCCGACCGAGGTTCACGATGTTGTTTATCAATGGCAGTGTTCTCCAACAGATTCACGGCAGTTTGACAGTACAACTCATCACAATGGCGGAGGAGAGCCTTATATCGTCGCTGTATCCACCCCCACCTGCGTACTACAAGTACTTCACCTCAGAAAACGTCAACAGGGCCAAAGAGCTTGAAGCTAGCAACGGAGAGATACCGGAAGATGCAAAATACCTCGAGTTTCTAACACCACCAAGACAACCTGAAGGGGAGACGTACAGATCTTTTGGTAATGTATGGCAATTCAACGATAAGATTCCACAGCTCGAAGATATGGGGATCCCACAGCTCTATAAGCCGTCTGATGTGCCCGACGGGGACGATTCCCAGGCCAAGATCCTCGCGTTGAAGAAGCTCATCAAATCATTGCTGCTCAACTTCCTGGAGGTTGTTGGTGTTATGAGCGTGGATCCCAAGGAGTTCTCACTGAAGGTCGAGCACATAAGGACGATTCTGATCAATATACACCATCTCTTGAACGAATACAGGCCACATCAGTCCCGTGAATCGCTGATACTACTGATGGAGAACCAGGTGGAGACAAAGAAGAATGAGATCCTGGAGATCAAAAGGGTCTGCTCCGAGGTTGAGGACAAGATCAAATCGCTCGTCGAGATCTACGTCGACGGCAAAGCAGAGGTGAAGCATGAAGACGATGAGCTACAACCTCCACAGGAGGTTCGCTCTGAGATGGACGTTGACCCTGTAGTATAGCTCATACACAGAAAAAGGACGTTATGCCCCCTGTTGACCCTCACCATGTAGCACAATCCATACTCAAATACACTTTAATTGGCCTCATCAGCCACTGTAGACAGTATAAAATGGCAACTGCTAACAAACTCCCTCCCTCCACCACCCGGGTAACTATAACTCCACCAGTGCTTTTTTGCCGCGCGGTGAAATTTACACAGAGGAGCTCAAACACACACTGCCAAACACACAGCCAAACACACACAGTCAGGAAGCTGACGGCGGAAAGAGTAACAATGAGCGCGGTTGAAGACGTAGAGTCGGTACAGGACGTCGATGCCATGGACGTTGATGTCGAATCACCAGCACGTAAGTACTCGTCTTGCACTTGTTTTGGAGAGAGGGGCCGCTATTGATCTGTCCTTCATTTATATTGATGGTTGTATAATACTGACACCATTGCCACTGTACAGCACAAGAGCAGAAGGTTAAGAAGAAATTTGAGGTTAGAAAGTGGACCGCCGTGGCGTTCTGGTCGTGGGATATCGTTGTTGAGACCTGTGCGATTTGCAGAAACCATCTGATGGAGCCTTGTATCGAATGCCAGCCGAACTCGATGAGTAACTCGTCAAACGAGTGTATTGCAGCATGGGGGTCGTGTAACCATGCCTTCCATATGCACTGTATCTCGAGATGGTTGAAGACGCGTAACGTTTGTCCCTTGGATAACAGAGAATGGCAGTTCCAGAAGTACGGTAAGTAGGCGCTACGCACTATGGTTGATGGTTATGGTTGTTGATGTTATTTTATTCAGATTATAATGAGTTCTGGTTGTTTTTTTTGGCTCAGTTGCCACCGTAGTAACGTTCGGAACGGGCAAATCTTCCAAGGATTACAGAGCTGAGACACTGCTTGGAGAAGTCTTCGACGACTTGCTCAAATTTGTCCTTCTCTTGATCTATCCAGAACTCTATGAAAAAGATGTAGTGCCACGGTGTTTCAATGGACGGTCTCGAGGTGATTGAGGTCAGGTTGATCTTCTTGTCAGTGAGCACTTGCAACGCTTTCACCAGTGCACCTGGGTCCTCGTGTTCCACTGTAAACGCCAATAGCGTGATGTACTTCTGAGGCAGTTCCACTTGGTGATGCTTGCTCAGGACTAGAAACCTAGTGGTGTTGTCCTTGACATTTTCAACGTTTCTATGCAAGATTGGAACGTTGTGGACCTTTGAAGCGTATTCACTGGAGATCGCAGCGTGTCCGTCTCCCATCTCGGCCGCAATCTCGGCAGCCTTTGACGTGGAACTTGTATCGATCTTCTCGATGTGTGGATGATTGAACAGCCAGTTAGTGACTTGGCCCCAGGCCTGTGGATGGGTGTAGATCTTCTTAACCTTGGACATATCAGTGGAATGAGTCAATACGCAGTGGTGTATAGCGACGAATTGCTCGTATACAACTCTCAGCCCACTGTTTGGGTTCCTTACCATCCACTCACAGATCAAGTCGTAGGCGAGGGCAACCTGGCCATTGGTGGAGTTCTCGAACGGCACAACAGAGAAGTCCACCTCTTCATCCTCCAGCAGCGAGAAGCAGCCTATGTCTATGTCAGTCTGAGTTCGTCTTGCCGAGGCGATACTACTTACTCTTGATAGTTGGCTGTGGAACCAACTCTGCGTCTCCATTCCCAAACTGCTGAATAGCAGCCTTGTTTTCATGTTAGTGTGTTGATGGCGAAATGCCTCGACTGACTCACCTGGTGTGTATACGTTCCCTCAGGGCCCAGGTAGGCAACTTTGAAGGGCATTCGACCTATGTCCCGTTGACTTGTGTCCCGTTGACCTGTGCGTGTGTGTGCCTCGAGGACGAAGAAGGAGAAGCGCTGATGCGCTGAAATTTTTCACCGGTTACCGGGCCTGTTGCCGGAGAAAGGCCTACAGACTACAACATCATACATCTGTTCCCACATCACAACGGTGTATATACAAGTGTGGACTAAGTAATGGCTCAGTTCTCCAAGGACTGTGCCTCCTCGACTAACTTGTCAACGTTGAAGTTAGGCGAACCGGACGTGAAGTCTCTCAGGAGCTGTAGACGACGCTGTGACACTGCGGTGTCGGCCATTGCCCCGTAGAATCTCTGCACGTTCAGCAGTAGCAGTTGAGCCTCCGGCAACTTCATCGCAGACTCCTTCTCCACGGTTCCGTTCATCAGCACAATCCCCTTCGCATCCTCCAGCTCCGTGTGGAAGGACACCGTTGTGTGAGGTCTTGCGAACTCGCCGTGTGTCTTGAACTCCAGCAGCGTGGTGAACATACAGTGGACGGTGTCTGGGCCAACAAATGCCCATTGGACGTAGTGCATCTCGATGCCATCGTCGTTACGTGGCAACGGCAGCACAAAGGTCGGGTTCTCACGGGCGTTCTTTATCATCTTCTGGAACGCCTCTGCTGGAACAACAGAGATCAGCGTGTCGTCCTTGTTGTAGAAGCGTGCCTTCCAGATCACCTCGATCTCCTGCGGCGTCAGCTCCTTGATCTTGGTGACGTCGATGAAGGAGTCCATGGTCTTGTAAGGCTTCTCAGGGATCCCTGGCGCCCGTGGGTCTCTGATCTTACCCTCTCTGCCAACCTTCTCCTGTGCTTCCATCGCAGCCTTACGCTCAAACTCCTCCAGCTCTTTCAGCGGGTCCACACGGTCAAACTCCTTCCGCTTCTCGCTGATGACATCCTTCATCTTCTCTTTCAGCTCCTCGATGCTGCTGGCCCCCATCTCATGGGCCTTTCTTTGCAGCTGCTCCTTGTATCTTTCCACTGGCTCCTTTGAGGCCTTTTGCAGGTGGATCGAGGTGCACACCGCACCTCTCGCGAGGAAGGGACGTAGGCATAGCGCCCTGGCTCTAATTACTGGAATCATCACTCCTCTTCGTGCTCTGTCTCAACCCGTCTAAGCCAATTGACAAGTGAATGGAACCGGACAATCAGTGAGAAGTGTGAGCACGGGAAAAATAAAACCCAGCCCGAAAAAAAATACACGAAATGATGCTTTTCGCGTCGTTTTGTTTTCCACCACGACGGAAAAGTTGATCTCTTTTTCTAAAGCTTTTGATCTATTTGCATAGCCTTCGAATACACACAAAAAAGTGTTGATCTTTTTCGCTTTGTTTACTTTTAGCCAACACCCCTTTAATACCCGTTGCACTCTGGAATCATCACCACGGAAAGGGACCTGGCGCTTCAACATCAACAGCAACAGCAACAGCAACAGTAACGGCGGCAAGCAAAAAAATCTAAACTTGGATCAAGAACACATACCAAAGTGACACAACAGACTAGCACAGACCAACAGCGGGAGCTCATCCGGATCACGATGAGTCAGGGCGCTTCTCATTCCCAGGAGTTCAGGCAGAAGGGCTCGGCTCTAAGTTCATCGCCAAAGAAGAAGAGCAAGGCCGCTTTGACGAATAAACCCTTGCCGCTGCCTGAAACGGTCCCATCAGCGTCCCCATCTGTCGGTGCGGGCGCTAACAATAGCACTGTGAAAAACAACAACAACGGAGTGAACGGCAACAGCGGTGTTGAAGACGATGACAGCGACGACGATGACGAAGAGTTTGTCCATGAATTTACGAGGAACGATGTACGCGAACTAATACACTGCATCACGCAGGAGTTGAAGGTTAGAGGCTCAAAGACGCCGTTGCTACTGCTGGCGTTTAGGCCGAAGGCTTCGGAAGCCAACCTGACAGTATTTTTGGCACAGGTGATACCCAATGGTTCTACGCCAGCCAAGCTGAGAACCATTGAAAAGGTTGTGTCCAATGCAGATGTCTATACGCTGATAACGGCGTTGAAATACCTCTGGGCAAGATTGCCCACAAACGCGATCATTGGATGGGACTCGTATGAGAACTTTAAGAGGCTGGAAGCGAACGACAACTACCCCAAGAGGGCATTTCTGGAGTATATGCCCCAATGTCTGTCTTCACCTTCACATGCTTCGATTGTGTATGACTTTTTGGATCTGATTGTATGTTTGGCCTCAAACTTCAAGGAGAATCAACTCAGCGGTAGAAAGATTGCCAAAATGACAGGTATCTGGGCGTTCAACGGACCACCTCCTTCCTCAAGCCTTTCAAAGAAGAAGTCGAATTCATTTGGTGATGGTCTGCGTGATTGGATCCCGGCAGCCGATGCAATGTTCCATCTGCTGTTATCGTTCTTGAGATCTATGTTACCTGAAGATTCACGAACAAAATTGCAACTACCGAGAACTTTACAGGCTTTACTTGCAAGTAATTCATATCCCCCACCTCCGGATATGACCCTATCGTCCACAACAATTGTGAGTGTGCCACTTGTCACTATAAAGACAAACGTTATGTCAACTTCCCCCGTTGAATTGATAAACAAAATCCCGAAAGTGTTGACGTTTAACAACCCAGATATGTTCCAGGCGAAGGAGGATTTTGCTCTGTTGAAATCCCTGTGTAAAAGTGACGATAACATCTTGAACAAGCTATCATCCGAGTCTAGGAGAATAATGGAGGCATTATGTGAAAGAAAATCAGGTGCACACCTGAAAGCAGGATGGTCAGAGGTTAGACCGAAACGTCCTACAAAGAAGGAAACAGAAGTGGAGATCTCTCGTGTTTCAATCGATGACTACTTTATATGGGCTTGGATGGCGAGCTTATCGTTTGAACAAACTGCAACAAAGAAGAAAATCTTTGGTAAATCCCTTATAACAGAAGTGGTATTTGATGGGTTTAAGAAATGGATCATAGTGGAGGAAGTGGACATCTCAGCGAGACTTTCGATCCCACCTCTACCGGAAAAGTCGAAAGTTAAAAAGACTATACAACCTAACTATAGATCCATGCTTGACGACTTACCACCTGATGATCCGTCTACTGCATCTCAAAAAAAGGCAAAATCATCAAAGAAACAGTCAAAACCTTTACCAAAGATTGTGATTAAGAGAGAAAAATCAAAAGAAAAACCAAAGACAGTATCCGATTTGGTGTTGAATCCTTTGAAAAAGATGAATCTACTTCACCATCAACACCAGCTCCAACAGCAACAGCAGAGTCGCCCTCAACAGTCACACCAAAAGCTCACCATGCCAAAACCTGTTGCAGCAAGACACATATCTGAGTATAAACCTTTGGAAGATGTTGGTGGATTGCCTGAGATAGAGACAAACCAATATAGATTGAGCATTCCATTGGAGGGATTTGGTCTAACTGAGTATTCTGAAGGTCACAACGCACAATACAACGCGTATGATCATGATGGCTACGATGAAGATCAGTATAACAATGGATATTCTGATGGAGATAGACAACAGAATGAACCACAGGGCTGGTATGACCAGCAGGGTCGCACACAGAACCAATACACATCGCCCCCTCAGAGACAGCAGAAACAATCACCAGAAGTAGAACAAGGGCAACAACAAGAGTACCGTTATTGGAGCTCACAAGATGAGTACAAGAGGGAGCCAGTCCCACAAGAGACTATCCAAGATGCATATAACCATGCCATGTCTATGTTGGAACCAAGTGACTCTCAAGAGGAGTACTATAAGCAAACTGGATCTATTGAGAACTTGTCCTCAATGGTGGATGAGCTTGGTATTCAAGTGAGTAACGTGGAGACAAAGCTTAATAATCGTGTTGCTCCAAATTATGATACTGTTGTGCCATTACCTATAGAAAATAATGAGGGTCCACCTACAAAGTCAGTCACACCATCTGAAGCAGCTTCAAGTTTCTATGGAAGAATACCATCTGTTTCCACTGATAGATCACAGAAGACTCCTGAGATTGACTATGATGACAATGGACGATTTGATCAGGCTACTCCTGTGGCAAGCTACGATAATCAAGAAGAATTCAATCAGGCTACTCCTGTCGTTAAACGTAATCAAAGAGCACAGATATCCGACTACCCAACCCAACAGAGAGTTAGGTCTATGGTTGACGATGTTCTTTCAGATGAAGACGTACATGGTCCACGGGTGCCTTTGAAAGGCCATTCTGAAAGTTATCAAAATGTGGCACAGTTGAAACATGATAATACTGTTGATATTGACGAGAAAAGAAACTCTATTTATCCGCAAAGTATTCTTGATGGTTACGGCTATACTTCGACAGATGGAAGTCCCACCAAATTGTCCAGAGATGCATCTTTCAGTGGTGTCAACAACAGTCAATCAAACCTTCCACAGTCTTTGTCGGCCAAAGACCTAGACTATATTCCAGATTCAAACTTGCCAGATATTCCTATCCCTGTTCCTTCACCACCACGAAGCCCAGTTGGTCAGAACAAGTTCTCGCCGGCATCGAATGGAGCACAGAGAAAACCAATTACCAAAAATTTACCTGGTAGCTTATCGTTAGAACCTGTTCCACGTTTATCACAGAGTGAGAAGAGAAACTCGTTTGTTGACACTGCCGGCAATATCTCAACTAGAGATGAATTGAGGGCCAACTTGACTGCTTCCTCGACTGACAATCAGAGGGATCTTCCGGGCACTCCTATTCCATCACGAACATATGAGACTCCTGATTCAAATGCAAAACGGATTCCAGAGACATCACTTGAGAAAGGCAAACATGTGCCAGCACAAAAGCCTCTGGAGGATTCTCAGCGTGGTCCTTCGTCCACTCCTCGATCTCGTCCACAACGGAAAGCACCTTCAACTTCACCTGATCGTCACCAAAGAACCACAGATGGTGATGTTAGTACAGCAGGTTCAAGAGGCCGAGGACAACCTTATGGTATGGTTACTGGAGCTGAAAGTAGAGGCACTGAACATTTACATGTTCCAATGCAGAGTGTTGGGTCTAGTGGTTCGGAGAATACTCCAAGGACCTCCTCTCCTTTACGTCCAAATGGTAGACATTCTCCAAGCCATGTACCTCACCAAAGTCCAAGTCCAAACAGGCCTCCTATACAGGGGCAAGGTCAAGGTCAAGGTCGCCGTGGAGCTCCTTCGAAGAATCAATATCCTCCACAAGGTTATCCTTCTCAAGGTTATCCTCCTCAAGGCTACGTTCCACAAGGTTATGGGGGCTATCACCCTCAAGTGCAGGGAAAGCACTCTAGCAACAACAGTGCATCCTCTTTGCCGGTTCAAAATGACCCTGGGATGTGGCAATCACCTCCCAAAGTTGGAGAAGCTCCCCGTCATAACAGCTTAGGCAGCAGTTCATCTGCCCCACCGAATGTTGGAAAGTTGAAATATCCTCAACCTTCTGGGCAGGGCTACTATCCACCTCCACAAGGTTATTATCCACCACCACAAGGCTATCCTCCACAGGGCTATCCTCCACAGGGTTATCCTCCACAGGGTTACCCTCCTCAAGGCTATCCTCCACAGGGCTATCCTCCACAGGGTTATCCGCAATACTACCCATCACCACAGGGCTACTACCCTCCACCTGCCGGCTATGGCTACCCACCTGTCCAAGGCCCACCACAGCAGTCAGCTTCCAAGCCTACTGGATCTGACCTCGTGTTGCAGTCGATGCCACCCACTTCTGTTGGAAATAAGCTGCACCACACTGGTAAGAACGGGAAGAAGAACATACGTGCCGCGCTTATTCAAGGTGACTTTGGTATTTGAATTGAACGTTTTATGAACTTTTATCTGTGTTATATATATAAATATATGAACTAATCGATATCACACTGTACCGTTTATAACCAAACAGTTAAACCTGTTGTAAATCATCGTCCTAATCTCTTAAGCAAAAAAAAAGTTAAAATCCCAATTAGGAAATTCATCGTCCCTTTTTTGTGTCAGAGCTGCGCGATAAGAAAACTCAATTTGATGTGTCACTGCAGCAACAGCGCGTTCTGTTTTTGTTTACATGTTTACAGTGCTTTTGTTTTCTGATACCAGTTTGTTTCAGCTTTACACAATCGATTGTTTACGTTTCATATACTCACAGTGGTGGTCTGGTGACTCTTTTGTCGTTGAAGAAGCACTGAGCGAGCTCTTTCAACGGTGGTTTGGTTCGGAACACTGACTTCTCCCCACACATTGGAAGGAATACCACACGTTACAATTGGGTCCTTAGGATGGTAATGTCTACAGGATTAGAAGATAAGAGCACGAGCTCTAAGAATGATTTGGTGATGTCTGTTCAAACAACACCGATGCTGTCACCCCCGGTGTCTCCAGAGCGCTCTGAGAGTCCGCCCATCACCAAGGATCGTGCCGCTGGGGGATGGATGGTCATTAAGTCTTCAGCGGTTGTCGATGGGAACCGCCGTGGCACCAAGCGGAGCATCAACACATTTCTAAGCCTTTACGAGGTCCGTGGAGTGAAGAAGAGAAATGCATATGAGGACCAGAAGAAGCCGACCAAGAGAGAGTCTCCAAAGACTGGATGTTCAACCCCACAGATTCGAGAAAAACCTTCACAGGGAGGTAGAATTGGGTCTGAAAGGGATACATCCTGCGGTTCCGAGGACATTTCCATACGTCGTTACTCTACAAGATCCAGACTGGCATCGTGTGAAGTTTCCAGAAACAGCTCTAGCTCGCCTATCAAGTTCGATGTCAAGCCAGAACCAGAGACATCTGGTTCAAAACACTGCTCTAAAGCTGGGTTTTTGCGAGAATGCACGGTTCAAATCATTCATGATTCACCAATTGGATCGATTCCAAACTTCGAGCCTTCTTTCACGGGTATACCAAAGAGAACAATCGAAAGGGCCGTTAAAAAAGCTGGGTGTGTCGTCAACGTATCGAGTTCAAAAGACTTTGGAGGCACCGACCTTCTACACGGGTTTGACTCTAGAGAGATTCTTATTATGAAAGCGTTCAAGTTGACACCACTACAATACGCAGATACAAAGAGACGGTTCTTTGCGGAAAAGGCCAGGAGGACCATGCTCTCAGTATCCTTTAAGAAGACCGATGCTCAGAAGGCGTGCAGAATTGATGTTAACAAAGCATCAAAGCTATATGAAGTTTTCGGATCACTTGGTCTCTTGGATGATGAATTATTCACTCTCTGAATCTATATGTGAATGAACCATGTTTTGTCTGTCACTGGCTCAACGCCCGCTGTTATTGCTTTTGAATAAGAGTTGGTTTCTCACCGTAATCAATCCATATGGTTCCTATGGAAGTTTTTAGCTTGATTCCACTGCTACCTGAGTTGAGTCACTTTGCTTTTGTTACTTTGAAAGTGTCCACAGTTGGCTTGTCATATCATACTCGTTAATTCAAGGTGGACTGCCTATGAGATTATAATAATTATAATTATTAGATAATTATTATAATAATCATACCGGTGGTACGGTTACCCTATTCATTACTTGGTTGGGGCACGCTTTCACCGTACACGGATCAACACTTCTTCCTCGCAACTGTTCATTTACCATACTATCGAGTGTTGAATAACAGGTTGAAATTGTTTCACTCTCGGTGTTAAATGGCAGTTAAGAAGAACAAAGAGTTGTTTGTGACGCTCAAACTCTCCAGTGAAGTCCTTGGCGAGCTCTCTGGAGCAGATTTCAACAAGGCGAACGAAGACCAAGGTGAAACACCAAAGTTGAAAGTGAAGCTGAATCCAAACGTGAAAAGGCAACCACTACCTTCTCCGACACCTGAACTGTCAACTGTCGAGGGTACACCATCTTCCATTCCACAGAGTGCTTCCAAGACGTCTCTGTCAAAGGTGCTGAATGCTGATGATTTGAAATTGGACAAATCAGGAAAACCCGTGAGGAAATGGGTGAAAAAGCCCCTGGAAATCCAAAGCTTTACTGGTTATTTCATGAATTACGATACGTGGACTGGTCTAAGGAGGGCAGATGATGACACTGTGGAGGAGCATAAGCCTTTGAAGATACAAATCAAGCTGAATAACAAGAATTTAGATCTTAAGAGTGTGGATTCTAGGGACCAGAGTCCAATGCCAGATGATGCGTCGAGTGTTGTTTCGACACCTGAGGGCTCACGGTTATCTACTCCCGCACTATAAGTCCACATTTATGAATACACAAGTCTATTGAAATCTATAACCTATTCCAAGAGGAGGCCTGTCACTAAGCCTAAAGCTGTAAGGAAACTGATTGATGCGAGCCAACTAGAAGAACCATTACCATGAGCCGTGATCAAGACTCATTGGTGATGATCTGAGGATGGTGTTTAATCCTGGAGCATCAACAACGCTATCTTCTTCCCTGGGTGTCAGACACTCTCTTTCAAAGCGCAGATGATGTCCAGTTAGAAGTTCTTAGTGGAACAGCAGGGCCTTCATACTGTTCACCATTCCAACAGTACTCTTGGAAACACGACTGGCAAAGTGGTGTCTGTGCAATATCATTACGCTCCTGCTCACGACGAACAATGGCACAGGAAACACACTTTGGCCAATCAGGATCAATCGTGAGGTTGAATCTCGTCGTGGCTTCAAACGCATTCTTGATGATTGCATCTCTTTGCTTGGTGCTGTAAGCCAATTGGAACGTGGATGTATTCGACCATGCACTGAACGATTGGTGTGGGATGTATACAACCAGAGGTGGCACCGTAGCCAAATCTGTTAAGTCTGACGAGTTACATCCAAGGAACAGAGGTTTCTCGTAAAGCTTGTTCTTGATATAAGTCTGTTCCGTTGGAATGTATGGGAAGGCAGTGCCATTTCCTTGAGAGCCAAACTGACGTTCAAAGGTCTTATTCAGGGCATTTGTTGATGGGAACTTGTCCTCAGTGTTTGAAGACTCGTCAAAGGCAAAGATGACATCAACATCACGCTCAGGCTGTACCAATGGAGCAAATGGGATGTTCTCCCAACCTGAACCACCATCAGCAAGATAGAGAGTATGGTCGTTCAGAACTGCCTCGTTGTTTCCATACTGTGACTTGTAAAATGGATTTGGCGAAAACAGTGATATGTCTGCAGAGTATTTGTCCAACACTTCAAATGCCTTGTGGACAACGTCACGGGGAATACCCTCCAACTTGCCGAAGAACTTGTCAAAGTTCACCAAGAACATGTTGAACAACGATGACGATACCCCAAGCACAAAGCCTGCGTTGTCAAACCCAGTGATACAGACATCAGTGGTTGGAATACCATTGGAGACTTCACTTCCAATATACTTCAAATCTGTGAAAGCATAGACGTTTGGGTCCCACGAACCAAGCTCGAACGGTGTGAACTCGAAGAAGCTTTGATCGTAATCGATAACCTTTGTGTTTGGAGTTCTGCCAACAGTCAGGGAGATTGGTAACGGCAATTCTGCATTCTTAAAGGATTCAAACTCCCTGATATCAGAGTATGTCAATGGAAGTCCACCGTGTTCCTCTTCTCCAAAGAACTGATATGCCAGTGCTCTTCCCCAGAGATCAGTGATGGAGATGTTGTAACCAGCAAATACCTTTTTGGAAACATCAATGATGATTTCTTCCCAACGGTCTAGAGAGCCACCCAGATCAAACCCTTCTGGTGAGATGATATCATGTGTCAAGTCCCACTTACCTTGGTCAATCAACTCCGGAACTGAACTCCAGTTATTGAGGGCCAAAGAACCAGTCAGCCAGTTACCACCTGATAAGCCAACCAGGTAGGTGGAACTTTGCAAAATGCCTCCTAAACCGTGCTCCAAAGCACCTGGGACTCGGTCATCAAGAGCAGCTATCTGGCCTGCACCATTCAACATTGCACGGAACCCACCACCAGAGAATGTGAGGCCGATGTTGATCGATCTATCAAGCGAGTCCAAGAACTCGCCAGCATCAAAATCCAACTCTGCTCTGCTCAGAAAGCTACGAAGGGCCTTGTCAGTAAGTTCATGACGCTTTTGAACCCACTCACGCTCCTCTTTGGAGATGTCGGACGCTGGTCTGATACTAGTGGCACCTTCAGGACAGAGCAGCTTTGTTGGTTCATAGCCTTTAGCGTTATAGGCCAAGGCAACTTGTGCAGCTAGAAGAAGAGAGGAAACTGCAACCATTCTTTTGCTTTGAATAACTATGAAGCGCACTGTATTACAGCTTTCTCTCTAGCCAGCGTAATACGGGCTACTTCTTCATCGTTTATATACCAGTCAATTGTCTCTGTATCCTATCTTTCCCTTGCTATGTGCTTAATATTGTGGCTAATGTGCAAAGAAGCTATCAAATGGTGACATACACATGATACTCCCTTGAACATGAAGAAGGAGAATGAAGGACAAAGCATCGTGTGCAAGGTTTCCACATTATAAACGCCACATCCACGCCACACGAACTGAAGAGTACCGGGATATGATAACCTGATGAAGATAACCTGGTGAAGATAGGCCTTGGTAGTATAATATTATGGCCTCATCGGTGGCGCAATTCCGGTGAATGCACATCAGATGGAATCCTTGGTTATGCGCTTGTAGATCAACATCAGCCACGGTAAAAGGTCGTGTGTGTGATTACACACACCGAGTTCAGCAGTGGCTTCCAGTAGGAGGCTGTCTTCGGCTCTTTATATAGCTTTAGTGGAGTGTGATACTGCTTTGTAAGCGATGCCTAATGGTCTCATGGGCCATAGTGTAACTGCTTCACGCCTGTGTAGACTATTGTTTGGAAAAGTGGCTGCGATATGCTACAAAGGCTCTGTATAGTGAAGAAGTGTATTTCGAGTACATATTGATCTTCATAGAGTGCTTATTGATCTTCATAGCTGACCCAATTGGTTATGGCCTACTTTTCCAGAACGCTGCAACCTGGAATTGAATAGTAAGCAATGAGCACTTATGTCCCACACTACAAGGACTTCCATTGTGCTGATGTCCAAATGAGCTACTTCACTGTCAACACCAATGGCTACAGAGATGAGAGCACAATTCATTTTATCACAGATCTTTCTCCTAAGTCAATAGCAGGCTTTTAGATCAGGCTTTTAGATCACAGCTCCTAAGGCTAGACCCAAAACTGCAAAGACACCTGATGATGCAAACCAGCTGGAAGCACCGCTGTCATACGTAGTGGCCAAGCTGGCATTGGAGACGTTGAGTGTGGAATTCAACTCTGGGACAACGACGGTATCCTTATCTTCCTCAAACTCCCTCTTCAAGATGCTTGGAGAGGTCCAGTTCAAGGAGTGTTGTGGAACAGCATCCCCAGAGTACTGTGGACCGTCCCAGCAGTACTCTTGGAAGCAGGCTTGACACTCAGCACTCTGTGCGATGCCGTTACGCTCTTGTTCACGACGGATAATGGCACAAGACACACACTTTGGCCAGTCTGGATCAATCGTGAGGTTGAATCTCGTCGTGGTTTCGAATCCGTTCTTGATGATAGCATCTCTCTGCTTGGTGCTGTAAGCCAATTGATACGTTGAAGTGTTTGGCCAGGCAGTATAGGCAATGTTTGGCACATAGACAACAAGTGGTGGAATGGCTGCGAGATCACCCAAATCTTCCGAGTTACAACCAAGGAACATTGGCTTCTCACTCAGCTTGTCGTGAAGGAATGTGTCGACAGTTGGAACATGAGGGAAGGCTGTGCCGTTTCCCTGAGTATCGAACTGACGTTGGTAAGTTCTTAGCAAGGAATAGCCGTTAGGAAAGTTATCCTCAGAGTCTGCCATGTTATCATAGGCGAAAATGACATCAACATCACGCTCTGGCTGCACCAATGGGCCCAGAGGAATGACTTCGCCGTCTATACCACCATCCACCAGGTAGAGGTTCTTATCCTTGGTGAAAGTGTCAACATTGGCGTACTCAGTCTTGTAGAATGGGTTTGGAGTGTAATGTGCAACGTCATAGGTTGAGAGGTCCAGTTTTCTAAGCAAGGAATGAACCACATCGTAAGCTGGACCACTTGAGTCGGAGTTGTCCAGGTCAACCAAGAACAGATTGAAGAGAGAAGAGGAAATACCAAGGATAAAGGATGCACTGTCGAAACCCTTCACACATATATCAGTTGTTGGATGACCATTCTCTGTATCAGTGCCCGAGTACTCAATATCAGAAAATGCATACACAGCAGGATCCCAAGAACCAATTTCAAATGGCGTAAACTCGACAATTGGAGTGTGTAAGTCCAGGTCTTTATGATGTGGGTCTCTGGCAAGGCCCAGAGATATTGGGAACGGCAGATCAGCTGACTTGAATACATCAAACTTCTTTATACCGGAGAAAGTGAGCTTAACACCTCCGTGATCGTTGTCACCAAAGAGCCCGTATGCCAAAGCTCTTCCCCATAAGTCAGTAGCAGTGAGGTTAAAACCAGCATTGAGCTTCTGCAAAGCATCGTTATTGATCTCGTTCCAACGAGCTGCTGTCTTGCCTAGATCAAAGCCTCCTGGTGAGATGATATCATGTGTCAAGTCCCACTTACCTTGGTCAATCAACTCGGGAACTGAACTCCAGTTATTGAGGGCCAATGATCCAGTCAGCCAGTTACCACCTGATAAGCCAGCCAGGTAGGTGGAACTTTGCAGTAGACCACCTAAACCGTGCTCCAAAGCACCTGGGACTCGGTCATCAAGAGCAGCTATCTGGCCTGCACCACTCAGCATGGCTCTGTAGCCACCTCCAGAGAAGGCAAGACCAATGTTGATGGACCTGTTTATAGAGGAGAGGAATTCTTCAGGATCAAAGTCTTCCAGGTTGGAGCGTTTGAGGAACTCGAGGAGTGCCTTGTCGGTCTTCTCATGACGCTTCTCAAGCCATTCCTGTTCCCTTTCAGACAGTGCATTGGCTGGTCTGGCCAAATTGACATTGACAGGGCACAGTTCTTTATAAGGCTTATAACCATGTGGATTATAAGCCATCGCAACCTCTGCGATAAGCAGCAGAGTAGAAATAGAAACCATGCTTGATTTGAGCTATTCTTTCAGTGTAGAGAATACCATTGAGGACTGTGTAGCAAGATAGAGAACTGCTTTGATATTTATAGTTGAAAGAACATGTTGGAAATATGGTTTATGTCCCCCAAATAATCGGTGAGCTAAACCAAGGGCAGCAATAAGCATTGTTTCGTCATAAGTCAACGCACATTCGTGGGGCTAATGAGCTTTGGCTACCTGTTACCAGGCACAACACCCTCGTGACTTGCCACTCCTCTTGCCTCGAGGCATTGATAACTACGTAAGATTAGCCATACTCGTCTCGGAACATCAATTGCATGTCGGTCCAGAGTCTGGCGCAGAGATATGCACCAATGCTTTCGCTTACGTGACACTGTGCATGAGAGTTTTACCGAAGTAGCCTATTGGAAGAACCCCTTTATCCTTCCAAACCCCTGATCACGAACATTCAACGGCTCCCAGTCGCATATATCGGTGAGATCCCCTGATAGATCTACAAAATGGTATAGCATAGAGCCATGTGCGGTGGAAAACCCTCAGCATCGGTATCTCTGAAGCCCCACAAAGGATCGTCAATGGAGTCATGGTGTGATTGTACAAGAGCAATATAGCCTGTGAGGGTATCTAGGCTAGATCTGACTATTTCGCAAGCTATTTAACGACTCTCGGTAGCCAAGAAAGAGTTTTCTTGGCTGACGGGGACACATATAGATATTTGGTATCATCCTGATGTATATCTGATGTTTGGAAGGATGGACAGAGGTGGAGCTATCAGATATGGGCTCACTATTGATTTTCTCTGTAGGAGTTGAAGCATGGGTATCGTGTTAAAAGTGAACAGCAACACCCTCCAATGTGCTTTCCCGAGTGAAGTTGCCTCACTTGACCAACCCCCGTAACTAATATGAGCCGATTCTAATACCATAACACACTTCTGGATCATCGTCAAATAACTGCAGTCCTTACCTGTGACTCAAAACCCTGTCGAGCCGAGGAGAAAGCACGTAAAACATTCGATTTTGAACATTGTCACTCAGGTCAGAATCTGTTCTTGGTGTTTTTTGCCAGGTTTCATGCCATTGGTACACTGTTTCCTCTGCTTCTTCTACCACAGGCTCGGGATCTTTCTTTAGCTGTGAAGACTACACTTAACAAGGTATCGAACTGCTGAAATCAGCCGTTTCGTAATCAATACTTTACCAAGAATCACATGACTCAGCACCGATCAATTACAGAAGAAAGCATTGATGAGAGAACACTCCCAAAGACTTATATACAATGGAAAAGAGTTCTGCAAAGTGTGTAAAGTGACGACATCGCTAGTACTATAACTCCTGGTGTCCGGGTTTAATATGACACAAACTGTCATAGGGTATATAGCTAGGCTCAGGGGAACAGACAGACTGCCATAATGCTGGGGTTAGCTTCGTTTTGATGGCTTATATTGCCATGTTACATACAATTGATCACACCGTGTGCTTTGTTAGCACGATGAGGATATTTGGCAACTATATTTTGTTAAATATCGCTGTTATATTTCTCATGTTAACTCTTCTGATACAGATTGAATGTACCTTTTTCTAAAATTAAAGTATGAAAGCATCAAAATTATATGAATAATACTGTTTATATCATGTTTAGTACATTATTTCTACCAATAATCATCACAATCTCTATGATTGTTACCCAATTAGGTGTTCTGACTGCAATGCTCTGTCCATCGAGTACACTCCTTGAACGGTGGTGTGTACGGATGTTTCATGACACATTTCTGATGATTAACAGCATAAAGGTGAACTCTCCTATAGCTAAAGAATACTTTAAAGCATGTTTTCTCCATTAGATAAAGACTACATGGAAAGCTGATTATCTAAGTAACTCAGAAAGCTGGTTATTGACTTCTATATAAACTACAGCTACTTTTAGACCAATAAGCCAGCCACCACTGCAACAGCACCGACAAGGATGGACGATGGAGCCCAGGTTTCTGCTCTGTTGAAGTAGACAGAAGAGATCGAAGGTATGGAGAGGTTTGAAACATTAACTCCAGTGGAATTGGCCGTTGCATTAACCACAATTGTTCCGTTCAGCTCGATAAAATCACCTTCATCATTGTATTCCCTCTTCACGAGAGACGGTTGAGACCAGTTAGCAGACCTTGGGAGGACGACTTGAGAGCCCGTGTACTGCTCACCACTCCAACAATACTCTTGGAAGCATTCAGCGCACTCGTCAGTCTGTGGGATACCCTTACGCTCTTGTTCACGATGGATGATGGCACAGGAAACACATTTTGGCCAGTTTGGATCGATCGTCAAGTTGTATCTTGTTGCAGACTCAAACCCGTTGGTGATAACAGCATTTCTCTGCTTGTCACTGTAGGCTATCTGAGCAGTTGAGGTGTTTGACCAGGTACTGTAGGCGATGTTTGGAAGGTAAACGACAAGAGGTGGAACAGTCGCCAAGTCGTCAAGAGAGCTGGCATTGCAACCAAGAAACATAGGCTTAGTGTTGAGCTTATCGTGAAGTATGGTGTCGATTGTTGGAACGTGTGGGAAAGCAGTGCCATTACCTTGAGATCCAAACTGACGCTCATAAGTTGCCTTGAGAGCCTCACCATCCGGGAACTTGTCATCAGTATCGTAAGAGTTGTCAAAGGCAAAGATCACATCAACACCACGTTCAGGCTGCAACAAAGGAGCAAAGGGAACGTTTTGATGATCCAGGCCTCCATCGGATAGATAGAGCCTTTCATCATCAACAATCGACTTCACACCGGCGTTCTTGCTGTTACGGAATGGGTTTGGCTCGACAATCGCAATGTCCCAGTGCTCATCATCAGCAAACTCCAGCACTCCATGCGCCAGGTCATAGAGTGGGCCTGTGAGACCAGTCACATTCAGGTTCAGTAAGCCGGCATTGAACAAAGACGAAGAGATACCAAGAACAAAACCAGCATTGTCGTATCCTTCGATACAGACATCAGACAAAGGACGGCCTTCAGAGACACGGGAGCCGAGATACTTCAGGTCAGTGAAGGAGAACAGAGATGGGTCCCACGACCCCATCTCAAAAGGATTGAACTCGTACACAGTGGAGTCACCGTTGAGCTCCAGAGTGCCTGGTGTTCTCCCAACAGCCACTGAGATTGGCATTGGCATTTCAGCAGATTTGAAAGCATCAAACTCTTGAAGCCCTGAGTAAGTCAGTGCAACTCCACCGTCTTCTTTGGAACCGAAGAATTGATAAGATAACGCTCTCCCCCACAGGTCCGTGATGGAGATATCAAATCCCCTTCTTTGCTTCTCAGCAACGTCGTTGTTGATCTGATGCCAGCGTTCTGCCGAACTGACGACATCCAGGCCACTAGGACTAATGATGGAGTGTTCCAAGTCCCAGAGGTCCCCAGCAGCTAGGATCTCCGGAACAGTGGACCAATTGGTGAGTGCCAGCGAGCCGGTAAGCCAATTACCACCGGACAGACCAACCAAGTATGTGGTGCTTTGAAGAAGACCCCCTAATCCATGCTTGATGGAGCCTTCGACTCTGCTGTCCAATGCTGCAAGTTGTCCTGCACCGCTGAACATGGATCTGTAGCCACCACCGGAGATTGCAACACCAATGTTGATAGATCTGTTCAAAGAGCTGAGGAACTCCTCAGCATTGAAGGAGTCCAGGTCGGCACGGTTGAGAAACTCAAGCAAGGCTTTATCAGTGATGACATGACGTTTCTCTAGCCAGTCCTTTTCAGCTGGAGAGACCTGCGAAGCTGGTCTCACGAAATTGGCATCACTAGGACAGAGCACCTCTGAAGGCTCATAGCCTTTTGGGTTGTATGATAGAGCAACCTCTGCAAGGAGTAGAAGCGTAGCGAGTGGAAACATTGGAGAGAGTGTAGCCTTTGCAGAGAGTCTTCTAAACTCGACCAGGGACTCGATGAAGCCGTTCAATTGGCCTCATATATATATATATATATATGTCCTGCATAGTATCACTTGACAAGGGTTACTTGAGCTACTCCATAACAGAAAGATAAAGAAAACAAACACGTTCCTCAGTCAAGCTCATTCTCAATCAATTGGCATCCCAACATGGAATGGTCGATCGCTGAATGGTGCTATCATACAGCATTTTCCTAAACTGTCATCAACGCTGCGGAAGACCCATGCACAATGCCAGCGGACATGCTTACCCTTGTTTTGCAGATAAGCCAATGACCTCCGAGGAACGTGTCTTAGGGATAGCATTGCTTGTTTATATGGAGCCAGAGTGTCCAAGTAGCCCTTTAAAACTGGCCAAGCAGGTCCGTGCGTTGAGATCTACAATTGTCTCTATTTCGGGTGAGTTCCAAGTGCGTTGATCACCAAACATCAACAGGTGGGTGCGCAAGCCACGTGGATGGCACATTGTACGTTGAAATGCTGTTCATATACTAGTGTTATACCATCAATTCACATAGGACAATATATAGAACAAAGATATAGAGGCTTCAGTAATCATGAGAAAGCAATTGGGAGGAGATCAGAACATGAGCCCAATCATTGGCGCAACTGCAACTGCAATGAATCCGGCACTGTAAGAAGGACCGAACGATACTGCAGCGTTATGGGAGGACGAGGTGCTCTGTGAGGACGCACTTGCGGTTGAAGTCGATCCATCGGCACCAGCAGCCGATATCGAGCTCACTTCATGGTTTGAAGGAGAAGTGTAGTTGAGCGATCTGGCCAAGACCGTCTCATCACCCGTGTACTGCTCACCGTTCCAACAGTACTCCTGGAAACATTCAGCACACTCATCTGACTGTGTGATGTTGTTACGCTCCTGCTCACGGTGAATGATGGCACATGCGACACACTTGTGCCAGTTCTCATCGATTGTCAAGTTGTATCTCGTTGCAGCTTCAAAGCCGTTTTGAATGATGGCATCCCTCTCATCGTTGTCGTAAGACATCTTGAAAGTGGAAGTGTTTGACCAGGTGGTGTAAGCAATGTTTGGAATATACACAACAAGTGGAGGGATAGTACCGAGGTCAGTTAAATTCGATGCATTACAACCGAGGAACAGGGGCTTCTCTGTCAGGTTGTAGGCGATGATGGTGTCCATAGAAGGCACGTATGGGAAAGACGTACCATTACCTTGGGAACCAAACTGACGGTCGTAAGTGGCAGACAGTGAAGTACCATTAGGGAAGTTGTCGTCAGTGTCAGCAGAGTTGTCAAAGGCAAAGATGACATCCACATCACGTTCTGGCTGTAACAATGGGGCGAAGGGGATGTTTTGATAATCCTCACCTCCATCAACCAGGTATAGGTATTCACTCTCAACGATTGTCTGCAATGCCGCATAGCTTGTGTCGAGGAAAGGATTTGGATGGTAGATCGCAACGTCGTCCGAGTCCTCATCCAGGTTTGTTAGGAAGCTGTAGATCAAGTCGTAGACGATACCAGACAAGCTTGTGGTGTTCAACTGCAACAGGAATTGGTTGAACAGCGACGAAGACGTACCAAGGACAAAGCCACCGTTGTCATAACCTTGAACACAGATATCTGACGTTGGCTCACCATTCGAAACGTCAGAGCCCATATACTTCAGCTCAGTGAAGGAGTACAGAGAAGGGTCCCAGGATCCGAGCTCAAACGGGTTGAATTCGAACACCGTGGAGTTCAGGTTGATGATCTTGGTATGTGGTGCTCTTCCCACAGCGACTGAGAATGGGAATGGCATCTCAGCATTGATGAAGGGCTCGAACTGAGCGATGCCTGAGAACGTCAATGACACACCACCGTCATCTTCTTCGCCAAAGAACTGGTATGAAAGAGCTCTACCCCAGATGTCGGTGAGCGAGGTGTTGAACCCAGCATCCTGTTTGTCCTGGATGGCATCACTGATGTCGTCCCAACGCGAAGCTGTCGAGAAGATGTTGATGCCACCTGAGTTGATGATCGAGTGCTCCAGGTCCCAGATGGTATCGCCAGAGATGATCTCCTCAACACTGGTCCAGTTGTTCAAGGCCAGTGTTCCCGTGAGCCAGTTACCACCGGACAGGCCCGCAAGGTAGGTCGACGCCTGTAGCAGCCCACCTAGTCCGTGTGAATCCGCACCTGCTGTTCTGTTATCCAGCGCACTGATCTGACCAGCTCCGTTGAGCATGGCCCTGTAGCCACCTCCTGAGAACGCCAATCCGACGTTGATGGATCTGTTCAGCGACTCCAGGAAGTCTTGAGCATCAAAGTCCTCGAGATCCGCACGGTCCAGGAACTCGGCCAAGTACACGTCCGTGATGGCATGACGCTTCTTCAACCACTCAGTCTCAGACTCTGAGATGCCGGAAGCCGGTCTCACAAAGCTGGCGTCCTCGGGACAGGACACGTTGGCTGGGGCATAGCTACCACTGGGGTTGAAGGCAGCAACGCAATCAGCTATAACCAGCAAAGCATACAATGGCAACAGCATCGTGATTCCTCTTCTCGGCTCTTCTCTGCTCTTAGTACTGGGCCAATTGTTCTGAAGCCACTGATAAAAGAGACCGCAGAGCTATAAACAATGGGAAGAGAACCACTCGGCGGAGCTGGAAGCATGCGAAGGAAGGGAAATGACTGCTAATTAATACTCAGCTTGGAGCCTATACGGTTGCTATAGCCGTACGGGACTTCCCGAGATGTATATGGTGTGTTGCGGTTACCACGGCAACACACTAATGGTGCTTACATAATGCACTCATACACCATCACCACTGGCCGTGTATGGGCTCGATGCTGGTGTGAAACACCGTGCCAGTGTGATGGAATCGGTGTGATGGGTGTAGGCTGGTGTTGTTGTGTGTGTTGTATTACTGTGGGTGGGGGTGGTTACACTATTGTTGTGGAAACGGTTGATGGTCCTCGACCCGGGTATTAACAGGTGGTGCATGGAGATACTGAGGATGGAGCATGGCAGATGGAACGGGCTAAGCCCCATGCTGTCGATGTGGTGAGTGCTCCACGGCCCTCTTTTAACTGTTGACAACGTTGAAGGGCCCCATGGTTCGCAGCAAGGTCTCAACGGACTTCCTGTCGAGGCTCATCTCCGTGCAAATGGCGTCGAAGCTCTTGGAGCTCTCCAGCAGCCGGGACAACTCTGAGATCTGCAACCTCTGCTCGTCCGTCACGTTGGCACTGTTTCGCCGTCTCATCAGGGTGCGAAGCGTTGGCTCCCGTGTGGGTGTTAGCCTATCAGCAAGCGTCCCGAACATGGACGCCTGGTTGGAGTCCTTCAGCAGTAGCGAGTCAACCAACGGATACGACTCCACCCTGTAGATCAGCCCTCTCAGCACGCCAAACGTCAACAGCCTCCGTACATCGATGTATTCCAACTCGTCTCTGTGCTCCTTGAACCAGTTCCGCACGGTTTGTCCCTGGTGCAGAGACCTGTAGAGATAGAACAGTTTGGCCTTTGATGGTAGCACAACTGTCCGCTTCCCACTCCTTAGCGATGCCGTGCTGCTGTTCCTGTTACGGCTCGTGCCACTGATGTTGTCAGTGGATGTCTTTGCACTGGAATTGTTACCCAGAGGGTTATTGCAAGTGTCGAAGGGAATGTCGTCGAACTGTGAAGCAGAAACAACATAGGCCTGACAATCAGTCGCCATGTTGGGGTCCTTTAAGAAAAGGTCAATGTCAGCTGTTGGGGCGTATATATTGGAGAATTGAAAGATGTCTGTTATCGTAATGCACTTGTAATACATCAAATGCTGGATACAGCTTTTGACAACCCAATAGTCTGCATCTGCCAGGAGACTTATCCTCTTTATCGAGTTGATCCCATCTATATATGGCAGTATCTTCAACATTGTGGGATCCCAGTTCACATCAACCATGGTGTTCAGTTGGACCGTCGATATTGGAACGTCCTCAGGGTTCACCCTCGGTGGCGGTGGTAACAAGGGCAAGAGCTTAATATCCACAGAGTTCCCAGAGTCCACAGGAATGAGGCACTCAGAGTAGTTGTTCAGGTCCTGGTAGATCTGCTGAATCAGAGACTCAATCGATTCCAAAGTCATCACGTTCCCGTTCTTGGTGGAAACTCCAATCGGCGTGGAGGAGTTGATGTTGTTATCCAGATCAATGGCCAACTGAGAAAACGAGGCAATGGAAGGCGTAAAGTTCGAGTCAATGGACGACGCCCTCGCAGCAAGCTGGTCGTCCAGCGAGGCACTCTCAGCGATGTTGTCTGGCAGAACAGCGTTGGCCGTGGACGACGACTGGAAGTTCTTGAAGAACACCATATCCTCCTTCTTGGACAGAATGTGGTACTGCTCCTCCAGATTCTTGAACATCCTTCCCAGCCTCCGTATAGCAGACTCAAAGGGGATCGTATTGGCCCCGTAGTTGAAGACAAAGCAGAAGTTGAAGCTGAACGAGTTCCTGGCGTAGTGCGGTGCTGTGATCTGGACAGGGTATCCGACAAGCGAGTACTGGTCCACTTTCAACGTGATCAGCCTGTTACACAGAGGTCCCTTTGGAATGATGTAGTTCTTCACAACATCAAAGTCGAACAACGGCTCCTGTGAGGCCTCGAACTCGGACCCCCATGGCGGAGCCACGATTGAGCCCAGTGGCACCTGGTGGGACACCTTGGTGCCCTCTGTAGGGTGGAAAACAGTGTAGAAAATCGCCTCAATCGGCGCAAACCCTTCACCACAGTTAGCACACAGTCTGTTAAGCACGTAATATGAGCATCTTACCGTCAAAATCAGCCATTGGCGGCTCTCCGTCTTCCTTCCCCTGCCTAGCGATGTTGACGGGACGCTGGGAAGGGCGCCCCCCGAGACGTAGGCTGCCCGCGATTTTGATCACCACTCTCCGCCAGCCTAACTTCCCACCACGGGCAGACATCACGGACAGACCACGGGCACACACACTGGGAAAGCAGCGCGTGCCACGCCAGAGATGCTTCAATTGCTCGTTATATCCATCGCCATCGCGGCGATTGCACTGTCAAGCGGTGCCTTCAACGCGCTGTGGACAGCTTCTGGGTTTGCGCTGATAGGCTACGTCGTCACTGACTCGTTGATCCCCAAGCTGGCACCGTTCTTCACGGCCAAGGGGCTGTTCGGCAAGGACATGTCGAAGGTTGGCAAGCCGGTGATACCGGAGACTATAGGCGCAATCACTGCGACGTCGTACCTGTTCCTGATGTTCTTCTTCATCCCGTTTGCCTTCTACAAGTACCTTGTTGTCGCTACAGTGGGCGGCGGTGAGCGTGGCGCCGGCGAGGTGCCGTCGTTAGGCAGCGACGACCAGCTGGCGCTGTTCCCTCACGACAAGCTGGCAGGGTTCCTGAGTGCGATGCTCTGTCTCGAGAGCATCCTGCTGCTTGGGCTTGCTGATGACTTCTTCGATCTCAGGTGGCGACACAAGTTCTTCCTTCCCGCCATCGCTGCGATCCCACTGTTGGTTGTTTACTACGTGGATTTTGGCGTAACACACGTGTTGATACCGTCATGGTTGCAGCACCATTTCAAGGACCAGACGACGATTGAGCTTGGATGGCTGTACTACGTATACATGGGCTCCGTGGCCATCTTCTGTCCTAATTCCATCAACATCCTTGCCGGAGTCAACGGGCTGGAGACCGGCCAGGCAGTCGTCATCACAGTGCTGCTGCTGTTGAACGACCTGTGCTACTTCGTCTTTGGCTCTCAGCAGACGTGGGAGTCCCATATCTTCTCAGCTTCGTTGCTGATCCCATTCTTGGGCGTGTCGTTGACGCTGTTCAAGTACAACTGGTACCCTGCACGTGTCTTTGTCGGTGATACCTATTGCTACTTTGCTGGAATGGTGTTTGCCGTTGTTGGTATCCAGGGACACTTCTCAAAGACTCTGCTACTGTTCTTTATCCCCCAGATCTTCAACTTCATCTACTCGGTGCCACAGCTGTTCAACCTGGTTCCATGTCCAAGGCATAGACTTCCAAGGTTCAACGAAAAGGATGGACTGATGTATCCATCGCATGCTGTGTTTGAAAAGCAGCTGAATCCCATGGTGGAGAAGGCCATGGTTGTGCTATCCAAGCTGAAGCTGCTGGAGATTGTCCAGAGAGAAGGACGCGTCGTCGAGTCCTCGAATTTTACGCTGATTAACCTGGCACTGGTCTGGTTTGGACCTTTGAGAGAGGACTCACTATGTGCAGTGCTACTTCTTCTACAGTTCACGATTGGGCTGGTTGCGCTGTTGGCAAGACATACCATTGGACCTTGGTTATACGGATACGACAACTTGTTCTTTTCAGCGTGAGGCATTATGGTGGGTATATACCGAGGAAATCATCTTCTCTATCTCTATAGACATCACTGATACTGTTCCCAGAACTGGACTCTCTTCTGCCACAGGGCCTCTGTCCATTGCTTCACCTCGTCGGTCTTTATACTCGATCTTGCGCCCCAGAATTGATCCAGGTTCTTTGTACCTTTGAATTCCCGCTCGTATTCGAAGCTTTGTAGCAGCATTTCAAACTTGTCGATGTCCTTGACGTATCTTGCCTCCAAGGTTCTGATCTCCTCGTAGTCCAGCCAGAACTGTAGGATCTCATCCCCAGTGGACGGGTCATAATTGCCAATGAGCTGGCTGAGGTATTCGATCGTTGCCAGTTCCCTTCTGTGCTTCTCGTTCTTGTCAACAACGTCAAATGGCGTGATATCGCCAACCAAGGACTCGGCAATGTCGTGGATCAGGGCAATTTTGACACATTTATTCGTATCAACCTTGGGATCAGTGATGAGCATCGAACTGATGCCCATTCTGTACATATGGTCCGAGATGGACTCACATTTCTCGATCCCGTGGTCGACCCACCCGGTACGTCTCTGCTTCTTCAGCAGAGACACGATCTGCAGGAATATCAGCACGTAGTTATACCTGTTTGACTGGCCTTGCGACGAGGACGAGCCGGCCTCGGCGATGAGTTCCTTGATCTCAGATGGGATTGCCGACTCCACGGTCCACTGATCAGACCCGTTGGTATTAGCAGAGCAGGTGGTCATGTTCGTATGCGGTGAACTAAGCACTCTTCAGAGGTTCTTATCGGCAGGATACGAGTGAAGCAGAGCTGAGAAGATCAACAAAAGATGGAAGCTTTGTGCTGCCGGAGGACGACTGTGTGAGAATCGACGATGATGTTGAGGTTTTACCCGATTGGGAAAAAAAGAAACAACGAAAAGAAGAAAAAAAGAGTTCTGGAATGATTACATAAGCACAGATTACATAAACATTGATTACATAAGCATACATTACATAAGAAATTACGTAAGCAAGTTTTAGTCTCCCTGCTTTCTCATTGTGTCGTGCGCAGAACAAAACGTCATTTCCGGCCGAGCAGGTCGCAGTTGTTGGGCTTTTTTTGCTTTTTTGGGAAAATTCCACTGGAGTGCGCCGACCACTCCACCTCTCCCTCCGCGCACACACCGTGCTCAACTCGTTTGACACAGCTTTCAGCCAATGGGCAACCCGGACACCTTCGATTCTATGTGTCAATTGCCGTTGGAGCCCTTACATCTTCACACTCCCGGGGGTAAAGATAGCTGATCATCGCACACCGTGTCAATCATCCCATTGGACTCCTCCCTCTCTCACAGCTGATTCACACTCCGTTGTAGTTGCTCCCTCTTCAAAATGGATCCCAGCTCTCACATCCGGACATTGGATGATTGCGTTTTTGACACATTCTCCCTCCGTTGGGTGTCATCAACAATGCCAACCAACCTCTCATGACACTCCGGTGTATCGCTAATCGTACATAGGCCACGGTGCACACCACAGCACTGATCGCAATGACACCACAATCCGGTGCTGGAAGGCCATCAGCCAACAAAAGCATAACCTTAACACCTCTCCTTTCGACTCCCGTTGTGCTCCATCACGTCTCAGCCCACACAGCCCGCAGCCCACTGGGGCCTCGCCAGACCGCTCTGTGCGTGGGCGTAACAATTGCCGCTGCCTAAAAAAATGTTGGGCCCCCAAAAAGAAATCCCATTGGGTCCCACTGCAGTTTTTTTCTTTTTCGCACTGGCCCGTGAGTCGATGCTACATGTGAGTGAGACGGATGGTGTGTGAGTATGGGAATGCGTGGACTTTTTATAAATTTTGAGCCCTTCCTTCTTTTCTTTCCACTCTTTGTTCTTCTACTGTCATTCTACAGGTTGACTATCACACAATGACAGACCTTGAAGCCGTTGATATCCTCCAGGCCAACATCATCGCCGCAGGCACGAACAAGAAGACGAGACGTATTGTCAACGGGCTGGGGTCCCTCATGGGTTCCAAGGAAATCACGGGCACGCATTTCGATGAGGCCAGTGGGGTTGCGGATATCCTGGAGAAGGACCGTCTGGAGAGTGAGAAGTGGACGAAGAAGAAGCACATCTCTGAACAGCCTTGGACTCTCCAGAACTGGCACCAGCACATCAACTGGCTGAACGTTGTGCTTGTTGTTGCGATCCCGATGATTGGTGCATGGATGGCGAGATCAACGCCTCTCAAATGGCAGACCGCCGCGATGTCGGTGTTCTTGTACGCTTGTGCTGGTTGGTCAATCACAGGTGGTTACCATAGACTGTGGTCGCACAAGGCGTATGACGCTCACTGGCCGTTGAGGGTGTTCTTTGCCCTCTTTGGTGCTGCCGCTGTGGAGGGCTCCATCAAATGGTGGGGCCATTCACACAGAATCCATCACAGATACACCGATACCAACAGAGACCCATACGACGCCAGAAAGGGCTTCTGGTACTCGCACATGGGGTGGATGCTTACGAAGCCAAACCCAAAGTACAAAGCTCGTGCGGACATCTCTGATTTGATTGACGACTGGATTGTGAGATTCCAACACAGACACTACCTTGCCATCATGTTCTTTATGTCGTACATCTTCCCAACTCTGGTGTGTGGCTACCTCTTCAACGATTACAAAGGTGGCTTTGTCTATGCCGGTATCCTAAGAGCATGCTTCATCCAACAGGCCACCTTCTGCGTTAACTCGCTTGCACACTGGATCGGAGTCCAACCTTTTGACGATAGAAGAACACCAAGGGACCACGTTTTGACTGCACTGGTCACTATGGGTGAAGGTTACCACAACTTCCACCACGAGTTCCCATCCGACTACAGAAACGCCATCAAGTGGTACCAGTACGACCCAACCAAGGTGCTCATTTACCTCTGCTCGTGCGTCGGGCTGGCGTACAACTTGAAGACCTTCTCACAGAATGCCATCGAGCAAGGGTTGGTCCAACAACAGCAAAAGAAGCTGGATAGAATGAGAGCAAAGTTGAACTGGGGTGCTCCATTGTCTGCGTTGCCTATTTGGGATAAGTCCGAGTTCATTGAGAAGTGTAAGACCGAGACAGGTTTGGTTACCATCAACGGTATCGTTCACGACGTTTCAGGCTACATCTCTGAACATCCAGGTGGTGAGCCTCTGTTGCTGGCCTCCGTGGGTAAGGATGCCACCAAGGCATTCAACGGTGGTGTCTATCTCCATTCCAACGCTGCCCACAACCTGTTGGCCACCATGAGAGTCGCCGTGATAAGGGACTCATTTGCGCAGAAGAGAGCCGAAAATGAGTTGAAGAAGCAAAACTAGGCAAAACAACAAGTAATAACAAATCCAGAAAATTAGTTTATACACTTGGAATTTTATGAAATGGGTATACGATCATTGTGAAGAGTGTTGTAGTTTTCTCATTATGGAAAAGCGTTGCTTTGACGGCGGTGAATTTTTTTTTTCTATCTCCGTTGAACGGGAACGGGGAATTTTTTTTTCCAACTTTCTTTTCTTTCGCAATGAGCTTTTGAAGAGAGTTTCCTCCCAGCTCTCATTCGTTTCCTCCTGGAAGACAGCTAACATCAGCATATCATACTATACCGTTACGATGTTCAGATCTGTTGTGAGCTCCCTCAGACCTTCTGTGAGCACTGTGCTACGCAAAGAGTTATACACACGAGGTGGGGTCGTTGGATGGCCAATGTCCAATCAGACGCTGCTGATTAGAAAGATCCATGGTTCGTCACCAAGATACCACGGACACATCCATAAGCCCAAGCCAGGGGAGGAATTACACATCACTTTCATAACGAAGGAGGGAGAGCAGCTGAGCTATGAGGTGTGCGAAGGTGACACGATCTTGGACATTGCGCAGCACTACAACTTGGATATGGAGGGAGCCTGCGGCGGTTCGTGTGCATGCTCTACATGCCACGTTATAGTTGATCCGGAGTTTTACGACGAGATACCTGAGCCTGATGACGATGAGAACGATATGCTTGATTTGGCGTTTGGACTCACCGAGACCTCGAGACTGGGGTGCTGCATCAAGATGACGAAGGAGATCGATGGGATTAGAATTGCATTGCCGGCAATGACCCGTAATGTGAGCTCATCGGACTTCTCCTGAGCTTTAGAAGGAGAACTACACAGGTTTATTCGTTTTGTCTTTTCTACTCCATTGATTTTTCCCATTCTACTCCATTGATTCATCCCATTCTACACCATCGACGCTTGCCACACGACCGATTTGCCCTGCTGTCTCACGGAAAAGTATTACACAGAGTTCATTGATTGGTTGTATACATTGAATCTGTTTTTCCTTCTCTGTTCCGGAAAGCTTTCATTGGACGCTGTCTGTACATACGGTGTTTTGAGTCATGATGACTCACTTCCATCTATTCTTTTCCCTCCTCTTCACACGTTTTGAATCATCGGGAGTCATGTGGACCAGTAGAACTAGGGAAACGAAGAAAACTAAAGAAACCAGCATTTTATTATGAGCCTCAGGTTATACTGTTTGCATCCAATTGGCCAGTGGAATCTGAACCCATGTATGTACATAGTGATATAATTATAAGAAGCGTGGAATACACAGCTACACTGATTTGCTTTGGCCTTGAGTGTTCTGTCGTAAACTTGAATGAAGAGAGGCTCGCCAGCTATGTAAAGCAACTTATCTCGGAGTTATAAGGGGTTATGGGGGATTAGAAGGCTTTAGTGGGCGTTTAGAGAAAACACTCACAGTACACCACCAGAACACCATGACTGTTCCTGTTGCCCAGACAACCTTTAATCCAAAAAAACAACAACAGAAAACAGGCACTTTGCATGTTCCTGTTTGACGTTACCGTAGTTACGAGATGTTTGGATGTCTTGATTACCCTCTTTGTATGTTTGTGTGTCTTTTTTTGAAACCGCTTCCCTCGAGATGTAAACAAACACCAAACAAACACGAAACTGCACATAGCGGCTGATGAAACAGAGCCTTCAAGACATTCTTGAAGTCACAGCTGAGCATCAGAAGGATTGATAAAGGTGGAGATGTCGAAAGTTCCAGTACCGCGCTCACGATTAGCACACGATTCACCGCCAGTGAAGAGCAGGAAGGCTCTTGACGAGGTTACAGAGAAGATCAACCATTCTCCGAAGTTCAGAAGGAAGCTGGACAGATCTGAGGCAGAAGACGAAGACGGAGACGAGGGAGAAATGACAGGGGCTGTGCACAAGATGGAGATACAAAAGACAAGGAGAGTACACAGGACCAGTGGTATACCGATGTTACATTCCAGTCAGTTACCTCAACAGATCAAAGATCGGGTACGGAGCCTATCAGAGGCGAGTTCTGGGTTGAAACTGAGAGATCGTGAGCCCAACACCTCGAGGTTTGCGCTGGTGTCGACACAAGCTCACCAATCGAAGCGTCCATGGGCCACGAGGGATTCGAACCTGGAGTTGAGGTTGAACAAACTGGTTCAGGTGGAGCAAGAGAAAATCCGAGAGCTGGACAAGAAGATCAAGGATGCACGCCATCAGAATGAGGGGTGCGAGAAACAGAAGACTTGTTTGATGAGAAACATAAGTCGTTTGAAGACCGAAATCAGTAACACCGAGGTTGGGATCATCAACATTGATGAGAAGATGGAGTCGATGAAGTTGGTAATGGAAAAGGAAAAAGCGCACGAGGAGCACATGGTCACTTTGAAGTTGAAAGAAGCCCAGAACCAGATGCATAGAGAATTGGATGAATTTAAGTCTATGATGGAACAGGAGCTGCAGACTGTCAAGGATTATAAAGATGAAGAATCTCAAGCTGAAATTGTCAAATTGAAACGTGAACTGGACGAGATATCAGATAAAGCGTCGCATTTGAGACAAGTGAGAGAAAACAGGATTCAACAAGAGAGAGAATCGTTACAGCTCAAATTGGATGACGTGGTTACTGCGGAGCAAAAGAAAGGTGAACAGATCACTCAACGCATTGAAGACAAAATGACATTATTCACTGAGCAAAACGAGGAATTGGGGAAAGTTCAAGAGGCTATAAAATCAATCACTGATCGTATAAAGTCCATTGAAAGTGAAAATGCCTATCAGATGGATATACGATCAAATTTCACACAAAGCCATGATGAACTAATCTCCAAGATCAATACCCTGCAAGTGGAGAGTGACTCCGTGGATTCCAAGTTGGCAACTATAACGCAACAGAAAAATGATGTTCACAAGGAGTACCAGAATGCGTTACAAAAATTATGTAAGGAACGTCATTTCAGAAGGAAAATAGAGAATTCCATTGAAGATATAGTTGGGAAACATAGAGTCTATGTTCAAGTACCCACCGGTTCACACGTTGAAGACGTTGAAACCGATCCATCTTTACAACAGTTGGTATTAGATGATGGGTCCTACTACCAGTTCAACAAAGTATTTATAAAAGGCGATGAGATGATGTATCAAGAAACTTGTTCACTAATGGAAAATCTGTTCAACGGATGCAATGTTTCGCTGTTGCTAATAGGGGATGATGACAATACTTCGAATTTGCTAGGCTCCATGGTTAACAGTTGTTGGGATTTGATCCAAGACGTTGAGCATAAATTTAAACAAAGAGGCTGGAACTTTGACTATTCAGTGCAGAGTGTTAAGGTTGACCCCAATGGAGTATTCGATCTGTTTGACAGTTCACCTTGTGCTGTAAAGGTTGAGAACCGCTCAGTGATGATGAGCACAGAACCACGGGAATTTACCAAAGTCCGTGAACCGTGTAACGATCCTGACTCATCCACATTGATGAAACTGACTTTGAAGAGTAGGAAGGGTGAAAGAAATATCAGTTCAAACGCATACTTCCTTGATTTGACTCGTATAGACGCCTTACCACTTGTTTCGAAGGCCATAGATAAGGTCCAATTACTGAGATTTGGTACATTAGAATTCGAGAATCCAATGTATCAACTCGTACATCAGTTATACTCCAACACAAAGGTTATTACAATGATTAACGTCGACAGAGTTGACAATGAGAAATGGCTTGACCTGGGACAATACGTACAAACAGTTGATGTTGTTCCCGTAAACAGAGTCTATTCCAAATGAGCATGTAAAACGAATGATTACGTTGCATTACGATGTTACATTTCACACAATTGTATTATATGCCCAATAAAAAGATTTTAATTCTTCAGTAGGATATCTCTGATCAACAGGTTTAATTCTTCTCTATCACCAACGTTTTCAGTTACATTGACATCTTTATTTGGCTTTTCAATCTTTGCAATCAACGGCGAGCTCAGATTTGAGCCTGTTCCATTGATCTGTTTATTCGAGGATTGGGCATTAGAGCACTCGAAAGCTTCATCGTCTAATGAGCACTGGGGTTCCACATAACAGTCATCTTTCAACATGACAGAGTGTAACCTATAAACTGGACCACTAGGCTCCACAAGGTAGGGCATGATATCAAAAGTGTCAATCATGTCTTCATTGACAAGTGTAATCTTTGGTTTCTTTTCATTGACCTTGACATTGCTCAGGTTTTCAAATTCGAAATCGTTACTGTTGTAACGCCTTTTCCTGTACCGTACAGTATCGATTGCTGCTTCAACAATGTTTTTAAGATACGTCTCCAGTCCATGGTATAACAACTCTGCAGCGTCATTGCTCAACGGACCAGTGATACCATGCTCCCTTGCAATGCCTAAAATCCTCGTCTTCAAGGCATCCTGCTCCGGTAGGGAAAACGTTTCGATATCGAGAGGTGTATGTAGTCCATGGTTCACGTCCTGTGTCCATTCTATAACGTTACTCATCATCTTTTCCTTATCAGAGGAGAAAGGGATCTTTGGCAATAGAGCCTGACGGGTTAGCGTCAGAGAAGAGTTGGCCATCTTCTGTTTCCCCGAGTCCCTCGTTATCGTCTTGATTCTGTACCGTTCTCTAATCGGCAAGTTCATAACGTCTTTCTTCAGCTTTTCATATTGGTTCGACTGTTTCATACCCTTCTTCACAACCTTTTTAGACGATGAGCCAAAGGAATACTTGGAATTCTTCTCAATACTCGGAGAATCACTATTGGAGTCTCGAAGAGCATTCACCATATTGGCCAACAGCAATTGGTTATGCATCTTAATCAGCCGTGAGTCAGTCAATAGATTCTGTAGACATGTGGAGAGCTCGGTTCTCGACAGTTTACCAATTAGAAACGAGGCAATGGTAGCCTGGTATTTATCCCAGTTGTTCCCCAATTTTGACCGTAATTCAAACGCCAGGGATTCAACTTCGACTCTCTTGGAGCCATGAATAGTCTGCTGTGTCATCAGAGGAGTCTGAGACGGCGTTCTTGTGTTCACCTCCGTCATTTGATAGCCCTGCCTGTTGAAACTAATCAATTGTTGTTGGTTGATCCATCGAATGTGTTTTGAAGCTCTGGGTATCAATTTGTTGACGTTCGAGAGACACATACAAACACACCCGGACATCAGGGCACCCGGACACCATAACATCACTACACCTTAACACCTGGACACCACATATAAACACGCAGCTATCGATGCGTTTAATGGCATCTCATGTTCATCAATATCAAGTTCTCTAATTTACCAGTAACAGTTATAATGTATACAATGATACAGGTATACGATTGATTACTGAGATATAAATAATTTTACCTAGAGTTTTCACCGATTAACTGTACGTACAAGCTGGTTTAAGACTGATAGAAAGATGCTAGAGAACTGAAGCTACTCTTCGCTTTGATTCTGAAGCAATTGCCTTTTCGTAATACGTCAGATTTTAACGGCATTGGATGGACAGGTCTTGGATCAGTGAAGAGTACTTGGTGTCATAGACAGAGGCACATGTGGGCTGAATAGATGCTGTTCAGTGTATACGTTTGTCAAGTCTTGATGACTCTGTAGAGGGTTGATGCAGTCTATGACGTTTAGAATCTCAAAGCAAAAGGGTTGTCTTCCCAATGCCACCTGTTTGCGCTTCAAAGTTGTCTCACAACACTATATAACTAGTTATGAACATGATATTAAAGGAATTGGACAATTTAGATGGCTCCCACAGCGATAAACCCTTCAAGGACAACACATAATCAATCATTGAAGCTTTTGGAGGGGGATATAAAAGTACATTGATGTTCACCTAAAGAAGAGGCACAACTATTGGAATCTCCATATAGTCGTAAAGTGTTTCAGTCCAATAGTAGAAGAAAACTCAGTGGAAGACAGAAACAAATAGTAGAATAGGAAATACTCTTATGACACATCCAAATCAAGAGCCAGCTATTGTAACTCATTTACAAAGTACCCAGACTAATAGTGCATGGCGACTAAATGCATCCACGAAACCCTCCAGCACACCATTTATTCAATCTATGTGCATTACTCATGAAGAGAATGATGATGTATATGAAGATGGAAACGTCTTCAAATCTGAGGACCCATGTTTCCGTATGCCATCGACTGGAACGAAGGATAATATCAAGCTCTCTAATATCATCGTAGGATATTCCATAAAGCACGTACATGAAGTCCTAGAGGCTATCGAAGTTAAGCAGACGCTGGAAGTTGAAGAATTTAAATTTGACGGTGTGATGGCTCTACTGTTTATTTCAGCCGATGTCACTGAGCTGCCTTACAGAACAAGCACTGGATGAGGCCAATGCTCTTGGAAGTAAGCAAGAAACAACTGGAGAATCAAATGGAGACATGCTTAGACTTTACATTGATGGAAGAGCTACAGAATTACCAGCCTGAGATATTAAAAATATCATTACTTAACTTAATAGCCTTCATTAATTCAATTGAATACAGCGCAGAGAGCTGTTACATCTAGAGGATTCGAAGAAAGCTTTTCAAGCAAAGAAGATGACAAAGACTAAGCCTACCAATGTATGGGAAATTTATACTTTATTTCCTTTAGAGAAACCGTTCTGTGTATCTTAAGACCTCAACTCGAGGTTAGCAGCCCAATTATTCTTCAAGGTCGAACGAATCAGAACGCTCGTAATAAAATATTACAATCTTTTAATACCAGGAACAACCGTCGATTTAACGGAGCAAGACGACTGGGGGGGGGATGCATTGAAACCTAGTAAAGAGACCCATTTCAAATGGTAACCAGCTACTATATCGAGATAGGTCTCGCTCAAAATCGTCTGCGTCCAAAGAAACATTTGATGGACAGAGTAACTAGATGCAAAATATGATGAAACGAAAACGAGCTTTAGAGAAGTCATGGAACTGCTATAGGGTACATCATAGAAGTGAGAGAGACCTTGAAAGCTCTGTGTTGGAAGAATTTTCATATTTCCCACATGTTTTGAGGTTTTGGTTGAGTCATTAGGTCTTTTTCTATTACGTGCGCTTGTCTTGTTCAGTAAAACATAAGATTAAAAGATGAGGCTCATATACCAACGTCTCTAATCAAGAGGTCTATCGTATCATCATTCGATGCAGATCGATTGGTGTGCCGTTCTTTAGCGGAGTTGGCAAAACTGTTGGTGTTCAGAGCATGGCCATTCAAGAGCTTCTCTTCGTATTCCTTACACTTCATCTCTAGCAGATACACCTTCTCCTCTAGTGCGAATTTATCTCTTTTAGAAGTTTCAATCTCTTGCTCCAACCTATCCTCAAGGTACTTAACCTTCCTTCTGAGTGTAACTTCCAGTTTAGAACTTGAATTCAAGTCTGATCTCAACCCATTCAGCGTAGAGTCGTCATCCCTTAACTTCGCCTCCAATTTGGCAACTTGAGCCCTTAGTCGTGAGTTCTCATTTCTCAACGAAACATCTTTAACATCCAAGGATCTTTCCAATTGTCTATAACGTTTTTTCAACTCTGTGTGCTTATTGACGTCTCTAAAATAGGCATCGTACAACTTCTGAGATTTGATCAACTCATTGGCTAATTCACGCTTTAGAGCTTCGTATTTCAAACTCATTGAGTTGTCATTCGAATTCTCAAAATTCCTAAGTAATTCTTCCAATTCTCGATCGTTGTCGTCCAATTGCCTCAAGAGTTTGTAATCGTCATCAGCATTGTACATTGTGTCGGGTACAGAGGGCCTTGTACTTCTTGAGTACGATGATGTGTTCCTCTGCATGTTCACATTAGCATCTCTCAAGCCAGATCTCGTCGCACTGGAGGTTAGAAGAACGTCGTCATTCTCTGAGCCTCTGTATTTCGGGAACTTACCAGGGTATTCACTCGGTAGTGTGTACACAGTGTCCGAAGTTGTATGAGCGTCATCAGAATCGTGTGCCTGGTGACCCAGACTAGCTGACCGTTTCCTCAGCGAGTCCCAAGAGACTTTCTTCCTCAACAAGGTCGAGTCGTCCTGGGAACGTAGTCGTTGTCCATCCCTCGTTCTTCGCTTGTAATGGAAAGTGTCGTCCAAATCTTCAAAATGTGACACATCATCGTTGGCCCTTGCAGCATCATCTCTCTTCATCTGAGTGTACTTGGACATCGGCGTCTGTCTGTTGAATATGGATCTGAATGCCCATTGTGCAACGCCTGGAGTATCGGACATTGCCTCACCAACAGTTCTTGCCAGCACTTCTCACCAACAGTTCTAACCACTGTTCGCTACTTCTCTCTCCAGCTCGCAATCACAGCCTTGGGAAAACAAAGCGCACAGCTGAGCCGTAATTCAACCCGTAAACTGTACAAGGACAACAAATAAACAATGGCACCCGGTAAAGTGAAAGCTGCTGTCAGACCACTAGTTCGTAGTACGAATGGCTATATGTCCTCCCCCTTTCAAAGTTGTCTGTTTGTTTTGTTTACGATTTTGTTTGTGTTTACATCATTGAGGCCGTTAGAGTTTTTGGGTTTTATGCGGAAACCACAGCGACGGGAGTTCCGGGGGTCCTAATCACATGATATGAGTACAAATCACGCCCCCGAATCTCTGGCCCTCCCATCCAACCCTTCGAGATGCGTCCCTCCGCTGCGAAAATAGCCACCGGGTCGGTATCTACCACACATTCTCCTGGGAGCGTTGATCAATTGAAGCTCGACAGAGCACTCTTTAGTGCACTCAACATACCGTGAGATGCAAAAGTTGCTGTATCGTCCCTATTTTCACTACATGAGCGATCTGGTGATTTTCTTTGCCCTCCCCAACCTGTGGGTGTGCCTCTGGAATACCTTTACCAGTCACACCTCCAATTGTGCCTGAAACTTCTTCTACACAGCATTGACCACCATCCTTGAAGTAAACACCCCCAACCTTGAAACCCAAATGCATAAAAAAGATTCTAGAACGTGTGTGTGTGTGTGTGTGTGTGTGTGTTTTCTCTCCAAATACACACTTACAGAATCACATCACACTATGTTTATGCGTGTGTTTTTTTTCCGCAGCTTTTAAGGTTTCCCAAACGGTAAACAAACAGACGCGCAGGCGCAGCCTCACAGCAGAGGCAGAAGCCAAAAAAAAAGTTTCCAGGTGTTCCCCTTTGGCCAAAAGACGCGGTATAACGTACAAACTTTTCTGAAGGGGAACGCGTTTTCTTTGTCTTAACAGGCGCAAATTGGAAGTTAATCAAAAGAGCAAGCCAAAGGGGATCGGTGAAGGGACAGGAGCCCATTCGCAAGGTACCAAGAAGGTGTAATTGATACTTAAAAAGGGGTGTGTGTAGTAACAGTGGTGACGATGTGCGACGACGAGGACAGGTAGTAAATCCTCGACGTGCCCCTTTCTCCACGCCCATACCGGTCCGGGCATTGTTATTCACTTTGATACCTCAGAGAATGTTGTGTTGTGTGCGTGTGTTTTTTTTTCAGTTTATGCTCGTCGGCCCTTTGAGTGAAATCGTACATAAACTCGAGGGGGGAACTCCCTTTATGGAAAAAGCAGTAGTAAACAGAAAGGACAGGGAGTTTTGAAGGATATCACAGACCTTTGGGGGATAATTCTTATAGACATAGTTTCTGTTCTTCTTCCTCTTCTTCTTTTCTGGTTTCGTTAGCACCCTTCCCACTCTTTCACCTCGCACATTGTTTAATACCCATTCACTCTCTGCAAGCATGCCAGGTCTCGTCGTCACTGCCACACAGATTCAATACCCGTTCCAATTGTCCACAAGTGAACTGCTAACACATCGCCAAACTATACTGGAATATAGAGATGAGCTTTCACAGTCATTGCATGCCATGGCCAAGATCTCGAAGCCGGACCTTTCCTTGATCTCACAACAGCCAGAGCTGAAGCCTTCGCTCAGAGCTCCAATCCTGGAGTTCCTGTTACACATCTCCATCAAGACCAAAGTCACCTACGGCATCTACTACCAGGCAGTACGCCTATTCGACCGTTACTGCTCGAAGAGAATAGTGCTCAGAGAACAGCTCCAATTAGTACTAGCTACTTGTCTATGGATCGCAGCAAAGACAGCAGGAGGTTGCAACCACATCATCAACAACACAACGGTGCCTACAGGTGGCAGATTCCATGGCCCAAACCCAAGGGCAAGAATCCCAAGACTGAGCGAGCTGTGCATCCTATGCCAGGATGATCAGAAGTACGACGAGGGAATGTTTGTACAGATGGAGAGACACATCCTGGACACTCTTAATTGGGACATCTGTGAACCTCATATGACCAATTGGCTCCTGGACTTCTACGAGAACAACCTGGTACAGTTTGAGATGGAGAACATGGTTGATAAAGTCGAGATCATCAACTGCAAGAGATTTATCATGGAGTGTTGTCTATTGGAGCTGAAGCTCATGGAACTACACCCTGCTCAGCTGGCGCAGGTGCTGTTGAGCATTCTCCAGGCCAATTTACCACAGCATGCCACCAGTTCAACGTTTCAGTCAGAGTTGAACTTTGTTGAACCTTTGGATCCAAATCAGCTAAAATACTATACCCAGATGGCATACGACACAGTGCTGAAATTGCCAAATAACATGCTTCAGTTCTATTCAAAACTACAAGGAGTGACACAACTATACCACACGATATTGAAACATTCAATTCAAGTCGACAGCACCTTGCAAACCCCTGTCAGACCACAGTTCTTACCAACACCACCAGCATCGAGAAGGGGCTCTCCAGTGGGTACAATGAACAACATCGTATGACGAGCTTTTTTTTTTTTTTTTTCAATTCTACTACATTCTCTCACTACATATATTAATGAACAAGTTTATCCTTCTGGCTGCCCAGTTATATAGACGCAATGTGGTCAATTCCAGTCGAAATGACAGATCTAATCTCGTTAGAACAATGGCTCTCTTCTAGGGCATCATCCATGGACTCGTGGATGATGTGTTCCCAATCAGACTGCAGCACACTTGCCAATTGTAGCAGCGAGATGATGATAATGGCAATGCACAAGCCTGCCCAGAGCCCAAACAGCTCCATTCCCATCCAAAATGCCAACCAAAACCCAATTGGCAGAGATATCAAGTAGTACGACACCAATGTGCACAGCGCAGCCATCTTTTGTCTACCTTGGCCTCTCAGAACACCACCGGTCACGGCTGCAACGCAGTCGCTAATTTGGTAAATTGCAGCAAGTGGTATGATCTTTTCCGACAGTTCAATCACCTGGACGTCATCGGTAAAGAGCACAATGATGTTATCTTTGAAAAAAGTAAGAATCAGCGCATTCATCACACCAATGATGAGCGACACTATGATCGAACCGTTCGATGCCGTGATACTCGACTTGGTGGAAGCTGCGCCGATGTAATTGGCAACCCTTGTCGATGCTGCGATACTAACGGCAAATGGCACTTGGTATAACAGGACACATATGGTTGCAATGACACTCTGGGAAGCCAGGGAGACCGTGCCGAATCTTGCTGCACTCAACGTGGCTACTTCAAATGCCAGCCACTCGCTGATGACACCAACACATCCGTTGACAGAGAGGTAAACCATCTTTGACCAGTGACGCAACAGGTCAGTGGAGAACCCACACCAACAACGATACCCATCGACAAACACTGTATACAATAATAGCAGTATGGCCATGAGATAATTCGTAGAGACAATGGCGATAGGAGCACCAATGAACCCCAATTTCGGGGCTCCCCAGACCAAATAGTAGTTCAGAAACGCATTGAAAGGAGCTGCGACGAGAATGACATACGTCGAGGCGTGGAAGATGTTTTGCGCTTGCAGGAATCTCTTCAGAGTCTCAAAGAGGATGAAGGCAGGCAAGCCAATGGACAACACTCTCAGATAGCTCACAGCCAAGTTCACCAGGCGAACGTCATCAACGATAAACGTCAAGATCGGACGCGACGCCAGGGTCCAGATCAGCGTCACCGGCACGTCGATCAATAGCAGGAAGATGGTGCATCTCATAAAGTGCAATCCAACAGATCTATAGTCACGGCGTCCAAACGACTGTGCACACAGTGTATCCAGAGAAGTGGAGGTTCCCTGGAACAGACAGTAGCCCGTGATGTTGGCAGTCATACCAGCAAGCGACACGGCAGCCAGCTCCGAGCTCCCAATCCTGCCAACACTAAATACAGACGCAACGTTCAAAGAGTACTGCAACAGGAAAGTGATCACCAACGGCACAGAGTACTTCGCCAGCGTCTGTACCTCGTTGCCCACCGTGGTCTCCAGCTCAGGCAAGGAGCCTGTGTCCATCACGTGTCTGATGGTCGAATGCGACACCATCCGCTTGATCTGTGCCAGCGAGTCCTTCTTAGACGGATACGAAGAGATGAGATCAGGGTCGAATGAAGGGTCTGCTCTCAGCTGAGCCTGAAGCAGCGGAGAGCGCTCGCTGATGTGGTCCTCATCGTCAACCTCGCTGTGCACAGTGCTCAGCGGACGGAAGAAGTCGAGGATCGACCCTGCGGACACGCTCTTGTGCGAAACTATCGAGTCTCTGCGAGCACTGGTGCTGTTGTTCATATACGATGAGACAGACTCATATGGCGGAACATCCAAGTACGGTGCTGGGCCTGTGGATATCTCTGGCATGGTGGCAAGATTGGAGGGTGTGTTTCTTCTACGACGGTTCAGTCAGATGGCGAGACGGAGCACAGAGCAAATGGGCCTTTATCTACGCCGACAAGCCCATCAACAAGTGAAACAAAGCAACCAAAATGGCTGAATTTCCACGGTGATTTGGAGGGAGTGTTGATAAGCGGGCAGGCAGGGAAAAACGTAAACAAACTTCCTATTTGGGTAGACTGCCTAATGCGGCAATGCTAATCCCACGAGCTCTCATATGTTAACCTCTGATACTTCAAAGCCGCAATCAACACACCGACGACGGAGCAGTGGCAGGCCGTCGTCGTCGGTGCCCCCGTCGAAGCCCTGCGACCACACGTGCACGTGCTTGGAGTCGAACTTGCCCTCCCGGAGACGCCTGTTGTACTCCTCTGCCCTGGTCTTCTTCCTCATCTCCTTCATCTTGAGCTCGTACTTCTTCTCTCTTCGCTTGACCTTGAACTCCTCGCGTCTCTGCCACTCTGCGTCGAGCCCTTCGGGCCCTCCCCATTTCTGGAAGGCGAATTCTTCGACCTGATACCTCAGGAACAGCTGCATCCTGTTGAACTTGGAATGGGGGTTTGGCTTGAAGAGACGGTGTAGCAATGACTGGTCCTCGAGCTCAGGATCAGTGAGGAAGTAGTCCTCACGGCACTCGGTCTTTGTCAACAGTGAGTACTTGTCAGGGTTGGCCTTTGCACATCTCTTACAGACACGGCACTTGAACACCTCCCAAAGCTGCTGATCAATCTCAAAGGTTCCACATTCGAAGCATTTGGTGGCGTTAGCCATATCAGTTGGAGGTGGCAGGTCCCGTATGACCCTTTGCTCGTCCTTCCACTGGTCAAGGCTCTTGCCGATGCCAGCACCTTCGGGTCCTTCCCCGTTGCCAGTCTCGTCGATGTAGCCTCCCTTAGTGTCTTTAACCTTGGACAAGTCGTACTCAATGTACTGAGACGTGACGACAGAAGGCTTATACAGCTTCCTTTTCGAATCGTCCAACGACCTGTTTTCGCTGCCAGAGGCGTTTCTGAAGTTGTCCTGCTTGGCCTTCAGCTTAGCAAGTGCCTTCCGTCTATTCTCTTCAATTGTTCTTCTCTGCGCCTCTGTCAACACCACAGCCCCGAGATTGGTACGCTCATTACCTGGAATAGCAGGCTTCACGACCCTGTTGTTATCTCCTCGTATATGACCTCTCTGTTTAAGCCTTTCCAAGGCTTTCCGCCTATTCTCATCCTTCATGAGACATAATGTCAGTGAAAACTTCACACGGTACAGGCGAGCTCGCCTAAAAAGCTATAGAGCATAATTAACACAATACCATACAATCTTGGCCTGTTGTTCAGGAGTAAGAGCCATAGCCAAGTAGTCTGCAACGCTGATTTTAAACGAATCAAGGCTGGTGTTCGGTTTGAGCTGTTCGTATAGTGAGTAAAAGAGCATTGGAACTTTCACGAGCTGCAAAAATTCCCATGGAATTTTTAAATGTGTCATATTACATCCATACAACTACACATATACCGTCACCAATAATTGCCTTCTATTCATCTTCTCGGTATCCTCCCATAGTCAGGAAGAGATCTCATATATCTATTAACAGGCCTCTTGGTGTGCCTTGGAGTGATTTCTTCATCTGACTTACGCTTCCTCATTATTGGCTCATTGGCATTGTTCTCTTTGTTTTCCCGATTCTGAAACCTTTCTCCAATTAGTTCAAACTTGGGAGGTGCCTCCTGTGACGAGTCGCTGACCTTCTTCTTTGGTATATACAAAGCCTGTCTCTTCGGAGTCTTCCCGGTTGGCAATAGCGAATGTCTAATATTTTTCTGCTCCTGTTCAAGGTCACCAATGAGTGTATCAACGTCTTGCTCTTCAAGGGAATCCACCGTGGTATTGTCGACAATTTTCCGTTGAAGTTCATCTTGGATACTGACAAACCCATCCTTTGAGTGATCAAGAACCTCTCGAAGTTCATCCTTTTGATCGCCGAGCATTGAGAACTTACATTTAATATCATCAAGGCTTTGTTGCACCGCACCATTATTCAAAAAGTCGGTTGTCACTTGGTTGATATTCTTCAATTCATTGTCAATTGTTGTCTTTGACAAGTTTGTAAAACGACTGGTTTCTTTAAGTCTAGTAGAAATCTCGGAAAGTTCATGTTTGTGTTGAAACTGGAAATCCAACGTCCGAGAATCACAGCTGTTGATGATCTGTCTTGACGCATTTTCCCAACGCTCTTTAGCTGGTACCAACACATCCTTTTCGGCTTGAAGGGATTCAGAGACAGCCAGACGAATCTTCTCAGCAACCAGTTCTTGTTGTTTATTGTTCTTCTCCCGCATCACTTCAATAAACTCGTTAAGTAGTTGATTAGCATCGTCTTCGAGCTGTTTTTGAGTCTTTGATACAACGGAGTTCACAATATCGGCATGGTTTTGAAATAGAGAATCATTCAACACAGCTTTGAAGTCATTGTTCTCTTTTGAGAGATTTGAGAATTGTTCGTTCAATCCCAGCTGAAATTCTTTCAACAAGTTTCCCAATTGAGATACGTTCGAATCGAAATCCTTGAAAAGATCTGGAAATTTTGAGAGAATCGTCTCACCAACGTTCTTACAAGCGTCGTAGGTAGACCTTTGAAGGACAGTTATCATTTCGCTTATCTCCTCGCTGATACTGGCAATGTTAGGAGAGATATCAATGTCCTTATTGGTATTGCTCAGAATACCCACAATCCTCTGTATCAAATCTTCTGTCACTCTTTTATTCACATTATTGATAGTTGTCTTTGTATCATCCTCATACTTCTTAAAGACGGCCAAGTTCTCATTGATAGAGTTTATGATATTTTTGAACTTTGAACTTGAACTCATAAGATTTTTTTCATTTTCCCGTTGTTGATCAATTTTATTATGAAGAGTTTCAACAGTAGCATTGAGTGTATTTATCATTGTGATGTAGGTGTTGCTCTGATTCTCGGTATCTTGTAGTTGCGATTTCAATTGATCGTTATGTTTCTTCAACGTATCTTGTGATCTCTTATACTCTTCTAATTCTGTCTTATACTCCTGAATATCACTCATTAGTTCTTCATAATTGTCATTGTCCATATAGATCCCATCCTTCAACCTCGTCGAGGTTAAATCTGCTTTAGTCTTTGACAATTCTAGACTCAACTCTCGAAGTAAAACATCTTTAGATAGAGTGGAACCGATCTGTGGTTTATTTTGAATACTCTTGGCTTTGTTGGCATATTCCAACGTGCTTAGAGTCTCGTCATAATTTATCTTGGCTGGTGATATTGTTGCTATTAAGCAAGTCTTTGTACGACCTCCAAGAGAATCTTGTAATAGACGTGTCAATTTTGACTCCCTGTATGGGATGTGTTGATTGTTCTTCTCAACCAAGAGGCTGATTACCCTGCCCAAAGTTAGTAAACTCTGGTTGATAGATCCTGCCTCTTTAGCTCTTTGGTTCAGTGCACCAGACCTGCTGATATTCTCTGAACCTGCAAGATCCACTAAGTTCATCTTAGATATTCTAAAAAGCTCACCGGATTGTTGATCCTTTTTGAAGAGATTTAAAGTGAATATTGTATGAGATCTACTTGAGAAGTCGTTCATCTTTGTTGCAGCAACCTGCCGTATTTTCAATCCACTTTCCAAGACTTTCAAACCGTGGTTTGCATTCCTCAAAATGACTTCTTCGAGGTTTTGAATATGGATTGTAGATTTGTTCATCTGTCCCAATGTTGGTTCATTTGTCATGGACTGCTTCTGATCAAATATTCTAATCTTCTTCTTTGGATCCTCACTCAAAAGGTCCTTCAATTCTTCATTGTAGAGCTCAACAAAGGAGCATTTAACCATGTAGTCCTCGTGCACCACTCCATTGGCATCCTGAAGTACTTCGAAGAGTCTAATGAGCATTCTAGGAATGATACCGGCTCTTTCACTCAGCTGTCCATTTACAATCGAGTTGTCTCCAGACATCGTATACGTCTTACCAGTAGATGTCATACCGTAAACCAATAGTGTACAGTTGTAACCCTTCAAGAACTCATCAAACAGCGGTGATGCCACATTTGCAAACAACGACGTTTGGTCAGCCATGGGGCCAAACACCTTGTCAAACACATACTTCTTCGAGTTCAACTGTGCAGCTACTCCTGTTTCATCAGAAGGATTCAACACCACCCCATCGCCCAACTCATCCGCCACATGGACCACAACAGCGCTCTTTGTTGATGTCTCTTTGGCGTTCCTTGCCCGGCATCTCACAACGACCTGGATGTTCTCGTTTTCTGACATTTGAAACACACAGGATGACCTTCCCAGTACTCTCTCGTATCACAGCAGAGATCAGAATACGTTTCCTCAAAGCCTTCAGTGGAGTGTAACCTTCCAATGGATCGTGAGCTTTGTTGTTGGGAAGAGATGGAAGCTCTGTTGTTTGTTTACATTTCTTTGAGGCAATTCGCGGCGGTAAACAACGGTTTTTTTCCTTCTCAATAGTTACCATAGCAACGACCAGGGCTCAAAAAGAGAGATGGGAGGCATGCTGCGCGTACCAACAGCTGGTACTAAAGAGGAAAATTTGGCTGGCGATGGGCTCTCGAGTGTATGGGTATTAATGCCAGTTGCTTTGTAGTTTGAGCCTCTTTTCGTGAGTGAGGATCGAATCAATCACCGAGGTTACTCCTGGTGGGCGTCGTACAAGATTATGTTTGAATATAGCGTGAAAAGGTTCAAGAGAGCGAAGGATGAGAGGACGCTGAAGGCTCTTAACCTATGGCATCGTACACAGCTTGAACAGGAGAGAAAGCGGTGCTTGGAGGATGAGGACGGGGATGAAGATCAAGGAATCGACTGTTCACATAGTGAATTCACAGAACAGATAAAGGACATTCCTCCAGAGGACACGTTTGAAACGTGGGTGCTGGAGAGAGAGATCAACATATCGACGTTTATCAACCAACAGCAACAGCACGAAGAGCCGCGACATGGTGCACAGGGAGATGATGACGACAACGACGACGAAGCTGATACAGATTTTGGTTCTGACGATGACACACTGGAGAAGGCTCGTGTAGAGTACGAAGGACTGCGTAACCTCACGAGATCCAGTGAGCTTTCCAATGCACGGACGCAGTTTATGGTGAGAGTCCGAGGGCTCGAGGTTCTACCCGCAGTGTCTATAACCAACATGGATAAACAGTCTGACCTATTATCCACGGAGACGTCGTATTTGAAGAGACATGCGGAGGTATTGAATAAGATAATGCACCTTTGTGTGCTCCGACAGGATTGGCGCAGAGCGTATAGATGCTTTACACTTCTGATTCGATGCAACAACATTGATATCCTCTCAATATGGCCCATAGGTTTAGAAGTCATCACAAGAGTTGCAGAGTTGGAGTACATCGAATCTGGGAACGATGGGTCGGAATACAACTTGAGGGTATACGGTACTGACTCTTCTCCTTTGAAGATTTTCAAAGATGAACAGTTTCTTCTATGGTTGTTGAACTTTTATCCAGGATCGAAGGTCCTTGACAAGCATAGAGTATTACACCTGGCCCTTCGTGGTGGTACAGCGGACACTGCACCTTACTTCGTGGTGACGTTGATATGGACCATAATCATGAAGCGAAACTTCACCATGGTGAACGACAAACTATCAGAGATGTTGTCGAAGAAACCTTTCATCAGGGATGGTGTTTTTTACTTTCTCCAAGGGCTTTCTTATCAACTCGAGGCTTCGACTATTGTAAATAGCGAACCAGATTCCATTGACCAAGGGAAAGTGTTGAAGTTGGTGAACAGCTCACAAAAGTTCTTAGAAGAAGCAAAAACGCTTGGAGCCGAGTTCCCTGAGAAGCTTATTCAAAACGAACTTGATCTGATAAAGTTACGGTTAAGTGAGTTGGACGATAGTGATTAATACGTGGCTTCATTACAAGCGGGAGTCATTTACTATATTTGTTTCCTTTCATAAAATTCGTAGGCTATTAATCAAGATAATCAGATGTTTCATCTGATTCTGCTTGTTTGCCTCTAGACCTTTGTCTTAAAGTACTTGAACCTTCGCCAACATCAATCTGTTCAAATACGTCTCTAGGAATTTCCAAGATCTTCTTCATCTGTACTTCTTGGGTTGGATTTAGAAGTACCCTGTAGCCATATGTTTCAGGTCTGACATTGAACAATGTCCAACCTGGTGGATTCAGACCATTTATTGGAATTTCAACTGTGTTGGCTTCATTGTGAACTATTGGTAATCCATGTGATTGCGTTTGAGTAGGAGTGGGGGTTTCAGTTTGACCGTGGAAGAAATGGCCTCCGTGAGGCAGACGGTCTAATATATTAATATTTGGAGGTCCTGGAACTCCAGTTTCCATTGGTGGTGTTTCACGTTGTTCAGGCTGTGGTCTCTCCGGTTCATGGTGAGCTTGTTGTTCTTGCTGCTGCCCAGGCTGTGGAACGGGCTCTTGTTGCTGTTGTTGTTGATTGTCAGCTGTCACAGGTGGGTCTACAAATACCGGACCACGACAGAGAGGACATACCTGGGAAATCTCCAACCAGCCCTTCAAACATCCCAGATGGATTATATGGTTACATGGCAATTTCTTCGGGTACAGTCTTTCACCCTTTGTAACACCAACTGTAGTCATATCGTCACGACAAATGATACAAAGGTTGTTATCCTCATTCAACTCATCCTCCGTTGCATCCAACAGTTTGGAATCCAGCTCCTTTGCCGTTTTCAAATGGATCATCATCTCCTTCACCTGTTTGACCAGAGAGATTGCCGTGAAAATCGTATCCTTTGCCAAATAAATTGGAATTCTATTCGGCCCAATGAACGTAAACACCAGGAAGTGATAGATTGCCAGTGAGCATATTGTTTCAACAAGCTTGACGATCTTCAAATACAACTCCTTTGATTCCATAACTTCCTCGTCCGGATGGGTGTTGAGATAGTGAACTTCCCAAGTGTTGAGACAAATGTTCATCGTTAACGATAACAGCTTAATAAACAAGAGGGTAAATTCAAATCCAAATGCAAAATACACGTCTGGAGTGTTACCAAATGTATACTCCGCACAAGAGTAAACCATTGTAAAGTCTGCATAGAGTAAGATCAGCAGCGATATGGTGTTTCTAGTCATCAAGATGTCCCGAGGAGTCGTTGCTCTTTGGAATATCATCTCAAATCGATCGTTCAGCAGCCAGTGGAACACTTTCACAAAGAGCAACACCAACGTCAGTATTCCTGGGATCAACAGCCAATACGTGTTGAACATGGTGAGTGCAATCAGCGAGTTTATCACCTCAAACTTCGACCTTTCGTAGATATGCTCAATCTCCAGCAGACGAAGCTCCCCAAACATCAGCTGCTGTAACAGCTTACCGATCACTATGGCCATTGCCACCGCCCAATTGGCCAGCAGCACCAGTGGTATACCTTCTGACAGCTGAACCGCTGCTGAAAAGATATTTGGTGATGATTCCAATACTGGCCACACGGCGAATATCACCAGCACGTTGCTCGCCTGGGACGACAGAGCGTTAGTTTGCTGACTAGCTCACATGTCGAAACAAGTCTTACTCACCAAGAAGTACGCTATGAACTGTTGTTTGTGTGTAAGATTAACCATCTTCCCCTTACTTTGCTATTCTACCTCTCTTCGTGTATGAACAGAAGTGTCACTGCTGTTCTTTCCAGGCCCAATTTTGAGCTCGCGGGCAGGACAAAGGGCGCTCAGCCGGGGGAGCTTAGCCTGGCAGCCCAGCCGGGGCGAGAGAAACCGCAGGGAGCCCGGCAGCGCCAGAGGGAGCGCGAGAGAAAAAAATTAGACAGAGAGGACGTTGTTCTCCTACGAACCAGGCGGACAGAGAGAGCGTCCCAGAGAGAAAGAGGGAAACCCCGGTACAACCACAGCAGAATGAGCGGCCTGGGTATCAAGCTTGGCTCTCTGTTCATCAGACAGATCTCCAAGCCCATATCGGTAAGTGTTGGCACCACCGTTTGTGTGCTCTCTGACTTAACTAACACTATGTGAATTAGAACATCATCAAGGCCCATGCACAACAGCACGAGTATTTCCGCAAGATTTGTATCTCTGTAGCACAGAAAGTACACAAGACGGACATCACGGTGAGGATGAGACTGCTCGGTGAGGAAGGCACAGCGAAGGTGCGCCCTCTTAACGATAAACGCGCCATAGAGACCGGTGCCACGTTCCTGTCTGAGACGTTTGTGTTTGCCGTTGCCGGGAGCATAGTGGTATTCGAGGCGTATAGGCAGAGACAGAAGGAGTTGACCAGAAGAGAGACCGTCGAGGACGACATCAAGACGTTACAACACGAGATTGAGTATCTCAAGAGGAAGCTAAGGGAGTACAACGTTCGATTGGACGATTACACGCCGCTAAAGGATCTCAACCCCAAGGTGCTGCGGCTCGATGAGAACGGTGACTCTGTTGATCTAACGGTCCAGGTCCAAGAGCTGAACGACCGCTTGGACGCGTTGGAACGCGTCGACACTGCAAAGGAGGGAGACGCAGAGGAGAAGAAGTGAGAAGAATCTTGTATATACAGGCCCAGTGAAGTTAGCATTACATACTACTCAGTCATACGGCACTGCGTTAGCGATGTTGAGCGACGTGTAGCGGTGCTGGCGGATGTGTCACGGATGTCTATGCGTGTGCGTACCATTATCAACGGGCCCGAAACACCGACTCGGTTTTCATCATCGTCTGGCTCACAATGAGTGAGCCAGAGGGCAAGAAACCGCACAGCTCAGACCACGGCTTCGACCAATTGAGTTGATGTGTTGTACGCTATGGCATTAGATAAAGAACGTTTGAAGAAACACGAGAAAAAAACATTGCAACAGTGGGTTTCCCCGGCGATTGCCCAAACTCTGTAATTATCTTCTCCGCTTGGCTTACGTAATCCCCCGCGATCGAATTTTCTGGAAATTCCGATTTTCCACGTTTTCCAATGCGGTGACCGATTTTCCAAGCCAAATTGAAAAAGCTGGAAAAAAACCGACGGCAACGTCACACTTTCTCTCTCTCTTTTTCTCTCTCTTCAACTCTCAACAAGTGGATATAATCTAAAGAAAAACACAATGCTCAGTGCTGCTAGACCATCTGTTAGAAGACAAGCTTCTATCGTTGCTAAAAGAGGTATCGCTCACAAGGAACTCAAGTTCGGTGTGGAGGGAAGAGCCGCTCTGCTCAAAGGTGTTGAGACTTTGGCCGATGCTGTGTCTGTTACCTTGGGTCCAAAGGGTAGAAACGTGTTGATCGAACAAGACTTTGGTTCTCCAAAGATCACCAAGGATGGTGTTACTGTTGCCAGATCCATCACTTTGCAAGACAAGTTTGAGAACATGGGTGCTAAGCTCTTGCAAGAGGTTGCATCGAAGACCAACGAGGCTGCTGGTGATGGTACCACCTCCGCCACTGTCTTGGGTAGAGCCATCTTCACCGAGTCTGTCAAGAACGTTGCCGCTGGTTGCAACCCAATGGATTTGAGACGTGGTTCTCAAGCCGCTGTTGAGGCCGTTGTCGACTTCTTGCAAAAGAACAAGAAGGAAATCACCACTTCTGCTGAGATTGCACAAGTTGCCACCATCTCTGCTAACGGTGATGCTCACATTGGTCAATTGCTTGCATCCGCCATGGAAAAGGTTGGTAAGGAAGGTGTCATCACCGTCAAGGAGGGTAAGACCTTGGAGGATGAGTTGGAAGTCACCGAAGGTATGAGATCAGACAGAGGTTACATTTCCCCATACTTTGTCACAAACACCAAGAACGGTAAGGCCGAGTTGGAGAGACCATTGATCTTGCTCTCCGAGAAGAAGATTTCCGCTCTTACCGATATCTTGCCAGCCTTTGAAATTGCTGTCAAATCTAGAAGACCATTGCTTATCATTGCTGATGACATTGACGGTGAAGCCCTTGCTGCATGTATCCTTAACAAGATCAGAGGTCAATTGTCCGTCTGTGCTGTTAAGGCTCCAGGTTTCGGTGACAACAAGAAGAACACCCTTGGTGATATCGCCATCTTGACCGGTGGTACCGTCTTCAACGAGGAGTTGGACATCAAACCAGAGAACTGTACTCCAGAACTCTTGGGTTCAGCTGCCTCTGTTACCGTTACAAAGGAGGACACCGTTATCCTTAACGGTGAAGGTTCAAAGAGCAACATCTTGGAACGTATTGATCAGATCAAGGCCTCCGTTGCTGATGAGTTAACCTCCTCTTATGAGAAGGAGAAATTGCAAGAGAGATTGGCTAAGCTCTCTGGTGGTGTTGCCGTTATCAAGGTTGGTGGTGCCTCTGAAGTTGAGGTTGGTGAGAAGAAGGACCGTTACGACGATGCCTTGAACGCCACCAGAGCCGCTGTTGAGGAAGGTATCTTGCCAGGTGGTGGTACTGCCTTGCTTAAGGCCTCAAGAATCTTGAAGGATGTCAAGGTTGACAACTTTGACCAAAAATTGGGTGTTGACATCATTAGAAAGGCCATCTCCAGACCTGCAAAGAAGATCATCGAGAACGCCGGTGAGGAAGGTTCCGTCATTGTTGGTAAGATCATCGACGAGTACGGTGAGGACTTCAACAAGGGTTACGACTCCTCCAAGGGCGAGTTCACCGACATGATTGCCTCTGGTATCATTGATCCATTGAAGGTTGTCAGATCCGGTCTCGTTGATGCCTCCGGTGTTGCCTCCTTGTTGGCCACTACCGAATGTGCGATCGTCAACGTTCCAGAACCAGTGACAGCTGCTCCACCAATGCCAAACATGGGCGGTGGTATGTTCTAAACACCTCCCCTCGGAAACATTTCGCCATTTGATTTGAAATGATGTACATAGTTTATAAAGACCAATCTCACTGAGAGACGATTAGAGTTGTAGTTGTGTGGTCCGCTTACACTTTCTTGGTTAACACACGCCACAGTTACTGTGTATGTGTTTGTTTTGGCTTTTTTAGCCTGCGTGGTTTAAACAAAAATTTGAATTTTCCCCTTCTCCCACACACCACAAACATCACGAAATTTGTGAGGGAAGGTAAACAAACCAAACGTAAAAGATACACGCAAAATGTCAGGAAAGGTCCACGGAGGTAAAGGTAAATCTGGTGCTAAAGATGGTGGTCTCAGATCTCAGTCTCACTCTGCCAGAGCGGGCTTACAGTTCCCAGTCGGTAGAGTCAAAAGATTCTTGAAGAAGAATGCACAGAACAAGATCCGTGTTGGTGCCAAAGCTGCGATCTACTTGACTGCGGTTTTGGAGTACTTGACTGCTGAGGTCTTAGAGTTGGCTGGTAACGCGGCAAAGGATCTCAAATTGAAAAGAATCACACCAAGACATTTGCAGTTGGCGATCAGAGGTGATGAAGAGCTTGACACTCTGATCAAGGCTACTATTGCCTCTGGTGGTGTCTTGCCACACATCAACAAGGTATGTTATATCTCTTTCTTTATATGCTATATTCTGTTACTAATAGGGGTTTTAGGCGCTTCTCTTGAAAGTTGAGAAGAAGAAACATAAATGAGTCCAGCAGTGTTTACTTGTTTTCGTTATTATTGTTGTTGTTGATATAATTTTTTTTGGTTCCAGGTGAAGGAAAAGGCGATTTTGGTACAATACACAACACAGCTTATACGTTTTCCTTTTTTATATCCTTCTTATGATCACTGTCATGGTGACGTTGTGTTTGGAAGCCTATCAAAAGGATGAGGAAGCCATGGGGTTATTCGAGTCTCATCATGTTTTGAAGAGAACAGAAAGCACATGTTGAACCCCCTTTCTTCTTGTTCCTCTTCTTCTTCTTTGTTATTGTATTTTTATATACGTGTACTACTAATTATATTGAAAAAAAAAAAGATGGGTCTCTCTTCTCATGGGGCCTATTAATGGTTGAGTGTGTAGCACAGCATGGCATCTACCCGTTGTATCTCTTGCGATCGATTTGTTTACATTTTTCAGCTTTTCCACAGTGGGAGCCCGGAAGGGGGGGTTCGATTGTTGTAACCGGGACAACGCTAAGCGTACAAAAGAAAAGCTAAAAGCAAGAGACAAACCCGCCAAAATGGGAATGTCCCCCCTTCGGCACTGATAAACTACGGACGGGCTACATAACGCGAAAATGGGACGGGGGACGGGTTGGTGGGCAGGTTGGTGCAGTTTAGGGGTAAATCCCAATTGTTCCTTTCTATCCATTCTGGAACCTGTTCCTTTTATTCATTTTCCTCCATACTCAGTTGAAGATAAAAAGGTCATCAATTATTGAAAAGGGGCATTTACTGTCATTATTCCTCCGACGATACTCTGATACAACGAGACAAATCAGTGCTTAAAAAACACAAGGAAGAGACAAGTTAGGACAAAGACGCGTAGCTTACATTCGAATTTGCCCTTCTAAGTACATCTCTGTCCAGTTTGTCCAGTTTGTCCACTGTGTGCAGTTGTGTCTCCAATCGTTTTGTCGTTGTCTGTCTTTTTTTCTCTTTTGGCTTTTTTGTCCATCGCGTCCCTCGACAAATCGGACAAAAAAACCCAGCCCATAACTTGGACATAAACACAGAGGAAACACTCGACACAGCAGTTGAAAGCATTGACGAGGAAGTCGAGCGAGCTGAACAAGAAGAGATGTCACGTGTCCTTCCTCAGATCGACCTCAGTGGGCTGTCCGTGGAGGACAAGAAGGAGAACGAGTACGGTGCGCTGACGTCACAGAAGTACCGTTATACATGTGTCTCGAGACAGGGCAAGCCGTTGCCAGACCCTATAGAGGATGAGCCTCCGTATTATGTGCTGCTGATCACGTATCTCAACTACCTGATCCTCATCATCGTGGGACACGTCAAGGATTTCTTTGGAATCAGGTTCAAACCTAAGAAGTACGCCGACCTCTTGGAACATGACGGCATGGCTCCTTGGTACAACAAGTTTGAGTCCTTTTACATCAGAAGAATGAAACAGAAGCTGGATGACTGCTTTGCCAGACCAACGTGCGGTGTGCCTGGCCGTCTCATCACGTGTATCGACAGAGACCCTCATGACTACAACAAGTACTTTACATACCCGGGGACGACTTCAACTTGTTTGAACTTATCGTCGTACAACTACCTGGGGTTTGCACAGAGCGAGGGTGCCTGCACGGACTCTGCTATTGAAACCGTGGAGAAGTATGGTATCGGTACAGGTGGTCCAAGAAACGTGATTGGAACTATGCAACTACATAGAGAAACTGAGCGTACCATTGCCAATTTCATCGGAGTGGAGGATTCTATACTGTTCTCTATGGGATACGCCACGAACGCTTCGCTCTTCTCTTCCATATTGGATAAGAAGTCGCTGATAATATCGGACGAACTGAACCATACCTCGATTAGAACAGGTGTCAGACTCTCTGGTTGTTCTGTCAAGACATTCCCTCACAACAACATGGATGCATTGGAAAAATTGCTCAGAGAGCAAATCTCTCAAGGTCAGCCTAGATCGCATAGACCTTGGAAAAAGATTGTTGTTGCAGTGGAAGGCTTGTACTCGATGGAAGGTACAATGGCCAACTTGCCCAAGCTGATTGAACTGAAGAAGAAGTACAAGTTTTATCTCTTTGTCGATGAAGCTCACTCGATAGGTGCCATTGGTCCAAGAGGCCGTGGTGTATGTGACTACTTTGGAATTGACCCTAAAGAGGTTGATATTCTTATGGGCACTTTGACCAAGTCGTTTGGTGCTGCTGGTGGTTACGTCTCTGGTTCTCAGCAATTGATTGATAGATTGAGATTGGATATCAATGCTCAAAACTATGCCGAGCCTATTGCTGCTCCTGTCCTCGCACAGATATTGAGCTCCATGAGAATCATCATGGGAGAAATTAACCCAGGAGAAGGACGTGAGAGACTGGATAGAATTGCATTTAACTCACGTTATTTGAGATTGGGATTACAAAGATTGGGATTCATCGTCTATGGTGTGGATGACTCGCCAGTTATTCCATTGTTACTCTTTGCACCAGCCAAAATGCCTGCATTCTCCCGTATGCTATACAAGAGAAAAATCGCTGTTGTCGTTGTTGGTTACCCAGCTACACCATTGACCTCGTCTCGTGTTCGTCTATGTGTCTCATCTGCTCTAAAGAAGGAGGACATTGATTACCTGCTTCGTCATCTGTCAGAAGTTGGTGATAAACTATTCCTCAAATTCAGCTCCGGTGTTGCTGGTGGTTCATTAGATGGTAAACCTCCAAGATGGAATATCGAAGACGTTATCAGGGAAACTCCGGAAGATTGCAAGAATCCAAAGTTCTTTGTCGGGACAAGCGCAACTACAGAGCCAAAGTGATCATCTATATGTTACAACTCCCTGTGATCCCCCTATTCATCTCATCTAATACTCTATTGTCTCACACATACAACTAATACACACAATGAAAAGGACGTGCTTTCCTTCTATTGTACTTTTCTTTGCTTTACATAATAACACAGTCAGTAATTCCCAGACCGTACATGGCCTTCTCAACGTCCTTCCTCACTTTTAACCAATCTGTTCTCTTTGTAACAAATTCGTAGATCTCTTCTTGTCTGAATATACCGTTAAACTTACTCAAATCACCGATAAGTTTACCCAATTCTTTCGAATCATCTTTTGAAATGAGGTACAGTTGACCCACTTGTTTCAATGCTGCGAAGTATGGAGTGATATTCTTCTGTCTTAGCGTGTTCACGATGAAATCGTAATACAAGTTCAGGTCACAAATCAGAATAATGGCACCATTCGTAGAGATTTGTCTCTTCTTGATGTTCTTGACAATCACCTGGAAGAATCTCTCTCCAATCTCCTGTTGGAACACGTCTATGACACCTTTTTCTGTTGATCCATTGAGCAAATTGATGTGGTTGGAGAGAAGCTTAACCACCGTCTTTGCACATTTTGTTGGTCCATTTATTGTGACAGCGATATCCTCTGACTTGGGGTTGAAATCATTAGGTAATTGGAGAGTGTTGAATAAGAACTCAATCTCATCCATCAGCTTATCGATACCAATGTTCAGACCGTTGGCAACAAAATTGTCTAATGTAGCTTCAAACCGTTTCTTGGCCTGGTTAGCATTGTTCAAGAACTCATTCTTATCGAGAATCTTCTTCTGAACCAGTTCGTTCTCATAAAAGATCTCCAGCATTTGGTATATCAAATCGCCAATGTTTATCAATTCGGTGAACTTCACTAGAGGCTCCACTGTATTAAGTGACTCCAAGCTTTCTAAGGACTTGAACTCTGTTGGATCATATCTGTTCAGCACATCAATGGCCTTTTCAAAACCTGGTTTAACGTGGTATATCTCCAAAATACCAATTAGTTTTATGAATATGAGTTCAATGTGTTCATTTATTCTCTTCTTGTCGATAACAGAGCCGTCAATTGATTCAAAGACAAGAACAGAATCCACCTTAGCCTTTGCCTGGTTGATAATCTCTGAAGAAAGTTCGAAATTGATGTAGTTCTTTAGGTTCTTCAAGTTCTTTGTTATGACTTCCAGGTTTGTCTTGAACTTAATCTCTTCAGCATTGGAATCTGACTTGGAGAACATTTTGGTGAAAGAGGTCAACAGTTCAAACTTATTTGTCTTGTTCTCGTCTGTATTGTACTCATTCAAGATGGACTTGTATATGTTCTCTTGCTCTAACTTGTCCTGCTCTTCGTAGTCCTTCTCAAACTTATTGATCTCCTCTATGGAGTTCTCTTCGAATAGCGTTATTGTTTCTTCCAGATATTGCGCAACAAGAGGTTCAAAGTACAAGTTAATGAACGTTCTTGTCATGACTTTATAGTTCTTTCCCACGTTCAGGGAGTCATTGAGATTTGAAACAAAGTTCACTAGCAGTTCGTAATAGACGATTGGAACGATTTCCATGTTCTTATGGCACTCATCTGATAGGAACTTCCCAATGATTTCCTTCTCCAGGACTGATTCCATGTACATGAGCATGACCGGAAGCTGTTGACCAAAACATTCATCGATGACTCTAGATTTATCGTTGAAGTACTTAACAAGGTCCTGAATAACTGTGGACAGTGCCTCTTTATCCAGCTGATTGCCAGAATCTAGAATAGTGTCAGGGAAGAAGTCGTAAGGGAATTTGTTCTCGTCTTTGAAGAACTGTACCATATTCTCCTCCTGGTCCAATATATTCAGAGTCTCAACCAGCAGTGCTACGATGGAGTAGTCTTGATTATCAAAATTGTCTCTCATCTCGTCAAATTTGATCTTTGTGAACTTGTTGAGAAAGTTCTGTACTTTATCACTGGTCTCGAGATATACAACGTTATCGGCGTCGTCCATGTCGGCGTATTTACGCAGGTTAACCAAGATCCTGGCTTTGTCTTGTTCTGATATCATCTTGCTGCCAAACACAGAGCCATAGCTATCTTCATCTGTTAAGTCCAATGCCATCAGATTCTTTATATAGTCCGTCAATAGTGAATGGATCAAGACACATGTCTTTGTAGGATCAGAGGTTTTCCGGACTTGGAAAGCTGTGGTGGCATCAAATTCATCCAGCAGCAAGGGATCCATGAACTGTGGATCATAGATGATATGGGTCTTCGAGAGTCTGGCTTTGTAATAGTCCAGATCGCTAGGTCTCAAGGCACTTGCAACCTCTTCGCTAACCTGTTGTAGGGACAATCGGTCCCCAATGGATAGGTGTCGTCCAATTGAGCCAACAACGGTTGGTGTTTTCAGCAATTCCATCGATCCAGCAGTATGAGTTGCAATAAGGATGACTATGACGATAACAACAAGTCCAATAGGTCGTTCTCAATGGACACCAACCACATGGTGAAACCGTTACAGCTGCTGGACTTATGTCCTGCTCCGTCTCCTATGACATCAAGACACCCAGACACCTAATAACCTGGACATCACCTCATCCGGACATCTAATAACCCGCACACCAAATATTCCATACATCCATACACCACACAACCCGCACACCACACAAATTTATAAACGTCCCGGCCTCGTTGCCTTTCCCTTTGTTGATGCCTTCTACATCATCGAAAGCTCCATCTCAGAACCCAATCTCCTCAGCTTACACCAGCTACCATCCTCTCATTCAGCCATATACTCCAATGAAACCATTTGCCACGAACCACGAGGAGCTGATCCACGATGTTGCGTACGATTTCTACGGTAAACAGCTCGCTACCTGTTCCTCGGACCAACACATCAAGGTGTTTGACCTTGATTCAACTACCAATGAATGGATCCTGAACGATTCATGGAAGGCACATGATTCGAGCATTGTGAAGCTGAGCTGGGCTGCGCCGGAGTTCGGTAAGATCATTGCGTCCGTTTCGTACGACAAGTCTGTACGCATATGGGAAGAAGACCTGGACGAGCCACATGGATCAGGCCGTCGCTGGAAGAAGCTGGCAACATTGCACGATTCCAACGGCCCGTTGTACGACGTGGCCTTTGCCCCAAGCCACCTGGGCCTGCGTTTGGCTACGATTGGAAGTGATGGAGTGTTGAGGATTTATGATGCCCTGGAACCAGCAGACTTGAGATCATGGACAGTGACCTCTGAGGTTTCTGTGCTGTCCATTGCTCCTGCTAACCATCTACAGAGTGATTTTGCATTGGACTGGTGTAAATCGAGATTCTCGCCTGAGAAGCTGGTTGTGTCTGCCTTGGACCAGGCTTTTGTATACAACAGAGATTCCAATGGGAAACTGGTGCGTGCTGCCACTCTCCCTGAACATGGAGGTCTCATCAGGTCTGTATCCTGGGCACCTTCCATGGGTAGATACTACCAATTATTGGCCACTGGCTGTAAAGACGGCAAAGTGCGTTTCTTCAAGCTCACAGAGAGACTCTCAACGGCACCAAGACCGTTGAATGGTAAGTCACCAGATGTGGACGAAGATATGGTGGATGCCGATGCACCAAACGTCAACATCCAAGTGGACCTCGTTGGCCAACACGATGATCACCACGGAGAAGTATGGTCTGTTTCCTGGAACCTTACAGGTACCATATTGAGCAGTTCTGGCGATGACGGTAAAGTGAGACTATGGAAGGCCTCCTACAACAATGAGTTCCAATGCCTCAGTGTGATATCTGCTGAGCAGAAGGACGTATGAAGTATCTGGTTGGAATGCTTACACGATGCTAAAGTGATGAGAATTGTTCCATTAGAAGAAATCAGAATGTACGAAATATTTAATGAAGGGTAATAAAACAAATCATTAATCTTATCCACTGCCATTGCCTATGCCCAGTTACCTAAGACGGACATGACTATCATCCCCACGATGAGAGAGAAGAGTGCACAGCTTGTCTTCCATAACGAAGCAGCTGCCAAGGTACCAAAGAGCCAGTCATGTGCCCACATCTCTACAACACCTGTCCAAATGAGGACCCCTGCAGAGAATGAATCCAGGGTTCCGAGGGCAATCAGCGTACTTCTGTCACTACCGTTGAACTGTGACAGGACACCGATACCAATAGCCATGCCAATTGGCGTAATAACAGCAAAGACTGAGCCCATGATGAACTTCATCCAAAAAGTTGTGTTCTCTAACTGCGCAATTCTAGAGCCGAGCGCAATACCTTCGAACAATTGATGGAATAAAATAACAATGAATAGTGTGATGAAGTAGGAGTCACCAGCAACCACCAGTGTGATACCTATGAGAATGGAATGGAAAATGATACCAGCCTCCATGGTCAAAACAGAGATCTTATCATCTGGGTGTAGCAGTCCGTGAGAATGGTGATCCATATGCTGTACGTCTTCAGCTTTGGACCGTGATGTGTTCTTCTGCTCAGATTCGACGGATCCTTCGTCGTTAGCTGATACAGTCGAAAGCTCAGGGCCTGCTTCTATAGTGTCTTTTTGTTGCAATGTGCTGTTTCTCCATTGCATCAGTCTATTGGCAACGTATTCGATGATGAATGCGAGGAACAGGCCTGCCATTGTAATGGCAGCACCGGTGGCCTCATAACCCACATCACCAATACAGTCGTTGGCCCACATCAGGTTGGCGTGAGTGATCAGATGGACGAACGCCGTTGAGATGATGATACCGGTACCAAACTGTTTAAGTATAACAAAGACGATGTTCTCCATAGAAAGCTTGAACAGTTTATTGATGAAGAGAGGCCCCAGTGACCCCAAACCAGATGTTACCAAGATGACGAACAACAGGCCAATTCTCAGTGGGATGTCATAGTCTCTTTCAGTTCTCTCGCAAGACGTTTCTGAACTACCTCCAGTACAGTGCTCGACACCGGCATGGAAGTGACAGTTCTCACCACTACTGGAATCAGTCGTCTCAGAGCTTGCGTTCGTCGATTCAACAACAAATTGAAGCTCCTCTCCGTTATCATCGAGACAATACGTTTCAGATGCGTCAATATGACACCCGGTATACGTTGTTTGTCCTTCAGAAGTGACAGTTGGAGCACCAACCATCTCACCTTCAATGTCACCTGCCATACAATACTGAGTGGTGTCATGGTAATGACAACCTGTGACAACAGATGGCATGGATGTGACACTCGCAGTGGCTGTTGAAGAGGCTTCTTCAACCTCAGCTGCGAACTGAACCTCTTCTCCAGAGGAATCAAGGCAGTATGTTTCACTGGAGTGGGTGTGACAGCCGGTATACGAAGCCTGGCCTGACTCGGACGCTGTTGGCGCACCGACAATGCTACCTTCGACATCGCCAGCCATACAGTATTGGACAGTGCCGTGGTAATGACAGTCTGTGACGATAGAGGCCACGGTGCTTGCTGTCTGTGTTGCTGTTTCACCAGTAGAATCACTTTCGCTGTGCTCATGGCTGTGTTGTTCCTCAGATACAGAACCCTCTGTAGAAGTTTCACCAGATTCAACGACAAATTGGACTTCTTCACCGTTATCATCCAGACAGAAGGTCTCTGTCGAATGAGTGTGGCAGCCTGTGTACGATGACTGGCCATCTTCCGTCGCAATAGGCGCACCAACAACAGAGCCTTCCACTCCGTCGGCCAGACAATACTGCTCAGAGCCATGGTAGTGACATCCAGTGATTTCCGCAGGAACAGAGGAAGTAGTTGTCGATGCTACGCTCTGTGCCAGCACTCCATGAACGGCGTATATAGCTGCGATACCAAGGCCTTGATATTTCATGATTTCCAGACTTGTTTGAAGGCTATAGGGATGCTATTAGAGGGAAAAAGCGTATGGCTTAAAACGATCTACATCATTCGACTAGCTGTCATCCTTATAAAGCATCCTTCTCAGCACACTTGGCCTCTTCAGCATTCCATGTGCTGACCGTTAAATTGATTGCCAAGATCGTTTTACCAAGAGCTTGTGTGCAGAATAGTACCCTGTTAGTTATCGTTCAATGAGCGCAGATTCCATCTCCAAAATTACAGAACATCATCGTTAGAGGAAACTGCCGGTATCATCTCTTAATCTTTGTAGAACGAAACCAGTGATCGTAGTTCCTCTTTGGTGTCTTCGTGGTGCACACATCGAGCATGGCTCAACGAGCTCACCGAAATCGCCAAAGCTCCCCGTGATGTAAGGGTCCGAACCTGCCTAAAACACACCCTCGGAATACCACTGCGCTCCTATATGATCAGCAGACAATGACGCTCCATTGAGGAACAACCCTGGTTACGGCATAAGGCACGCATCACAGGCCCATAAGGAGACATCTGCTCGTCCATTACGAGTCTCCTAATGGATATCTTCTCGCTGTGGTAACCATAAGGGTGTATCGCCAAGGTGATTGAAACCAATTTGTATGGCCCACACTTGCAGAAAGCGGCATAATAACTTGCATGAACGTCTCACTTTCTATGGAGTTCAACTCATTGGCTGGGAGATTTGATGTGTATTTGGTCAAAGGTGATGATTTATTGTGGGTTTGTACGGAGTCAATTGAGGCCTCGGCCAGCTGGAACGAGGAGCAAGTTTAGGGTGTGGTGGAAGGGTATAAAAGGCGAGGATGGTGCCCTCATTTGATGTTGATCAGAGCAAGGAATCTAAACCACAGAATCAACAAGAATATGAAGTTCCAACTGCAATTATTAGCTACTCTGAGTCCACTGGTGTTTGCCCAGTCCGAGTCTGACAGCTCCAGTGGTGTTTCAGGGTCATTGTCCTCAGGTTACTCTTCCGAGTACTCCACGTCTGATGAGGAAAGTGCTACTGTGTGGGTCAGCGACCAGTCTCCATTGGAGACTGGTGAGGTCTATGAGTGGAGTGCCAACTGGAACCCGGACATTCAGATCCACCAGTCCTGTAACAGAACCCAGTATGTTCAGCTGATGAGTGCCTGGGAAGAGACCAAGGAGCTCTCTGAACATGCGAGAGACCACACGTCTCGCTTCGGCAACCAAAGCTACATCTATAGAAAGTACTTTGGTGACGCTGCGACTGCAGAGGTGATTGGATGGTTCGACAACATCGTCCATCAGGACAAGACCACCGTCTTGTTCCGCTGTGATAACCCTGATGGCAACTGTGCCAACGAAGGCTGGGCTGGTCACTGGAGAGGATCAAATGGTTCTGACGAGACCGTCATCTGTGACCTGTCCTACCAGACAAGACGTTCTTTGAAGCAGCTCTGCAGCTTGGGTTACGACGTCTCTACGGGCCAAAATGCTGTGTTCTGGAGTGCTGACTTCCTCCACAGATTGTGGCACACTGATACTGTGGGCCAGTCCTCTGTGGATCACTACGCTGATACATATGACGAGTGTTTGGAGTTGGCTAATGAATCACCAGAAGAGGCTGTTAGAAACTCAGCCTCTCTGAGACTGTATGCCTTGGAGGTTTACGCCTATGACATAACTCTTCCAGGCCAGGGCTGTTCTGGTGACTCTGATGATGAGGATGAACCACTGATCGGCTCTGAAGACAGTGAAGACAACACGCAGTCTACCAGCACTTCTGAAGAGCAGTCAGTTACTGAAGCTGTAAGTGAAGGTGCTTCTTCCAGTGCCACCAGTGACATTGCTGAGTCGACCACCTCTGAAGAAGAGGACGAACACGACCATTCGCACACCGAGACTGACAGTGAGACCAATGCTGAGGCCACTGCGAGTGCTACAAGCTCAGAGACGGCCAGTCTGCGTTGTCATACACACGAAGGTGGTGAGACTCACTGTGTTTAGATATCCCTATAATAAAGGCTTGAGCTTTTGGCACATCCTTTCAATGCCTTCTGAAACTCCACATCTAGACGTTCTGTAGTGCTTCTTCAACGCAATATATGACAACTTCCATACACTCCACTACAGACCGTAGTAGCAAACCGTAGTAACACACAGCTGCCTCTCTCCTTATGCTAAAGCAATCTACAACGCTTTCCTCTGTTTTACATGATAAGACGTTTTTTTCATTGTACATTAAGATGTGATGTGTGGGAAAACTTAAGCAACCAACTCAACAACACCACCAGCAGCTCTGATCTTCTCCTCAGCCAACTTGGAAACAAATCTGGCCTTGACGATGACTGGAACTTGTGGCAAACGACCCTTACCCAAAACCTTACCGTAACCGGCAGCCAAGGTGTCAATGACTGGAGCAGCAGAGGCAGAAGCAGAGGACAAGTATTGCTCTCTCTTCTCCTCGTCAACCAAAGTCCACAACTTGTCCAAGTTCAAGACTGGCTTCCAGAAGTGAAGCTGTTGCTTGTGGAAGTATCTTTGACCAACCTTACCGAAGTAACCTGGATGGTACTTATCCAAGTTGGTTCTGTGGTGGTGTTGACCACCAGCCTTACCTCTACCACCCGGGTGCTTTCTGTGCTTACCGACTCTACCCTTACCGGCTATAGTGTCTTGTTAGTATTGTGATGTCGAGCAGCCTCGAGCCATAAGCCTGTCTCTTGGAAGGAGTCGTCTCTGGACAGTACAGCGTGTTGTGTCTCTTTTGCCTATTTGGCCATCGTTTGGACTGATATATAAGCTGCTGAACGCCATCCTGGTGCATCACACATGACTGGCAATCACACTGCCACCTCCTACGCTTCCACACTGCCTCCATATTGCCTCCACGTCTTCTCTTCAACGCCTACTGATGCTATCCCATTCACCATTACGAGTCCAGCCCTCACTCCTCCTATCCCCAGCTCTGTACTTATGGCCCTCCTGGAAACGACAGCTTGTTACATACCAACAACGTGACCTCTGTGTTTTCTAGTCTTAGTTAATCTGGTAGGCATCTTGTGATATTCCTGGTCTAACCTTCCAAGTCCTCTGAAGTAGATGATGTGAGTTTCCAACAAAGTTTTTGATTTTTTCACCGTTCTACAACTGCACAGTGTGTGTTCCCGAAGCGGGAATATTCGCGGGCGTGGAGGGTGGAAAGTTGTGTTGGTGGTGTTTGGATGTTAAGTGGCTTGAACGAGAACGCGACGCGTGCGCAGTTTTTGCCGGTCCCTGGTGTATGGGTGTATTGCCCTGTGCCAATGTCACGTGATATATGGGTTTCCCCGTAGCCCTAAGTACATATTTCTATAATGGAGCTTTATACAATTGCTACAACGTCACATTTTGAGAGGTGGAGCACGCCTCTCTTGGGCTGGAAGTGTGCAGAGCCATTAGACGAACTGGTATAGACATATTTAGTGAGGCACAGGCTTCAATCGACCCGTATGTTCCAGACAGAGTCGTAGTTCTTATGGCCTTTAGTCTCTGGTAACTTGTTCATGACAAAGGAGACAAACAGCAAACAGATGATAGCGAATGCAAAGTAGACGTAGCCACCGATCCACCCGTCCACGATTGGGAAGAGGAATCCAATGAGGAAAGTGGCGATCCAATTGACCACTGTTCCATAGCTCTGCGCAGTAGAAATGGCCTCTTCCTGTGTAACTTCCGAAATCAACAGGAAAGGAATTGGGCCCAATCCAATGGCAAACGCTGCAACGTATACAAACGTTGCCAATACCGATAAGACTGAGATGGAGAACACAATGCCGATTGCCATTAGTGCCGAAGCAGCTGCCATTGTCGACACGGACGTTATGAGGCATGGTTTACGGCCATACTCATCGACAAACGGTGCAGCAATAAACGTAATGACCGCATTGCCCAAGGAGATCAGACAGTTGATGATGACAGCGTACTGAGGCAAGAGTTTTCTGATGGTGTTCACGCCGTAAAAGATGATCGAATTGATCCCACAGAACTGCTGGCCTGCCAATACTGTGATGACGACTAATCGAGAGTTCTCATAATTCGGATCTGAAACGTACTGCTTGAGTGAAACGTTTGGAGCCTTTCCATTGGAGCCAGTGGCACTTTCAGAGGCAATGAGCTGCTGTTGATCTTCAACGTTCGAGTATCGTCTGAACTCATCAGCCACGGAATTAGGGTCTCCACGAAGTCTCAGGATGGCAGCCTTGGCCTCGGCGTCCCTACCCTTCAGTGCCAGCCATTTGGGAGACTCGTCGATCAAAACCACCGCAATTGAGTTTACGAGGCCTAGAAGTGCGCCTGTGAAGAGCAGGTATCTCCACTGGATGGAATTGGCCCATCTGACGGCCAGTACCTGTGTCAGGAGAATACCGAGGTTGATACACACCTGGTTCATGGAGCCCAGCAGCCCTCTCAGTCCAGCTGGGCTCACCTCGCTGATCATCAGCGGAGTCACCACAATGGAGCAGCCAGCAGCCAACCCAGATATCAACCTCCCAAGCACCAGCACCGCGATGTGATTGCTCACGCCCTCAATCACTGAGCCAATGACAAACACAACCCCGTTGATGGCCATGCTGAACTTACGGCCAACTACGCCGCTCAACCAGCCCGCATACAAGCTGCCCACAAGACCTCCGATGCTGAACACACTCGTCACCAGTCCCACCCCCTGTTCGTCCATCGTCAGGCACGGTTTCAGTCCAAGTCTCGACAGCCACGTCGAATCGTAGGGAACACCGGGCAATGGCACATTGGCCTGACACGAGAGCACCGCAGAGGGCCCGTTCAGCTCTGACATGTGGTAGCCATACTGCAGCGAGGCAATACAGCTGACGGCGACCGTCACGATCAATTGGCGAGTCCACTGGCGTTCCATAGCTGCCTGTTTACCCCAGCCCGTGGTGGTAGGCTGAGTGCTGAAAGCGGCCTGGGGAAGCCCCTTTGTTGTAGGCGCGCAGCCTGGGGAAGCCCTTTGTTGTAGGCTGAAGGAGCCAGGGAAGCCCTTTGTTGTAGGCTGAAGGAGCCAGGAAATCCCCCCTCGTAGGCTGAAGGCTCCCTGTTCACGCCCTCCCTCGTAGGCTCAAAGCTGCCTGGGAAGCCCCCTAAATCCCCGTGGAGAGATCGAAAAATCAGCAGAGCGCCCTCCCCAGCAGCTCCCCGCTAGGCAGGAGGCCAGAAGGAAGCATCACAACAACCACAGCGCAATGGGCGACGAGCAGAGCCACCGCCACGATCAAACCCACCTGGACGACCAGAGCCAGTTCACCACGGACAGGTTCCGCCTGCCGCCCGGGCTCAGGGTTCCGCTGACGGCGTCGATGTCGTTTCTGTTTGGCCTGATCTACGGCATGCACTCAAGCTACGCCAGAACTGGCCAGCAGTACCTCGTTGAGAACTCCCACCGGCTGCCTAAGACCAAGGGAGGGTGGTACTGGTACTACAAGCGTAAGAACTGGGTGTGCTTGCAAGGAGCGGTGAAGGGAGGCGTGAAGCTTGGGCTGAAGACTGGTGGTTTCACGCTTGCGGTGTTTGGGCTGGAGGCGATGATAGACAAGGCCAGGGGACGGATCGACTGCTTGAGCACGATAGCTACGAGCGTGCTAGTTGGCACAGCGTACTCGAGATGGAGGCATCTGAACAGGAGTGCGACGGTGAGTGTGCTGAGGAAGGGGCTGGTGCTTGGTGTTGTTGGTGGTGTGTTACAGGATGCGCTGATGATGGCGAGAGGAGTGGATGCGTGGGGTGTGTCTGCGCTGGTGTCGTCGTCGTCATCGTCTACGCTGAAACTGGAGAGCTGAACCTGGAGAGCTGATCTACACTGCTGTACATAGTTATAAATATTTACTAACATCCATCACTCATCCTCCTCTTCATCCAGATCGTGCACTGGGTAGTTCAGCAGCACAGCAACACCCGTGATCTGACCCAATTGCACACCTGAGTCGTGTAGACTGGAAAAGACAAACACATCACCACCGTTGTTCTTCACAATCTCGGCCAGCTCGGCGTAGTGCTTCCTCTCAGCTATGTCGTCGCTTCTGAACAGCTTATCCGTGAGTAAGAGCTTCGACACGGCACCCATGTTGACCGCCTTCTCGCACTCATCAGGCCCATACCATGCTTTGCCATCGTCTGCGTTTAGGCTCTTGAAGAAGTCGTCCAGAGCCTTGACGTCTTTGGCGTACTTGGTGTCGGCCAATTGCTTCTGAACCGAATCAGTCTTCAAAACCTCGTCCAAGCCTTGGATGAACCCTGTGGAGCTATGTGTCACCATGAACTTGCTCTTCAACGTGGGCAAATCCTTGGTGTTGTTCTTCACAGCAACCTCCAGATACTTGTCGTATAATCCCTGTGCCCAGAATCCAGGCGACGCCAATATCACAGCCTTCAACTTGTTCAAGTCTAAGTGTCTAACCATCGCATCGACAACGTGGCCATAGAACTTGTCCAGAGCCTTATCATGGGCAGAAGAGTCACCACGACGCTTCTTAGGGATGCTCTTCTCAATCTTATCCCTCAACACGGTCATATTCTCAGTGATGAAGCAGATGTGCGCAACGCCCTCTTGCAACACAACTGCCGCAACTTCAGCTTTGCCGGTGATATCACAGGACTTGGCGATCAAGTCCAAATCACCTTGGTCCCATTCGTCTTTGGCAATGGTCAACGGGTACTTGTAGTCAACGTCTGCAGTGTGGAACGACCCCATTGGGACGTCGTCTAGAGGGTCCATCGTCTTGCCTTTGATTCTGAAGGATTCATCCTGCGGTATGAACTCCACGTCCTGGACTTGCAGCCTGAGCGTTAGCAACTTCTTCTCGGACTTGGCCCCCTTCACGTTCGAGGCCTTGACGTTTCTGATGGTCTTCAACGTCACCTCATCTTGTGGATGTATCAAGTTGTAGAGAACGAACAGGTCCTCTTTGTCCTGTGCAATCACTGAGAGAGAGCCGGAGTTCGACTTCTCCAATCGGCTACCAACGAGTTTCATTTCCTCTTAGGCCAGTTACTCCTACAATGGCCAATTGTCCTCTCGAATAGCCACCTTTTCAACTTTTGTTGAAAACTTTCAACAATGGGAGTATATATCCCATATTGCTTTTCGGAACAGTTGTGAATATCGGTAACTCTTCCTTGTATGGCATTCTCCGTTTCAAAACTGACACGAAAAAGTGGTTTCGTGGTCTAGTTGGTCATGGCATCTGCTTAACACGCAGAACGTCCCCAGTTCGATCCTGGGCGAAATCATTATTTTTTTTCAAAATGTCACACGCCGTAGATCACGTGACTAACGTGAACAACTGGATGAAGCACTGAAGACACACCGTTGGACACGTCTACCACGACTCACTACAGGGATTGCTGTTCGTTCTCTAGTTCATTAGACATTCTTCTGTGTTATACATCAACTAACGAACATTTGCATTGGTGATGGATGCAACCTTGAAAATGTCACCGTTCTTGTTTGTAAGCTTTGCGTCTGGTTTACCCTCTTGCTTGAAGATAACTTCCAATTGATCATTTGTTGAGAATCCTGGCTGGACTTGTTCCCAGATCTTCTTCTTTGGGTTGAGCTGCTTCTCTGGTGTTGAGTCAAAGCCTTCAAAGAACACCTTGTCACCTGCCTTGGAGCCTGCTGGTGGCTCGACAAACTCAACGTGCTCATCATCGGAACCACACAACACCATTGCGGTGGACTTGACACCTCTCATGTTAACAGGCTTCAAATTGGCAACAACAACGACGTAACGCTCTTGCAAGGCCTCCAATGGGAAGTGCTTGACCAAACCGGAACACACTGTACGTGGACCTTCTTCATCGCCACATTCAATGGTGGAGACGTAAAGGGAGTCCGCGTCTGGGTGCTTGATGGCCTTTTGGATGAAACCGACACGGAAGTCAATCATTCCTGGGTTTGGTGGTACTACCTCTGCGGCCTTCTTCTGCTGATCAGCCTGGGCCTTGGCCTTCTTCTCCTTCTTAGCCTTTGCAGCCTCTTCGCGTAATTTCTTGAGAGTCTCCTCGTCTGGCTTACCTCTTGGCTTGTCATCCTTCTTACTCTTCTCCTTCTTAGCTTCCTTGGAGGCCTCCTTTGGTGCTGCTGCTTCCTTGGACTCCTTCTTTGGCTTCTCCTTGATCTCTCTTGGAAGTTCAACGGAGAAGTCCACAACAACCTTCTCGCTGTCTGGAACATCGACAAGAGTGTTCTGAATCAAGTCTGCCCATCTAATCACATGACGGTTTGCAGCGTAATCCTTAGACTCAAACTTCTTGAGCAATGGCAACGCTCTGCCAAAGGCAACAACATCGGCCTCCGATGGTGCGTTACCCAAGAGGTAGGTCTTGCTCTTCAAGTTTTCGTTGAACTCTTTGAAAGTCTCTGGGAATCTCTTTGACAGTGTGAGCCATTGGGATTGTAGTGCGTTCTGCTCATCCGAGAGCTCGCCAAATTGAGTGGTTGGTGATTCCAGCGATGAGAGTGAGAGCTTTTGGAACTTGGCTGTGAGGTCTGACATCCTTAGTGAGGCTTTTGTCTGCTGTAATTGGACTTCAAGGAGGGAAAAGTGCACTTTTGTTGAAAAGTTGTCGATGAAGCTGAAAGAAAAAAAAACAGTCGTTTTGAAAGTGCCGTCACACAAATGGCAGATTCTTATTTCACCGTGGCACAAATGGCAGATTATTCTTCAACCTTTGACTGCTTCACTTTACAAAAGGGGAAATCATCAACATCAGACTTCACTCCAACGGAAGAGAAAGAGGAAGAAGAGACAATGACAGCCGGCAAGAGACAGGTGAAGAAGAAAACAGCACGTGCTTGTAATCATTGCCATAAAGCTCACATGACGTGTGATGATTCAAGGCCTTGTCAGAGATGTATATCGAGAGGCATAGCAGAGTCGTGTGTGGATGCGCCGAGGAAGAGGAAGAAGTACTTGATGGACTTGGAAGGAGGCGAAGGTATTGGTGTGAACATGGGTCAGTCGAGCTCTGCTGACTCGTCAGCTGCCTCTCCGCAGCCCACTGTTGCACAATTGCACTCACATCCAATACGGACGGCATCAACAACGGTAACGTCTGGTAGCGTGCCGATGGGACGTCCAATACCCATGTACCATGTGTCTTCGACGGTTGCGACACATGCACTGAACTCTGGAAATGGTGGTGCTGGTGCTGGTGCTGGTGTTGGTGCTGGTGCTGGTATAGATCACAAGACTCGTAATGGCAGCGATCCAACAGTCTCTACAGTGCCCAATGGCCCACCGCTAAACGCACCACTGTACAGCTATAACGTTCACAACGACCCCAAGTTCCTGTCAAACGCAGCCAATTCCGAGTACTCGATACTATCAGATATCTTGGGATATGGCCACTTCGATATGCAACAGAGGCCTCGGTCAACCACACCAACACCTCCAGACTTGTACACAGCAACGATACGGCAGGGAGATCGCTTGATCAACCAGTACACGCTGGGGAGAATCCAGCCTGATAAACTCTTGACATACCCTGAGGTATTGCAGCACATTGAAGGTGAACATAGACTGGACTCAACACCTGCTTCCACTGATTCTGAAAGCGGACCAAGAGGTGCGCTGTCTTTTGCAATCACCGTTGATGAGCAAAGTGAATACTCATCGCTCTCGTCGTCCGGGTTGCGATTCAAAGACTCTGAAGACATCTACTCGAAAGTAGACCAGCCGTTCAGCTATACGCCTGGCTTCCACTCGCTGATCAGATACTTGAAGCATCGATTCAACAGACAGGACCTGATCAAGATGGCAAAGGCCATGGCGAGTTATAGACCAATTTTCATCGCCTGTACAAACACTCTGAAGGAGGACGACCTGATATTCATGGAGCAGTGTTTCCAACGGACTCTGCTGGAATATGACAAGTTCATATCCATCTCTGGTACACCAACGATTGTTTGGAGGCGTACTGGTCAAATTGCGTACGTCTCAGAGGAGTTTTGCATCCTGACAGGCTGGACGAAGGAGTCGCTGCTGAACAAAGTCACATTCATTGTGGAGTTGATGGACGACAACAGCGTTGTCGAGTACTTCAACCTGTTTTCAACGATAGCATATGGGGACTTCAGAGGTGCCACGATGGCTGGATGTACCTTAACCACACAGAATAGGACTCTTATAAAGACAACGTGTATGTGGACTTTGAAGAGGGATGTCTTTGGTATTCCGATGATGATCATTGGTAACTTCTTACCGATATTGAACCAATGATCCCATCTTCCAATCTACAAATATAATCAACACTGGGGGAAACGGGGTATGTGTACTGTAAATGTAGAAACTGTCCAAGGCAAGACGTAAACAATCACGTCGATCATTGCGCCAGGATGGACTTGACAAACTCAACGTAGTCAACGTTGCCGTCTTTGGTCACGTTGACACCTTTCAGCAGCTCGTCAACTTCGCTGTCAGACAGCTTCTCGCCAACAGAGGTGAGGATGTATCTCAGCTCTCCGACGCCGATGTAGCCTGTGCCCTCCTTGTCAAATACCTGGAAACCCTTGATGTAGTCCTCCGGCTCGCCCAGCGGCTTGAACCCATCAGGGCGGTTGATTATGGTGACATACGTGTCGAAATCAAGATCGCCAGAGACCTGGGCTTCCAGGTCTTCAATCTCAGCAAGCGTTGGATTCTGCCCAACCGCACGCAGAAGATCACCAAGGCTCTCTACAGGCACTTTGCCAGTGCCCTTCTTGTCAAAGAGGGAAAATGCGTCCTTGTAAGTCTTTGTGTTGGATGACTGTGTCACGTGTTAGCACCACCGGGCTTCAGTCTCAAGGCAAGCGCCCTACTCACCATTGCTTGATCTGCCTGTTTTTGATGTTGATTGGTGGGTTCGTGTACAGAATTGGCCAAAAGAAGGGAAAAAACAGCTTTTGTTTACATTTTCCGCCCTCACACGCGCGCGCGCTCGAACCGTTGTTGTTGATGTGGGAAACCTGGGATGAAATTCGCGGATGGCTTACTAAGCGTGAGGTGTCCGGGTGTCGGCTTTTTTCGTCTATTCTGTGGTGTCCGGGTTAATAGTGACACAACTGCGCATCCTCCATCACCACTTCTGGCTGCAGTGTATGCTTCTATGTATGCTTCTATGTATGCTCACTGGCTAGCAACTGGTCGACGAGTGCAAGGACTTCATCGCTGACTCTGCTCTCCGTGTTATCCTCTCCGTACGAAGGGTTCTCGAGCTTGTCCTTGACGGCTTTGTCCAGCAACGTTCTGAGCTCCTTGACCAGAACGGCATTCTTACACCACGACTTGATAGGCAGCCAGGAGTCCAACACCACTCCTGGGGATTGCTTGCCAGCTGATATAGCGGAGACATCGTAAGTAAAGTTACCCCCGAACAGCAGCGTTGAGAGCGTAGTAGTTGGTGTCAGATCCTTGAGGAATAACTTCGAAGTTATTACGGAGGAGTTGTACACCACGAATGGAGAGGAGATGACTTTTGAGCTTGATCTGGACCCGTCGTGCAACTTTGGCGTGAGATCAATGTCCCTGGATTGTAGTTTCAGGAACTCCTCGGACCCCTTTTCTTCAAGTTGTAGCTCCTCGATTTGAGACTTGGACAACTCTTTATTGCTGGTGTCGAAGAGAACAGAAGACGGGTGGATAAACGACCGCGTAGCTGGTAAGTTGTCAATGGATAATGTGTTTGAGCTCTTTGACTGGTTCACCTTTGAGATGTACTCCTCGTTTCTTATCCAAAACTTGACCAGTCTAGCGTCAGGATCGACCTGTACAGAACCACTGCTCGTATTAAAGAACTTTGGATCTGGAAGTTGCACACGTGCAACTTGCGGATAAAACGCACCAGTGATGATGGATCTTATAACTGCCACGTTACCACCGTTTCTGTTTAAGTGCTTATGACCTTCTCTGTACTTCAAAGGTATGAACCCAATATCCTCCAATATCGAAATGTATTGTGCTTTAGAAGATTTGATCTCTGTCAGCTTTGTATAGGAGAGGAAATTGTCTTGGATGTACCTCTTCTTCTCTGCAGTGGTCTCCAAAGAAAAATACTTTTGTACAACGATGACTGTAGAGATCAAGTCACCAACTCCCTTGTTCTGTAACAGTACGCCCTTAATCTTATCTCTATTTTCTTGAGAATGGACAAACGGAGAGCCAGCACCTAGTATAGATGCAATCAGCACCCCGAAATCGGTACAGCCAAAGATGATGGAGTAAATCAGCAAGATACCATGTTTGGGGTCAATGATTGGTAAAAGTGATACGTATTTACCGAGCTCTGTGAGATCGTCATATTCGTCAATCAGTCTTGCACACTTCAATAACTCTTCTGATTTTACCAAGGAATCTGGTGGTGGTGGATCAATACCACTGTTTAGGAACCCAATAACGTCTTTCACCCCAATGGTCTTTACAACCAAGTACAACGAGTCCAAGTTAATTCTTTTCATCTCAGGGATTGGACTCTCCCTCATCTCATCGTAAGTTTCACGCGTAAATAGCTTGTATGAAACACCTGCAGAAACACGACCAGCACGACCTCTTCTCTGTTTAGCCTCTGCTTTGGATATAAATGTCTCAACAAACTTACTGGTGTTATCAATTGCACTGTAGTTCATGCTCTTCACTCTTCCAGAATCAATCGTTACAACACAATCATTAATAGTAATAGAGGTTTCAGCAATGTTCGTTGAAACAATGATTTTTCTCTTGTTTCCATAGGAATTGAAAACACGATGTTGGTCCTGAGGAGTCAATGCCGAATGAAGAGGTAGTATGATACAGTCCTTGGAGAACTTGTTCTGAATCGTTCTGATACAGCTGTTGATCTCTGCAACACCCGGAAGGAAAACAAGAATGGAACCTCTGTTTGATGCATCGACAAGGTCTTGGTCGATCTTGATCACCAATTCAGCAATCAAGTCGTAATTCACCTTTCCAGACTTGAAGAAATTCGAATCGGCTTTTGGACTTATCCATTCGTCGTTGATCTGGATCTTGAAATTGGTCTTTTCCAGGACATCATCTAAGTAGTAATCCTGGATTGGGAATGTGCGCCCTTTAATATGAGCTGTATCGATCTCTGCGAAATAGCTTTTGAAAAGCTTCGTGTCAACAGTGGCACTCATGAGAACAATCTTCAAGTTTTTGAACTTTGACAACAGTCTCTTAATCATTATAATAATGAGATCTGTTTCCATTGATCTCTCGTGAACTTCGTCAATAACCAGTATGGAATCGTTTAAAAACTCGTCTCCATTCTGTAAGAACTTCACCAAGATACCAGTTGTCAAGAACTTGATTCTTGTGTTTTTGTTCGACTTGTTAGCACCTCTAATGATATAACCAACTTCTTCACCACATTTCGTGACACGTTCTTCGGCGACTCTTTCAGCTAATCCAATTGCTGAAATTCTTCTCGGCTGTGTACACAAGATTTGAGTCTTGAAGTTCTTCTTCGAGTAAAGATCATCAAGGATAAACTGCACCAATTGTGTCGACTTACCAGAACCGGTCTCACCAGTAATTAAGCTGATTCTATGGGAGTTTATCACACGCATGAGGTTCTCCTTCTCGCCCCAAGCGGGCAACGCTGATCTAGCTTTGTACATTCTAGCCATCTCCTGGGATTTTGATCGCTTTGTATAATCATCCTCTATGAATTTCACATCAGGATTTGATCTGAATACACGACGTCCCTTGGTGTTTGAAGACACTATATCCAAATTGTCCATCTCCTCTACCGTTGTCTTTGGATGCTCTAACAGTTTTCCCGGGTTCTCAATGATGTCTTCAGAGTTCTGTTGGAGCCAGTCAACCATTGAAAAGATGTAAGAATCACCAATCAAATTCTTCAGTGTGTATTCTGAGAGCTTGGTGATAATTTTCAACTTCACGTAGTTTGGAAGCGTAAGATTCTTATCAATTGTAGATATGACCAACCCTGCCAATTGGTATGGATACTGTTCTGGTTTATATACAGCAACCTGTAGCATATCATTGAACTTGATAAGCACTGATGAATCATTCAATCTCGTGATCTGACCTTCGTCGTAGATCATTGACAGACTTTCAATCTCCTCGTTCCAAATCTCTTGAGAATCTATGTCCTTGTGACCATTTTCCTGAACATGATCAGCATATTTACAAGTCAACGATACCAATGTCTTCTCTAGACTAAGATCGTTATCATTCAATGCTACTATAGCCTCAGAACGAGAAACACCAAACTCGGATACTCGTTTAACCAAGATTTCGTTCTTGTCAGCCACGGTGACAGTGTCAAGAGAGCTTGGATCTGTAAAATACTGAGGTAAATCGTCATCTGGGACGTTAAACAAAAGGTAAGACAATGGGTCTTGGAACTTCAATGCTTCCTCGATATGCGATTTTCTAAAGCCGATCGATTCCAATAGGGTGTTGGTTGAACTTGGATGTTCCTTCGATGCCAGTTTCCAAGTGATATGGTGACGAAGAGATTGTTGGATCAAATCACGTTGCTTTGTGGAAAACTTGAATGAAAGAGCAGAGTCCCAAACCTTTCTTGGGAATTTCACGTGGAATTCTCTCTGAATTGGGTTTGAAGCTGGTCTTTTTTGAGCCTTTGGACTTGGTGAAGTTGCACCTGAGGGCTTCTTAACAGACGTGAGAATCACAGGCGCTCTCTTGGTCTTTGCCTCGTTGTTCAGCCTAACCTCTTCTTCCTTTTCCTTCACCTTCTTCAACTTGGCATCTTCAATGACAACTTTGAAAGGATCATTGTTATAGAGTCTGTTGTGCTTTGTTGGATTCTCTTTCAGCATGGCTTTCCTCTCGTCCTCCAACAAAGCCCACGTATCTTTGAACTCTCGGGGCAAAACCATGTGCAATGACTTGTTAAAGCACACCCTATGCAACGCCACCGTCGCAGCGTAGTACCTTGCCTCTATTGCAGTTTCCTTAGCAGGTAGTCTATGAGGACATCTGACGAGGATTTTCTCCTTCGTCTTTGGGTCTATCCAGCCCAAGATCGCCGTCGCAACCATCCCCTCCTTCACTTTCTTCATGTCGTAATCTACTCGTTCCCACTTGGACCTCTGAGCATGCTCATGGAGTAAAGAGATTGGAGTTTTACCACTTGATGGGCGCTTCATTGGATTCACAGGAGTTGAAGACTCCGGATGCTTAGAACCATTTGAATCCTTCTTGAGGTCATCTGCTTTGCCCTTTCCCTTTTTCTTGGAGCTCGGCGGAGGAGCAGCTGCCTCCTTCTTACCGCTGTTGCTGTTCTTCTTTGCCATTTCGAGGGAAGACTTTGAAGACTTTATGGGTTATTGCAATGAGATTGAAGTAAACAAAAGATTCTCGATGAGATGCCCGGGCGATGAGATGCGGACGTAGCCGGGTACTGCCCTAACCAATAGGGCAAAACCACGCGATCCGGTAAACGGGAAATACTGGAAAATCAATAAAATCCGGCATGGTGTAGTGGCTAACATCGGTCGCTCTCACCGACCAGCCCGGGGTTCGATTCCCCGTACCGGAATTTTTTTTGGCACATTAATGGCTGTCATGGTGATACAATGTGTTGCACAACGATTAGTCATAAGAGCGTAATCAACGAGCTCATACTTGAGTTATACAGGTTAGATAAGTGCGTAGAAACTGGTTTAAGTGGTGCTTTAGAGGAGGACCTGTTTGGGTTCAATAGCGTTGGCTGGTTGTGTTCTGAGACAGATTCAGCCACTCTCAAGCGTGAAAACACATTATGATGGCTCATATGTCTCATTCGGTGTTGGTCCGTGGAAGCTTCAGGGTAAGGAGTCCATCCTTGTTGGTGAAGGTTGTAACTTCACCTCCCCTATGGACATTAAATGTCTTGATTTGAAGGTAAAGTAAGGGTTTCCGCACTCACGAATGGAAGGACACAATGTTGCGCTCACAGACTACATAATGCGTTCTCTTTGAAGAGCCCTAATGTGTCGACAAGACACTTTGCAACGTTGTTGGACCTTCGAAATTGAAGGTGCAGAATGAGTGCTACTGGTTGAAATCACCATTCGGTTAGTGTTGAATTCCCCATACTGTTGCAGATGTATCTCCATTCTCTACTGTATCCTCTCGAAGCAATAGCTTATAAGCCCCATGATTCAGAAGCCGCATATCACTATCATCTGGATATTGACACATACAGAGTGTACGCATCAAGTGTCCATTCAACGCGCAAACAGTGACATGAGCGAACCTTCTGTCTACGTAACAGATTGTCTACTGGCGGACGCTAACATCACATAAAACGAGTACGCTTCCTTGGCAAGTGGCGTACAACATGCGAATTAGACCAATTGGCTTATCATTTGGACAGATTGCTTAATCTGTTAAGCAAAATTTGGAAAGAGAATACAAACGGGAAACTGGATTTCTCTAAGTACATCAACAGAGACGTACATTCCCCAAAGAGAACTGTTCGACACGCTAACTTCTTCTCTATTAAACCAGGGACATGTACGGGTATCAATCTGCAAGGATAACAATCTTGATCAATCAAGATAACGCACTTCTACACTGTTAGACAAGATCCGAAAACTCGATAGGCTTGTCCATCTGAGTAGTATGAACATACACATTGTTTGTAGAATATCAAATTGGATCCGAAAAGGCACCCGTTTGACCGATTAAGCTGTTTAAAATGTGCGTATAACGTGTCCCGAAAGTAATATCGTGATGACGTCCCTGCTTGCCTCCACTTTTTGCTGTAAATTACAGCGCATCATCGTACCGATTGGGGGTATCAAAATGGGGCTTTACTTTTCTTGATTACAGTGACGCTATCAAATGATAACTTTGTAGATTTTAAGATCGTGTCAATTAATATAATTAGGTCTCAGTTGGACGCCGTGTAACGCTCAAGTTTCCCACATCACGTCCTACTTATTAGATTCAAGACATCCCCCTCCTCGGACTCAAGCCTTCAACAACTCCTCAATTCTAGGCTCAATTGACTTTGGCTTGGTCAAGGATGAGAAACGCTCAACAACGTTACCCTCCTTGTCAACGAGGAACTTCTCAAAGTTCCACTTGATGGCTTTGAAGCCAAGCAAACCCGGCTTCTCGGCCTTGATGTAGTTGTACACAGGGTCGGCAGTGGAACCGTTAACGTCAACCTTCTTCAGGACTGGGAAGGTGACACCGTAGTTGGACTTACAGAAGGATTGGATCTCCTCGTCTGTCCCTGGCTCTTGACGGCCAAAGTTGTTCGAAGGGAAGCCTAGGATAACAAGACCTTGGTCGTGGTACTTCTTGTTCAACTCCTCCAACTCGGTGTACTGGGGAGTAAATCCACATTTCGACGCAACGTTGACAATAAGCACAACTTTACCTTCCAATTGCGAGAATGGGAACGGATTGCCCTCGGCGTCTAATGGGGAAAGCTCGTAAAACTTGGACATCTTTGGTTTACTTGGTTAAGCGAGATGAGGAAACAGCGGATAAGAGAAAGGACTTGACCCTCAAAGTGCTTCCCGTTTGTCTTATAAATAAATTTTTCCCCTTCGATGTTTAAAGTTTTAAAGTCCGCGGGAGGCGCGCCTTTGCTGCAACTCGACTTTACACCGAGGATTAATTACCGTCTGATTTCAAATCACCTACAACAAGGCGTATGCTCATGGTAGTTTTAAAGGCTGGAACTCATCCCGTTATATATTGATTGGTTTTTGTAGGAGATGTCCCATTCTTTCAATTTTTGTTCTTAGGTATCCATCCACCTCTTTACTCTTTATACCATCTTTGCCTCCATTCTTCCACGCGAGTGGAACCATTGGCACCCTTTCAACAACTTTGACGAGCTGATCCTTCCCTTCGACTGCAACAATCTTATCTGGATTGTTGGTGAGGAGCTTTATCTCATCGAGCCCTAGGTCTAGGAGTATAGCCGTTGCCAATGAAAACGATCTTGCATCTGCCGGATGTCTGAGGAGCAAGTTTGCCTGCACCGTATCAGCACCTAGATCTTGCAGGTTGTAGGCCTTCAGCTTCTCGCCCAATCCGATACCACGGCCTTCTTGTCTGAGATACACGATACACCCACGGCCAGCTTTCCCCATCAGACGTCCGGCCTCGTCAAACTGTTCACCACAGTCGCATCTTGCACTCCAAGCGGTTTCACCGGTGTAACATTCCGAGTGGATTCTCACCAGTGTCGCTCTCTCTTCTGGCGATAGTTTAGGCTGTACGAGGAACCCATCGTCGTCGAACTGGGCCACCTCGCCTGTGGCTTGATCCTTATCTGCCAGAGTACGTCCTGGTCGTAATCTACCGACATACGCGCCTCTTGTCATACGGTCGCTCTGTGTCTCGCCTTCACGGCGCCTAAACAGAGTCTTGGAGCGGATCTTTTCGCCAAACACGATCGCCAAATGCTCCTTATTATCAACATTGTTGGAATAGAGGTGTAGAAAGATCTCCTGTCCTTGTGTTGTTGGGATCCTTGCCCTTGCAACGCACTGGACCTCGGGTAATTTGGCCTCAGGAAGCAGCTCTCTCTGTCTCGCAATGTGTTCAGTCTCAACAACAGGTACCCCCAGTGGTGTGGAAGGTACAGACTGTGTTGGAGAGATGTGTGGTGATATCACTGACAAATCAGTGAAGAGCTCCTCTGAGCTCTGGCTCGTCTTCTTCGCGGAGGCATGGATAGGCTGTGGTTGGGCAATAGGACTTGACATTGTTCACGGACAAAGACAGCGGACGTATCTATTAGAGCACTGCGGTCTGTGGAGACTTAAATCGGGTGAAAACCAGCGGCAAGCGTTAGGCGGCAAGTAAAACCAATCTTCCTTCTCTAAACCAAATGGTGATGTCCTTCAAGGCAATGTCTTTTCCCGCTTTCTCGGTGTGTGAGTCGCCCTCCTTTTCGGTTTTTTTCGGTTTTTGTGTGTGTCTTCTCGTCCTCTCCAGTTTTCGTTAGAGCGCCGGTGATTTACGTTGGTGGGGGGAGAGGAAGTCCGGAATGAAAGTTCAAAGAGGAAAACTGTGGCGTTCTTCTGAGGTGGTGCTTTTTTCCGATTTGGGGTCGACAGACACTGATTTTTATACCAGGTTGAGGTGGTCAGTGGGAGGAGAGAACAATACGCAAGGAACAGAAGACTCTTTTCAGTGTGATGCTCCTCAGCATGCTGTTCACGTGTTGCTGACATATTCCACATGCTGGCACCACCATTTCCCTTTTTTTCGTATTCAATTGCGCGTAGTGTAGCACAGAGAAGACACCTGTTAGGCAATGACTAAGACGCGTATAAGCGTATTAGTAATAGCCATAGCACATCAACAGCCAGTGTCCGCCATGACGTGCGAGTACACTTGTGCGGGACTTGTTTTTTTTTGGTGCGTGTGTCTAATGTGTGTTTTTGCCTTGCCCAAGCACCAAAGCGGTTGAGTTGAGAGGTGCACACAGTCCGCTTGTTGATGATGCTGAGGTGATCCTTTCCATGGTTGTGAAAAGCAGAAGCTGCCCTCAGTCTCTCGCCGTCCGCGTCTCGCTGCTCTCCTTGTCGCCAGTCCCCGAGACCGAGCCACTGGGAATCGCAGCAAACTGACACAGCGCTCAAATCGCAGTTGCTCGAACCTACAACAACCAACGAGAAAGGAACGAAATGAGCGTTATGCCACCACTCACACGTAAACAGATACTCATAGGCTCGGGACTCGTTCTCTCCACAGCACTTGTTGGAGCCAGGAACTTTTGGTGGAAGACGCAGACCGTTGTTGAGCCACCGCAAACTACGAAACAGGGCAATAGGATCTTCCTGCCAGTGAGATTCGAAAACGAGGTGGATGACCTGTTGCTCATAAAGAGACCGCTGCTGTTGAACTTCACCATCAGAGGAGACCCGTATTGCAACAAGGTCACAGGCGCGCTACAGAGAATCGTTGCGTATGAAACGGACAAGAAGGTTAACATGGTTGATATAGAGGCGGACTTCCCAGAGACCAGGGATCTGGTACCAAGATTTGGGGTCAGGAACGTGCCAACCATCGTCGCCGTGAGAAAGACGTTCCCTGTTGATTACTACGTGGATACGAACCTGCTGAATGACCCGGAAGGCGAACCTGATTGGGCGAAACTGAAGGAGTTCGTCGAAAGAAATGCAGACCCCGCTGAGTAGTAGTTAGCTCTATCCAAGTCAATCGCTGTCGCTGGACGTCTGTTCATCTCTCTGGTCTGGCGACCAGATGTGTACAACACCATCGTAGAAACTGCACGTAGCGACCTTATCGCCTTGAGGACTCCAGTCACACCCGTAAACCATGGATTCGTGTGACCCCTTGTAATACCGAAGCACCTGTACTTGCTTGCTTTCATCCTCCTTAGAGCACAAGATACGCGCGCCATCATACATGCAACATGTCAGTAGCCTATTATCGCCTGGGGTGGGACTAGGAGCAAATCTCCAAACACCACCACCCAGGTCCATCTTGTCTCGTATACGAGGGGGGATCCCCTGCAGCAGTCCAACATCAGGTGTAACCCTGAGATCCAATAGGCGCACATTATCGTCATAGGAACCTGTCCATAAAGAATATGGCTTGTGCTCTAGCCATGATCCTTTGCCGTGATGGTTCCCAGGCTGGGAGGTTTGAATGGCAGTGACTCCAGCGTCGTGAAGCCGTCTAGTTTCGAAAATTGCCGTGCTTGAAGGTTCTCTAAGATCATGTGCCTTGAGGAAACCATCATCTCCTCCAGTGAATATCACGTTGGAGAGCTCAGCCATGTGACCAAAGGCACCAGTCCATGCCTGCAATTCATGTGAAGATGAGAAAAACTGTGGAGTTGAACAACCGTTAGAGCTGGCTTGAACAACTGCAACTGAGCCATCAGTCGCGGTCAATAGCAGCTGGCCTCTCTTGATAAAAGATGTGATAACAGATGTTATCAAAACGTCTTCTTCTTCTTCCAATATCTGCTCCTTGTGAAGCCTTTCCATGTGTCTGGACTCGAGGTCAAACCTCCATATCTGTAAATCACCGGTTGAATGTGCAGTATACACAATTGAATCGTCAAACGGACAGAACTTCAAGTCTAGAACGGCACCATCAGTGTTAAATGATTTTAAATGTTTGAATTTATTGTCGGCATCCACATGATAGAGCTCAATGGTACCTGTTCTGGATCGATCATCTTGCAGTTTATAAGTACCCAATAAAATCAAAGAGGAGTCAAGTGGGTGGTACCTTAGAGCACATGGAGGTAGTTCGGTTTTCGTATATGCAATGGATTGAGCACGTGGATATTCTTCAAAATCTTCCTCTGCAGCTTCTGACATGGTCTTGGAATAATAACTATGGGCAGTTTCTCAGACGAGTTGTGTCATGTCAAAGTCATCGGGGAAGTTGAAAATTTTTTGTTGCGGTGATTGAAAACCCTTACATTGATCATGACGATTATAGCAAAACATTGGCTCAGGCATCAATTGCTCACGATTCTAGATTCATGGTTCATACTTGTTTGCTCAATGTGAATAGAAAAAAGCGTATTTCTACCAGCGCTATCGATATATCAGCATTGTTAGCGGTTGCCCATAAGCTGAAGGTGCCCTTTGACACATTGAAAAAAAAACAAAGAAGAGTGCCCCACGTGGGGCTCGAACCCACAACCGTACGATTAAGAGTCGTAAGCGCTACCGATTGCGCCAGCGAGGCCCTTTCTTGTTTTCGTAGTTTTTCCGGTTTTTCCAGTTTTTTCGAATTTTTCCGCTTCTCCTGATTAGTCAAATTAGTGTACAGAGCTGAAGAGCACAAAAATATATTGCACAAATTTATTATGTCAATAAACGTAATGATCTTATGACTTTTAACTAGTTGTTATAGATTGTTTATGTTATTTGGGTACTTTTTCTACGGAATATTTGTAATATTCTTGGAATTTTTAATATCATAATTTTTGAATTATTATCATGGTCGAAGTTTCTGGTTAGATTTCCTGATAGAAAATGGATGTACCATAATTTTTTAAAAGTTGTTAATTTCGAGACCATAACATCATCGATGTTAATTCAAAGGTACTTTTCACGATTGACTTCCTTATATAATCATATCCACGTATTAGCGGTATTTCATAACTTGGAAAGCATCCAAAAAGGAATTCTATGTAGTTTAATGACAACTCACAAATTTAATGCACATGTATGCGTTGGCTCGAATACTTTCAGCCACCACCAAGTTGAAAAAAGAACCAATGTGGATCGAAAGCCTCGGGAAATTGTAGATCTTATCAAAACCTCTGTTGAACAACCCTGTAGACTTTGTCCATTGACAGCAGTGCACTTAATGGCCCTCTTTATCAAGGGAAGATCTAGGGGATAATATTAAACGACAGTCAACACTACATTCGAGCATGGGATAACACGTTATATCTTGATCTTTTGTCAATACCTCTATAGCCCAATCTCCTCCGGAGAGTTTTTACAGTGCACCGTCATGAGTCGGTAACGTGTAATGAAGGCAAAACAGACTAACGTTACTTCCACTTCATCCAAGACCTTCTGCTTTAATGATGCATATGGCACAGCTGTTGCATCAAGTGAGAGATTACCATTTAGGTTTAGTTCTGCCAAATATTTCAGCCTTAGGAGGACATTAAAAGCTGACTAACCTTTCTTGTGATCATTTGGCATCACCATCGAGTTCCTTTAAAGTGTTCTTTATTGCCGAGATCTGATCATCTTCCATGTCTTTGGAGACAAACTGTTCCTAAACTCAAAAATTGTGGTGGACCGTCATCCACAGCTAAAAGACATTTTTGGCTTGAAGTGTTACTTTTCAATTCTGTGATGGGTATAAGCAGCAATTCCAAAAGATTCAACGGATCTATACACCTGGCCCTATCTCAATTCACAAAGAACTCTATGACATGGAAGAAAAGAATGGTATTTTGTCCATCTTTTCTGTGGACCGCTGAGAATTCAAAGTTTGTCCGCAGCCTCGTAAAGTTGGGTGGGTATGACAGAAAGATTTTCCCCACTCGCGTAAACGAGATTTGACACAAATAAAGGGAGAAATTTAAAATTTCCAACCCTCCTCAAAACTTTATACGGTGATCACCAGTACCTCCCACAAACGTCCGACCGTTACGGAGACAGAGAGAGGAAAAAAAAAAAACAGGACAGTTCACTGAGGGGAGCTAGTCATTACTTCGCAGGGGGGAAAGTCCTAAGAGACATAGAAGCTGCGGATTTCCATTGTTAAGTCCCGTCCCATCCGTTTGTCTCATTTTGCATTCGTCTATATTGACATTAAAGTAAACGGCGGAGAAAAAGCAACATCAAACACCGTGTTCGTCTCATACCAGCACACCCACGTTTTACGAATTTGTTCCATCACACATATAATTCCAATTGCCTATCCTGAGATCACTCTGCGCTATAAGGAAACCATTGCACACGGAGACAGAGGACATAGCCATGGAATTGAAACACAGACACGTCAAACCTTCAAACCAGGATGCGAACGATGTAAACACCAGACCGGACAGGGCACTGTCCAATGAATTGAAGGACATTGCGCCAGAAAAAGTCCCATCGGTCAACGGCGTGAAGTTTGCGCCGTTGTCGAGACCCCTACACAGACGGTTAGAAACAGCTGCTGTGCTATGGCACACAGTCTCGATTCCGGTATTCATCACGATGTTCTTTGTACTATTGGCCATCCCGATATTTTGGATCTTCATGGTGCCCTACATCATATACTGGATCATGGACAAATCGTCGTCTAATGGAAGCGTTGTGTCGAGATACTCCGATAGGATGAGAAACTTGGAGATTTGGCAGCATTTCTGTAATTTCTTCCCCTTGACCCTATACAAAACCGCTGATATCCAGCCAACGTGGACAGAGGAGGAAGTGACGGATGAGTATCACACGTTTCTGTGGTTTAGATGGAAGAGAAAGCCGTATAAAAAGCTGGTGGCTACTGGTCCACAGTACATCTTTGCTTTGCACCCTCATGGCGTGGTGTCAATATCAGGGTTTGGCGGTATTGGCACTAACGGTGCTGGTTGGAACGTTCTGTTCCCAGGAATCAAGCCGTGTATGCTTACGCTGATAAACCAATTCTATGTTCCCTTTTACAGAGACTATCTTATGTCCATGGGGATAACGTCTTCAAGCAGAAAGAATGCACTGAGGATCCTAGAACAACACTACTCTGTAGGGATTGTTGTCGGTGGTGCACAGGAATCCCTGCTTGCAAGACCTGGGTCCAATGATATAGTCTTGGCCAAGAGAAAGGGATTCATCAAGTTGGCATTGGAAACGGGGAATACGGGGGTGGTGCCCTGTTATTGCTTTGGAGAGAACGACCTGTACAACGTGGTGAATCCAGGCGAGGAGTCTTGGGGCAGATCGCTGCAATTTTGGCTGAAGAGAAACTTTGGCTTCACAATCCCATTCTTCCACGCGAGAGGAATATTTAACTACGATTTTGGATTGCTACCATGGAGAAGAAGGGTGACAATAGTTGTTGGAAAACCAATAATGTTACCACATTCACCAAATCCAAATAAAGTATTGGTTGATCATTATCATAAGCTCTACGTTGAAGCCCTGGAGAAATTGTTTGATGAACATAAAGGTGAGTTCTTGGAGAACGGATCCGAAAAACAGCTGAATATTGTCGAATGAAATCATCACAGTTATATCTTGTTATGGTACACTTGTCCAGTCACTTTCTTGTATCCTTATTTTACTCTCATGTATTAATACATGTGGTTATTATTCGCCCTTCTTTATGGCGGAGCTCAACTCTTCAGTTAGAAGATCTGCTTTCACATCAACATCGTGTGAGTTGTCATGAGCACCTGCGGAAAATTCGATATCGTCCAATGACATGTCTCCCTCATCAGTGACCATCTTCTTTGCAGGGAGCTTAGAGGCATGTGATCTAGTCATTCTAGCTATATGGTAATTTGCAGGTGTCACACCATGATTTTGTGCCTTTGATTCCATAGGCCTTATGATGGAATCAGGAACCATAACCCGCCCTAATTTACAAACCTGATTTGCCCAATTCTTCACCTCATTGGAAGGGTTCTTCAAAGGCTTCCAATTGGGACGACATCCTTTGATCAGCTCTTTTATAACGTCCGAATGGCCCCAGCCTGATTCCCAACTCTGTCGCTGGAATCCAACTAGATGTGAAAACACACCAGATGTTAGCGCACCGTCTGAATAACCACCTTCTAGCAATGACAGTACAGTTCCGTTGCACTGTTTATTAGCCAATTTTACAGCATCAGATGTGAATTTCGAATAGAAAGACGTTGGAACGTGGACACCGTGTCGTTGCATCGTTTGAACTTCGTATTCGGAGGCATCGAACCCAGCACTGATGACGACAAATGCCTTGAACGGTGGGATCTGATGTCTCGGACTCTTTATCTTCTCATTTTGTCGTATCAAGTCCTCATGTTCCCTTCTCGCATTTGTAAGGTATTCATCAGCCTTTTGTAACAAGATGCTATATTTCGTTTGGTATAGCTTGTAAAAATCTTCTTCAGTGGTATAAGGTTGTAAGTGGACATTCCAGATGTTCAAATCATGAGCCATGATACATGTCGACGCGTTCTTGATATTTGTTGGTATGGCATATCCCAACTCTGTGGGGAAAGAGTTGATGTCATGAAGCGAGAAATATCCAACTTTAGGTGTATTGGCATCTTTTTTAGTATGTTCATCTGGGTCGTCATCTCCGTCTTCGTAGCCAGCAGAAATTTCACCAAAATCAGGCTCAAAACCCGCCTTTTGCCAGCAGATATCCTGAGAACCATCACCATGGTGTAAATCAAAGTCCAGAATAACAGCATGCGTAACACCTTGTGTCATTGCTGCGTACTCAATGGCAATGTGCGCGTTGTTTATCAGACAAAACCCAGAAGGCACACATGGGTGGCTATGGTGTCCTGGAGGTCTAATAGCGACAAACGCCCTTCTGGGGGTTTCATCGTCATCTTTAAAGATCGAATCTATAGCGGTTTCCACTGCACCAATAACACCTGTCAAAGCATCCAGCGAGGTCTTTGTCAAGTAGATGTCACCGCTATTCCAGCCATCTGGAACTTCAACTTCACCTTTCTTCAACTTTTCTTCACTCTCGACGCAGATCTTTTCGATGTCACCAGGCCAGTTCTTTCCATGGATCTTCAGCACATGTGGACTCGTCAAGGGAGACCTCTTTGTCGACGACATTAGCGTGTAATGTGCAGGGTACATAGAGATCGCTGCAGCTATCCCCATAGACGATGCGAGTAGCCTCTGTGGTCGCTCCACAATGGTTGACAGGTACGTCTTCGTCACCCAGTGTCTGCCAAACGAGTGTTTAGTAGATAAAGGTGATAGCACAACCAACGTCTTGCTCTTGTTCGGAATGAAGGTGGAATTCGTAACGATTTGAGGGTTTCTAGAGAGAAACTCAATGAACTCCTGCTTGAAGTCATGAAGCATGTCGTCCTGCTCGTCATTGACGTGATAGACGCTGTTGTCAGAGATCTCCAAGTTGGACAACACTTGAGATATCGCATCATCTTCTGCTGCGGTTGTTGCTGACATCTTTGAGGGTCGTATACACTGGCGGGTTGTTTCTCTGAGTTATGTCTTAGAGAAGCTTTGTTTGTTTACGTTTTTTGTGCTTGTGCGAATCACCGGGGATACGCACCGTTGCCCCCCTGCGGTTCAGAAGTTGCGTTTGTTGCCATGGAGATTTCTTTTATGCCTGTGAACTTTACAACGATGAGAGGGTTTCCGTTTTATTCTTAGTTGTATTAAGGGAACAAGGAAGTAAACAAGGAAGTAAACAAGGAAGTAAACATGGAAGGAAAAGAACAAATAGTACATATATGTGTCGTGGTAGTTTCAAATTCATTAGAGCAGGATTCACCATTCTGACTCACCGGTGGCCTTTTGGAAGGTGTAGTCCTTACCGTTGACGTTAAGAATACCATCTCTCAAGTTACATTTCCACTTGTTTTTCACTCTGAGGACTTTTTCATATAGACATAGCATGATCATGCCTTCGCCATCTTCGCCGTCTTCGTCAAAGCCCTCAGCGTCGTCGTCAGAGTCATCAAGGTCGGAGTTGATATCGTCCGAGTCCAAAGACGCCATCGTTCTCTCCTTCTTCAGCTCAGCATCTCTCTGCTTCTGCAGAGATTTTGCCAATTGCCCCTTATCGTCTTGCACCTCGAATGAAAACTCAGAGCCGTTGACATTTTGTTGCTGTGAATTGGTCCCTGTAGTACTATTAGTCGTTGTGTTGGCACTATTACTTGGGGTATTTGTATGAGAAGAGGACTCTGTAGATGTGACACCTGCAACTGATGAGGACTGGTCAACAGTGGTAGCTGTGCTGATAACAGGATCAGTCTCAGCCAGATGAGGAGCCCAGCTAAAATTCGCCACACGAGTCTGCGCAAGGTTATCACGCCAGATTTGGCGTAGATCCAGCAACGTGGACTCATCTATACCGATGTCTTCGAAATCTTGCCTGGATTCGTTGATCACCTCATCTATTATCTCCTCATAGGTCTTTGCAGCCTCCTTGTTCGACATGGTTCAAAAGTTCAAAATCTTCAAAAGGGGATAAAACTCTCTCGCAACACACACACACACACGCACACAATTTCCAACCAACCGGGGAAAGGAACACCAAAAAAAATAACACACAGAGTACGAGATTCACACCAATATATAGCCGATATATACGTGTAGAGCCTCCTGATGTATTCGTTGCTGTTCTCTTTGGATACCTTCTATACCTGTCTATATAGTTGTACCGGAAGGTATGTCCCTTTTATACGTTTTTTCGTCCACCACACGGTAGGGGACACAACTCCACCACTTTGGCCGATTTGGTCGGGTCCGTTGTCCTGGTAACCACAAATCATGTTTTTTCTCCCGCCGTTTGTTTTCTGTGTTTACTTTTCGACAATTTGCCTGGCGGCAGGGGAAGGTTTGTTTTGATTTTGCGATTTTCCTTTTCCCTTTCTTCACCCTTTGTTTCCCACAAACAACAACAGTGGTCTAAAGGCAAAGGAACAAGGAAAACAAACGCACACAGGCTATTGCAAGAGTAAGATGAACTTAGACGAGACCCTCACACCGTTGAAGGTGCAATCGTCGTTCCAAGTTGCTGGTGATGGAGAGGGAGAGAGTACTTTGACCAAGATTCCCCATGGACTGACTGCCAAAAGAAACCGTCGTAAGAGTTACCAACTGGAGAGAGGGTATAACGACAGCGACTTTGCTCATAGTCCGGTGAGAGTACCACTAACTGCGCCAAGGTTGAATGTTCTCAATGCTCGTCCAATAGGAACTCTTGAGATGACTAAAAGATCACTCATGTCTCAGCTGAACTCGATGAGGGCAACTGAAGGAAAAGAGAACAATGCTACTCCTTTGACTGCGAAGGCACTAAGTCCTGTTACTCTAAAGGAGATGGACCTGTCCAGATACTCTAGTCCTGGGAAGTTGTACCAAAAACGTCGCTCCTCTACTGTCGATGACATCTCTGATGAAACAGTTTTAAAGATGCAAAAGATCAACGATCTTCTCGCTGATGCCGAGGCTGAAGCTGAAATTGAAGCTCAAGCAGCGGAGCAAAATCTTGAGGATGATATCTCATTGATTGATACCACAAAGGATGTTATCGAGGAAGGTGCCGATGAAGAGTTATCCAGAATCGAAATCGGGATGCAAGATGAGAATGTTGAGCTGATGGATAGTAGCTTCGTCGAGCAGGATGACTTTGTTCAAATTGGCCTAAAGAATTGTAATGAAGAAATCATAAAGAACAATACCCTTTCAGACATTACAAACACAGCCTTTGACAAATTACCAGCTCAGAAGCCTAAGCTCTCTGAAAACGTTGCCGCATTTGAAGTCATTCCTATTAGTCCACATAAGAAACACAACGCTTTGGCATCCCCAAATAAGAAGCCATACTTTACCATTTCTCAAGTTCATGAGATCCAAGCTGATTTCAAGAACGAGGTTGAAGCTTTGAAGAAAAGTCTCCAAGGTAAATCCTCCCTGGTGCTCAACCTTAACGAAGAGATTAGTCACTTGAAAAATGAAGTTTATCAACTCGAAGATAATGTTAAATCGTTAAACTTGGAGAAGAAAGATATCTGTACCGAGAACAAACTCTTGAAAGCTGAACACGGCATCTTCAAGGAGAACATCGGTAGTCTCGAACAAACCATCGAACAACAGGATGGTAAAATTGAGAGAACGCAAATGGTAATTGCAAAGTTCAAAGAACGTGTTCAAGAGCTTAACTCCATCATTACTGCAAAGCAAGAAGCTGTTGAGGAAGCACAATCTGAGCTACAATCGAAATCCAGAGCCATTAAGATTTTGAACCAAAGAGTTTTGGATTTTGAACATCAGGCTAAGGATTTGAACAGGAAACTTCACCACTGCGAGGAAGAGTTGAACAATTCTTTGGAATCAAACACAACTTTGAAAAACAGAATTGCAGAGCTCGAGGCCAATGTCGCTGAGAAAGAAGGCGAGTATGAGCGTTTTGTTTCAAGTGTTGAGGAAACTATAAGAAAGCCATTTGAATCAGCTAAAGCTGAAGTAGAATCCCTCAAGTCTCAACTCAACTCCGAAGAACTTGAGTTAAAGGAGTCGCAGACACAGTATTCTAAGCTGACTGAACGAATCAACTCACTTGAAATGGAACTCAACTCATTAAACGCTTCGATGGCTGAGGAAAGACATCAGTTCGAACAACGTGCCTTAGAGCTCACCACAATTATTATGGAGAAAACCAAGGCCTTGAATCTTCAAACAGTTATTGCCGATGGTCTCCAAAGAGCAGTTAATACTTTGAAATCATCCTATACCCTACACAAGTCAGAGCTTGAAGCGAAGACCTCAAGATTAGCCCTCTTAGAAGATGAAGTTAACGAGGCTAAGGACCTTTTGGTTGTTAAAACCGCAGAAGTTGAAGAGTTGTCACTTGAGCTTAAGGAATGTGCTAAGACCATGAAGGAAAACAACAATGTATTCCAAGAGATTGGTTCTCAAAATACAACTTTGGAGGAGCGTGTTCAAGAGTTGACCGATTCGTTGTCCAAGAAGGAACAACAATTGACGGATCTTCGCCACCAGGTTCAAAAGGCCGAGACTGACCACATCACTGAGCTAGAGGCATTTCATGCAGAGTTGAGTAACCTTCAGTCACTTGTGACCAACAAGAACAACGAAATCCACAAGTTGAACGATGCGAACGACAAATTGCAGAAGAAGAACGAGTTCTTATCCTACGAGCATCAGGTCACCAAAGAGGAGATCGCCGACTACGACACCAGGCTATCAACGTTGAAAGCCAAACTCAACGAGTACAAGGAACATGCCTCAAGCCTGGAGGACTTGGTCCAATCAGTCGAGGAAGAAAAGGCACAGCTTGAAAGGGACACAGACCAGAGACTTCAACAATTGGCTGAAGATTTGTACATTCAGTACTCTAAGAAGCACGAACAGAAGGTCCAAGTGTTGAAGAAAGGCTACGAGAACAAATGGCAGACCAAAGTGTCCAAAGCCGAGTCAGAGACCGAGAGGTTAAGAAGTGAAGTTGAAGGGTTGAAAGCCCAACTCGAACAAGAGAAGTTGGAGAAGAACGAGATCATCAAGCTGTGGGATAACTTCAAAGCACAGGAGAAGATTGAGTAACTTTTGCACGAGCTCTCTCCATCTCCTTTTCCCCCTTTTATATTTCCTTATTAGTTTTTTTAATCAATTGATCAAATTTGTCGAGATGTCGTAAAGAGTTCCTAGATCTTCCTCCAGTGTTAAGCAGCGCGGTGTATATATCAAGTGAGTGAAGGCCATCACACACAACAAGTGATGTGATGTGGCCTCATGTGAAATTCACCAAGTCGCGTCATTAAGTTGTGCATGGACGTACCGAATATGGCCTTTCTGGAAAAAGTCCATTAATTCTCAAGCATATATCGCACATGGTGCTTTGAAAACACGAAGCGTTGAGCCTGACAATGAGGGTGGAGGGCTGCTTTTATGAACTTACCAAGATAGGGTTGGCGCGTTTTTAGTGCACCCGCGGGCCTCAAACCATTGCTGTGTAGCACGCTAAATGAATGTTCACTGAGTTGATTTCCTAAGCAACAAAACGGCGTCGGAGGTTCCTCTTTAGGGGGGGGGGGGGTTCGTACCAAGGCGGCCGCGTTTTCCTCCTCCCTCAGCCTTAGGACAAGTAGACAAACAACTAAAAAAAAGAGGAAAAGGACAACAGCGAAATTGCACTTTTCCAGAAGACTCAAAGGCTCATAGGGGTGAAAGACCAGGACATCGCTTTGTTCGCCAGACGCAGCTGAGCAGTCGAACAGTTCTCAGTGTCCATTCATTTGTGCAGCTCAATCAATCGAACTTGCTGTGTGTGTTGCGTGGAATTTGTTTATCAGTAGGGCCCCCATCTTCCACTTTACAGTTTGGGTGGGATTTTTCACGGGTTTTTGGGTTATCGGAGTAACCACGGCGGTTGAGCTGGGCGGTTGAGCTAGGCGGTTGAGCTAGGCAGAGAGCACAAACAGCCAGTGCGGTAAACACGCTGAGCACGCTGAGCAGGAGAGCAAAGGGCGAGAAAGGGTAGCAGAACAGAGCGCTGTGTGTCACGATGGATGTCGTCGCACCGAGTCACGTGGAGACTGATGTTTCCAACAGGACATCTGTGCAGTCGGAGGCCTCAGAGTTCTCGTTCGAGAAGGGCAAGGAGGAGTCCATACAGTATCAACATCAACATCAACAACAGCAGTACCCTCGGATGGCGACGTCTGCGTCGCTGCCAACGATCTCGAGTGCCTCTGGAGGAGGTGGGGCGGGTCATGTGGCCAATGACAGGGCGGCAAGCCCGACAAAGTCATATGGCACGGATATGGAGAGGTTAGTGAGACGTAATGGCGACTTGGAGAAGAGACTCAGCGAGCAAACAACGCTCATCAGCTCTATGAGCTCGCACATCGAGCAGCTGGAACAGATACTACGCTCTAACAACATCAAGTTCAAAGCGCTTGTTGATCCGAGGTCGAGGGCGTCTTCAGTATCCCGGCATTTGATAGCCGCTGACGGTGATGCTGGTGAAGCCAGTAGCACCAGTGAGACGCCTGTGCATACGAAGACGCTGGAGTCGTTGCAACTGCCACCACGGTCAGCTGAAAGGCTAAAGACGAGCCCTCTTAAGAACGATTCGAACTCAGATGAGCCATCACAAGGCCAAATACAGAAGCAACACGTGAGTGAAGTTGATGAGGAGTCCAGTGGAGCTCCAAGCCCTACAAAGGACATTAATGGATACGGAGCAATAACGCCGAATGGGGTGAGCTCTCCGCTAGAGTCAAAGACTCAAGTGGATTGGAATGCAACGATTGCTGCTTTGAGATATTCGCCTGAAGAGGACGAGGAACAACACCCGTCTCCGGTCTCGAGAGCACCATCTGGGGCCTCCACATCTGTGCCTAACTCAGCATCACCGTACTCTGGACGAATTGCACACCCGTCACCTACAAAGGTTGACAGTGGTGCAACGGCGAATGGAAAGGTGGATCGACCACCATTACGTGCACTTGAAACAGATAGATCGGACTCTACAGGCACCTCGACGTTGGCTGTCAACACTCCCAAGTCTACGACGCCTTTGAGTCCTCTGAGAATGCCGGTGCAGGGATCGATGAGACGCAACACTGTGACATCCCCAGGATTGGTGCACGGGGAACTGCTTGGTGAAAACATGAGTAAGACATCGACTCATTCAAACAATGTGTATGATTCACTTGGTGGTGATTATCAGAATGGATTCCAAGGTCACAGAGTGGCACATTCACACTCCTACTCAACACCACAGACACCAATATCGACACATAGCTACCCGGAGAAGCAGATAACTTTCCCAAATGACGTTCCTCTATTTGTTGAACCGACACAGTTGAACACGGTAAGACCAGAGGTGATATCCACGGTGAATGGTAACCCTTCAAAGAAGACAGATGATCCAATGCTGGTCATTGCCGTACTAGATAGACAGACTGGAAAGGAAATGTGGCGATTTAAAAAGACTTATTCACAATTGTGTCAACTGGATAATACTATTCAACCAATGATTAATGCATTTTCGTTGGCTCCGTTACCAGAGAAGACAGCATTCTTGACAAATATTCCTTCCAAAGTTGATTTGAGAAGACAGGCATTGCGTGATTATCTTGCTACACTTTTCTTAATCCCAAACATGCCTTTGACTGCTGCATATCAAATCGCAAGATTTATATCTCTGGACGTTGTAAATCTTCTGGATGAATCTAACATCGAGGCATTGAAGGAGGGCTGGCTGATACGCCGTGTGAAGGGAATAGGAAACAATTGGAAGGCAAGATATTGTGTTGTCGAAGGAAATTCTGTCCAAGTGCTTGAAACGCCCCAGGGTCCATTGCTGGAGATTATAGGAATTGCCGGTTGTCAAATTGGAAGACAGCCTGATGGTAAGCCTGGTGATGATAAATCCGCATATCGTCATTCATTTGCCATAATGGATCCAAAGAAATCCGCTAAAAACCCAGCAAAACACATATTCTGCGCCGAGACTAACGATGAAAGGGATGATTGGATAAATGTACTCGTCCAGGTGTTATTAGATGATGATCAGTCTTTGTATTCACAGGAATCTTCGTTTACGAGAACTCCAGTGGAACCTGTGGCTTCACAGTTGAACGCTTCGTTGGAATCACCAGCAAAGACCACCAGTTCACAGGGCGAGACTGATGATGAGAAGGAGTTGAAGAAGAACAAAAAGAGAAGCTTCTTCCCATTCCACAAGAAGAGTATCAGTGAAGATCTTGCTGATAGAACACAAAATATGCATATTCCAACACACCAAGACGTGAATATTGAAGACACTCTTGATGAGATGAACCTTGGAGAGGTTCAGAAGAGCATTTTCAAATGTGAATTGAGCCATGTGTTTGCATTATCGCATCAAAAGATTTACGGCGTTGAGATCCCTAGCGTACTCTACCGATGTTTGCAGTTTTTAATTTATAAAGCTGCAAGCAGCGAAGAAGGCATCTTCCGTCTCAGTGGTTCTTCACTCTTGATCAGACAGTTGAGAGAACGCTTTGATAAGGATTACGACGTTGATTTACAGAGCCTAGATCCTGTTCCTGATATTAACACAATAGCCGGATTACTCAAGCTTTGGCTCCGTGAACTACCATCAAATATCCTGACCAAAGAACTTTATCAAGATTTCAAGGAAACCACAGTTAAAAGATCACCAGAGGATACTGCAAGAGACTTTTCACAACTTGTTAAGAAGTTACCAAAGGTCAACCATGACGTGCTATATGCCTTGTTCAAGTTTTTGAACGAGGTGATCCGTAACAAGGATTTGAATAAGATGAACCTGAAGAATCTGTGCATTGTTTTCTCCCCAACGTTGAACGTTGCAGGAGAGATTCTTGTTCCTTTACTCGTGGATTTCAAGTGTGTGTTTGAAGGTGGTGAACCTGTAAGCGAAAGTGAGCGAGACGTTTTGGATTTGAGCATACCAACGTTTTGAAAGGACGTTTCCTCCTTCAAAATCGCATCCCATAACGGTAACCGTACATCGAGATGCCCTGAATATACATAATGTGATATACTCAAAGCCTTGTAGGAAGTCCAGCCAACGTTATCTGTACGGCCATCTAACAGATTCTACACAAATGTTTGCCATAAAAGTTATTCCAAATGCCCAAAGTTTGATTTAAGTGTATCGATATCATGTGTGTGTATATATATAGCCGAACGTGGCAGTATAAGCCACCGTTATACTGCTCCACTTGCCCCTACAGCTGCAGATTCGACTTTGGCATCTAAATGTGATGGCTGTCTCTTTCTCAACACGTTTTCGATGAAAGCCTCACCGGCCTTATACGATGATCTCACAAGTGGTCCTGAGGCACAGTAGAGGAATCCCAACTCCAGAGCCTTCTCTTTCCAGTAGTCAAACTTCTCTGGTTTCACGTACTCGACAACCTTCATGTGACGTTTTGTAGGACGCATGTATTGTCCAAATGTCACAACGTTACAGTCAATCTTTCTCAACTCTCTCAATGCATCGAGGACTTGTTCGTCAGTTTCACCCAATCCCAGCATCAGCGACGTCTTTGTCACCAAGTCAGGGTTGGTCTTCTTAGCAGTGTCCAGAACTGCTAGAGACTGACGGAAAGTTGCCCTTCTATCTCTAACATGAGGAGTCAAGTCTTCAACGGTTTCCAAGTTGTGAGCGTACACGTCGAGGCCCGACTTGGCCAAGATCTTCACCATTTCGAGGTCTCCTCTAAAGTCACCACTCAACACTTCGACTAAGGTCTGTGGAGCCTTTTGCTTGATTCTGCGCACAGTCTCAGCTAAGTGGTTGGAACCACCATCGACCAAGTCATCACGGTCCACTGTGGTCAGAACAACGTAGCCCAGCCCCCATCTGGAGATGGCCTCTGCAGTGTTTTCAGGCTCATGAGGGTCTGGAGCAGCAGGCTTTCTGTTCGTCTTCACGGAACAGAAACGACAGCCTCTTGTACAGGTATCACCTAGCAACATGATGGTTGCTGTGGCTTCAGACTTCTTACCACCCCAACATTCACCAATGTTCGGGCATTTCGCCTCTTCACAGACCGTGGCTAACTTCAGCTCACGAACGTCCTCTTTCACTTTATGGAATGATCTACCCTTTGGAATGGGGACCTTCAACCACGAAGGTAAACGGGCCTGAGGATCCTGTCTTGCAGCTTCCAGTGGATCAACGACAACCTTGGACGCCTTACCAGAGACAAAGTCGTCGAATGAAGGACCTTTATTCAGGGAATCAGTGAACACCGTTCTTCTTCTTCTTCTTCTAGGCTGCGTGCCTTTGTCAGAGGATCCTTCAACCCCATCAACGGGGTTCGAATCGTTCGAGTCCTTATCCAACTGTGGTTCCTGGGTAAGCGATGCAAGGGTACGACTGTGTATTGTAGCACTCTTCGAAAAGGTGGACACCAGTGGCTTAAGTCTTAGGGACAGCATCTTCCAAAGTTCTCTTGAGCGTTCAGGGGGGTAAATTCAGTGGAGCCTCGACGAAATGGCAGGAGAAGGGAAGAACTGATTGGTCCACACGTCAAGATGTTAGGCCATAAATGGAGAGCCCATACGCAATCAAAATTTTCTATACGCGGTGATTTGGTGTCCGGATGCCAGTGGGGGTAGCAGCGAGCGGTGACTCGGGAACGTGTGTTTGACTCCGATCAGCGATAAGGAATCACCACCGATAACGCATTTCCGAGGATTATTATCATTGTTGCTATTATGGAGAGATTTGGAAGTGCACTAATAGGTAGAGAACATTGGTATGCATTACATTATATGAGTATGAGAGAGTGTGTCTGTGTGATCTATAAGAGACGGTCGATACCTTCACTCTTGAACTGGTCTAGACTGTCCAATTGGTCCCACCATTTGAAGAGATAGCTCTCACAGATGAGCTTGAACCACGGTGTGAACACCAAGCTTTCGTCTTTGAACATCTCCTTGAGTTCCTCAGCGCTGACGTATTTGAGATCTCTAACTTCGTTGGCGTTTGGAACCAGCACTGGGTTGGCCCTGATGATGAAGATGTAGTCAATCTCGTGTTCGCCCCATGGTCCATTACTAGGAGCCATGTAGTGGATTCTTGTCAAGAACTTGAAGTCGTCCAAAGGGACGTATTTGGCGTCGATACCCAGTTCCTGGTCCAGCTTTCTCTGGGCCGCAACACGCGCACCTTGAACAGACGAGGATAAATCACCAGCCTTCCCCATCTCAGAATGGACCGCTAACGGATGAGAACAACATGTGTTTGTCCACATATCGGCGAATGTGATCTTCTCAGTGGCACGTTGCTGTAAGAGCAGCTTACCCTCATCGTTGAACAGGAACACGCTAAACGCCCTGTGCAAGAGCCCATCTTGGATATTCTTCATGATGTGGCACGTCTTCTTGGTGGCAGCACCAACAGGTTCGTCCTCGTAGTTCAAGACAATACACAGCTCCTCCATCAATCTGATCTGCTCCTCATCGTGCCCAGAGAGGATCTCATCACCGTTGGAAGACCCTTGGGATGTTGGCTTACCAGTGGTTGACGCAAGCGGTGTAACGTCAAACTGCGACACGATCTGTTCAGACGTGAGCGATTGCACCTTCTCTTTATAACTCGTAACCATTTTACACCCTGAGCAGCTCACACGGTTGCACAACAAGACTTGTCGGTTTGTTTACCTTGTCGTTTAACTGGTTTTGTTGTTGTTGTCGTCTCTTAAAGTTTTTTTTTCCCTCTCTATGCTCCGATCGCAGGCTAAACGAAACCAGACGAGACAGCCGGGTAACCCACACAAGGCACCTCGCCAAATGGGCCACGAAGGCGAGATTTCTTCTGGCCACTTTTCACAGCTTTTTTGGACGTTTTGCAAAAGTGGACAACCCGAAAATTTCGACAATTTGTCCAAAAAGGACACACACACACTTAGCCATTGTGTCAGCAGAAAGACTAACCACAGCCGTTGTCCAATAAAGCCATGTCCGAAGAACAGGAGTTCAGAGTCCAGAGACGTTTCATCAAGTCTCCTGATACGAAGAGCAGGGACGAGGCAATCGCAAAGATCAATGCCGAGATCAAGCAGAAGGATGCTGAGTTGGCCCAGATCAAGTCCCAGTTGGCCAACGCGGTCACCGACCCAAAGGTTTCCAATGAGCGTAAGGCACTGCTGGACGAGCTCAAGGAGCTGAGAAAGACCCAGGGCGACCTGAAAGGTAGACGTACCGTCATCTCTACAAGAATTAGAGAGATTGACAGCGGCCTGAAGAGAAAGATCTCTGAGGTTCAAGCTGTCACCTCAAAGTACAACTTCAAGAGTGCTGCCGACGTTGATTCTCGTATCGAGTCACACGAGGATGAGATTGCCACTGGCCACTTGTCCCTTGTTGAAGAGAGAAGATTGGTGAAGGAGATCTCCAACCTGAGAAAGGTTCGTAAGGATTTCTCCAGTTTATCAGCCCAGCAGGAGTCCATCGACGCCGATAAGGCCAAGATTGCCGAGTTGAAGAAGGAGCTGTCCACCATCAACTCCCGTGAGATCTCAGAGAAGTTTGAGTCCGTTCAGAAGAAATTGGATGAGTTGTCTGTCTCGAACAAGTCCGTCAATGAAAAACGTGATGCCCTGTACAAGAAGCGTAACGCATTGCACGCTGATAAGGATACCCTCTACGCCTCTCTTAAGAAGACCCGTGACGACTTTGACAAGCAGTTCAAGGCATTCAAGAAGGCTCTTGCTGACGAGCGTCAACGTGTTGCAAATGAGGAGGCCAAGTTCAAGACTGAAAGGGCCAAGTCTGAGCGTAAGGCCAAATTGGACAAAGAATTGGCTGAGGCTTCAAGACCAGCCTTCACCTATGAAATCGACACAATCCACGCCCTCTTGACATACTTTGATCCAACTTATGTCAAGCCGGAGGAGGAGTTTGGTTTCAACTCAACTAACGGTGCAAAGAAGGCCACCCCAGCTGTTGATGCTCATACACAGGACTACGTTGTGATCAAGAAGGAGAACGACGTGTTCCTTGCTGGTACCAAGACCGGTAAGAAGCACAAGAAGTCGTCTCAAAAGAAGTTCACACTGGAACCAGATGTTATTTCTCAGTTGGGCGATTTGGACCTTGGATTGCCAACTTCAAAGGACGACGTTCCAAAGATCATTGAGGACTTGAAGACCAAGCTAGACAAGTACTCCTCTGCCCAAAAGGAAACCACTGAAAAGAACATTGAAGCTGCGAAGGCAAAGATCGCTCAATGGGAGGCCAAATGGGCCGAAGAAGATGCTGCAGAGGCTGCAAAGGCTGAAGCTGATAAGGAGAATGTTCCTGAAGAGGAGAATGTCTCTAAAACTGAAGAGTAAAGACCTAAGCATGGCCCCTCCATTCCTTACAGAACTTCATCCACCGAAAATAACTATGTAGAAACCAATTATTTAGTTTCCAATATTGAAACACATGTATATGGTGATAATATATATCAACAGCTAATAATCTGTGTCATACTTGTACTACATCATTGTAGGTTATAAAAAAGAACCCAAATGTATTACATGATGAACTTCAAGTTTACATCAATAGGGTGCGAAGCACTCAACTGTGGTTTCTGAGAATACTTTCCAGCCATTGCATTTCTCATGTTGTTTAACAAAGAGATATAGGACTGATTTGGTTGCGACGCCATAACGTTGATAAACGAATACGACATGGCACCTGTAGCCATACCGTACTCTGTGGTGTCCGCCGATGTTTGTTCGTCCTTAGAACCAGAGAGCATAATCACATCAGCTGGAGATGAATTCTTGATGATGACCTGCTGTCTATTGGTATCACCTCTGGTGGCTCTGGTAAATGCAGAGCTTAAGGAATCGAAAACTCCACTGATATTACCTTGAGCGTATGACATGACAGCGTTCAAACCGTCTTTACCCACGTCCTTCAACATGTTTGGTTCCTTGATAACACCCTTTGTGGAATAGGCAAATGGCAAGTCCAGCGCAGAACCAGAATGGCAAGAGTCAAAGAATGCAGTGAGTCTTGCACCTTGTGGTAGAGGTCTCACCATAACCTGATGCATTACATCGTCAATAATGGAACCGTTTGTCTGGAAATCAACGGGATAGATGCAAGAATCATAGCCTGACTCTTCTTCACCTGTCAAGTTCTTCTCCAATCCACCGTGGCCAGAGTAATGGAAAACCAAAGAATCATTTGGCCTAGCATCGGCAACGAGCCATTGCATTGCTCTGAGGATGTTGGCTTTTGTAGGAATTGATCTCTGATCACGTTGATCATCTGTCAAGACAACCATGTCTTCCTCCTTGTAGTTGAACTTATCCATGAGGAAACGTTTCATGGCATTGGCATCGTTTATACAACCACGGAGCTGATTCTTCGAACCGAAATAGTTGATACCAATGATGAGGGCCTTACGCTGACCCGTACATTGCGAGTACTGGTACTCGAAGTTTGTGTTACCCAGGTGTTGCATCTGGGAAGGTGGACCACTCATACCGTTAGGACCGGCATAGTTGTTACCGCTGTTGTTGTTGTTGTTGTTAGAACGTGAACCGTACTGTTGTGACTGTTGCTGGTAACCTTGTGGAGCATTCTGCTGAGGACGCTGGTACTCTTGGCTCTGGGAGCTTTGCTGCTGGTAGCCCTGCTGATAGCCCTGTTGCTGGTAGCCCTGTTGCTGGTAGCCCTGTTGTTGGTAGCCCTGTTGTTGGTAGCCCTGTGGTGGGTAGCCAAAACCCTGAGGTGGTGGGCCTGGAGGTGGTGGCCCAGGCGGAGGGCCATAAGGAGGGCCCGGCGGACGCTGGTACGGCGATCCTGATGGAGGACCGTAGGACTGCTGGTTCTGGCTATAGCTCTGTTTCTGCTGACCGGGATACATCACACTAGTGCTATATATGGCCTAAGTGGCCAGGAAACGGAACAAGATCATGGCCATCGGTGTAGAATTTCACCTTTGACCACTTTCTTCCGACAGGGCGTGGGCTTAACAGAGTAGGCGAAGAAGTCTGCGCAATGACCATCTTGGGATTATAATTTGACTGTGGGCTGAGCAGCGCAATCGGGCCAAGGAGCTCCCCCCACACGAACCAACACAGGTGGCAGTTTGAGATCAGATCAAACACACTTAGCTCAGAACCCGTATGCTGGTTTTGGGCTCTATCAATTGAGGCCACGAGGTTGTGAGCTGATAAGTGGTTTGTTGACATCCGAACACCAACGGGTATACTGCAGATATGCATGCTGACGTATATGGCACGCACATGGTTGTCTCTTGAAGTTCTCTACAAGTGCAAATGATAGAGCGATTATTGCTATAAATAGGAGCATTCAATTGGAATGCCGTTATCTCTTTCTTGCGAAGATGTAAGTTGTACCCCACTCGGTGTTGATCTCGGTGTCGTCGGTCCAAGCACAGGTTTCTTTCATCTCGTTGATCATCAGGTCTACGATGTCGACTGTGGCGTTTGGGTTTCTCTTTCTCCAAGTGTGAACTGCGCTGAAGGAGCCGAGATAGCCTCTGAACTTTTGCATGGTGTATTTATCATCTCCTAGGAAGTAAGCGGTACGTTTCTGTTTCTTCTCTGGATAGTAGTCCCATTTTTCAATGTCCTTGAACTCCGATTCCGGTGGGTGAACGTCATCGAAGAAGTATCTCAGGAAGTCCTTGCCAGGCTGAATCCAGCACGGACCCATGTACTGAGGGTCTTCAAAGACATATTTCTCGTAGATCTTATCAGCCTCAGGGAAGTCAACAAACCTTGGTTCGATGTATCCCCAGAAGGCCAATGTGCCACCAGGTTTCAGCACTCTGGCCGCTTCTTGGAAGAAAGGTTCATGCTTGATCCAGTGGAGCGCCTCTGCACAGATTAAGACATCAACACTTGAGGATTTTGGCACCACATCACGTAGATCTTCACCCGGTGAGACCTTAAATTCGATTCTGCCCTTGTGTTTGTCACTGATGGACTCAATACCAGGTTGAATCATAACAGGTGACGCATCGGTAGCAATTACTTTATCAACATACTGTAACAATGGGAAAGATGCCACACCGGGACCACTGCCAACGTCCAGAGCCAAGTCTCTATCTCCTTGGTGATAATCGAAAAGTGCCTTGTACAGAGAAGGCGGATACCTTGGTCTCTGTGAGTTGTAGTTGTTCGAATCGTAGTCCTTCTCAGCGTATGTAGCCATAGGGTTTAGCTTGTTGGTTAGTTTCACCACATCAAGAAAACATTTGGATGTGACCAAGCACCCCTCTTTATATAATAAATCGCAATGTATGATTCATCTTGATCTTCATGGATAAAATACGTAAGTTTGCCTAACTAGCCGTTACCGGGCCGGTAACGGGATCAGCTCCAACTATGGTAAATACATTTGGCAATGAGAACCAGTTCCTTATTCGGAAGTAGGCCGTTCATGAAAATGTGCCATTCTGTGCCTCTTAGAAAGTCCAAGAGACAGCAAAAAGGTAGTGATTTCTTTAGAGGAGCATGAACGTGCTCCGTGTGTGTCTTATTGAGATGAGACAAGACACTTGATGATGTGTTCTTCGGGGTTCAGCTTAATGCCTCCAGTTATATCGACGTCATAGTATATTTTTCACTAACAGTAGGATGTTTATTGTTCCATTCGCACGGTGTGGTTAGTAGAATAGTTGATATGATAATAACAATAAGAATAATCTAAATAACAATATAATTCATAAATATAAGAGATGAAGATTAAATTCTAGGAACTTTATAAAGAAGAAGCACAATGGTTCAAGGAGTACCTTTTAAATCATTATAGAGAAGCACTCGAATCTTGAGGATTCGTGCTTCATGTTGTTTTCACATCCCAAAAAGGATGCGATAATTGTAAAGTGTTATAGTAAATCACAGCTGATATAATTCAGTGATAGGCCCGGAAATCGAGTCCGAAGGTCGAATATCACAGCTTGAATTGCCCATATCGGACACTTTTCCTACCACAAATCAGTTTTGCTGTCATTTTGCTGTGTCTTTTCGTGCCCTGACAGCAGTTTCACATTTGGCGCAAAAGTCTACAAAAAAGTCTACAAAAAAGTCTACAAAAGGAGCACCGTTTTGGGCAACAGTTGAAGCCCTTTGATCCAGGTAGTTTTGACTTTTAAGGCGAGTCCGATCTTGGGGGTCAGCGGACCAAACAGAGATGTAAATCACCAATGAAGAGTATGACACCCACTGAATCATTCACAGCTGATAGCCAGCTATTGAGTGGCTATAATTCTGGTGACAATTGACGGACCACACGTGACTGATTTGAGAGCTCGCTTCCTATCCCACAAGTCCAGCCTTGACACCCAACATTGTGGGTGGTCAGACAGAGTTGCGACAGGTGGCCCCCGTTCGTGCACACAGGCGGGTTCGGCTAGAAGACGCATACTCTCTTCAGACTGGTCACCACACAGAGGAGATTACGATTACGATCACGATTGGAAAAGGACAAAACAAAGGGGGTCGAGATCTCGTACGTTTTAAATGCACAACTAAAGTTTGACTCTCGCCTTGGAAGTAGAGTATTAACGTTATTTGTTTTGACAAAATGAATGATCCCAAGATTAAACTCAAATATTCCGAGATGCTACAGTATCACATAAATATCAAAGGATCTTCTTTGACTTGTAATATATATCACAATTAATCTTCAAGGATTCATTAAGAAATGATTTAAAACAGTTGCCCCAGAGGGGTTTTGTCCATCTATTAGAAGGTGATACTTCCTGTTATCCAGGGATGACGACGGCTGTCGATTCGCAGGGACCAGCACATCGAATATGTGGCCCATGCGGGCAGGACAGGGTGAACCTCCTACTGGGGCAGTAGGGACCACCCATGCTTTTCTATGCAGGGATGTCTAACTTACATGTTTGTGGGGGGGGGGGGACAGACCTATAAGTTTGTGCGAGTGTGTGGAAAAGGGGGCTTTTAAGCTCATCATCAGCAGCTAAAAAACAAAACACTACATGTCTACTGTATATGCTTTTGATAGATGTCTCGAATTGGCGCTATGAGCTGTGCTGTGTGATCGTGGATCCCATTTTGAAATTCAAAACAGGAGCTCAAGATCATAACTTCCAAACCATGAGAGGTTTTGGTCAGTCTTTCATGTAGGTTGGGAATATAAGCTTGAATTACATAAAAAAGACAATCGATGTTCTAATTTTGTCATTAGTTTGACTGACAGAGAGTATGCAGGACTAAACAATGAATCTCAGCCAACATTTCACATATGACTCATTGTCTGTAGGAGGACGCAGACAAGTTGCAGAGATATATAAGTACGGTCGCCGGACTTCATCTTCTAAGGTTGTCCACATACTCAATCATCAAGAAAATGCTCACGAAACTTCCTATTAACCTTTTGCTTGGTGTCTTGTCTTTCTCAACTGCATATGCCCAAGCCGAAGATGCAGGCTCTAAGATTCAATTCCCTGTCACAGGTGGGGTTGTCAGTGGCCCAACAAGGGTAAATTTTACCTTCTATGGTACAAACTCCTTAGCGGAACAAGATGGCTACCGTCTTATAAATGTTGGAGTTTACAATGATGAGTGGGATTACGAATCGGGAAGTGCATCAGCTATACCATCAGAAGGGATACGGGTTTTGTTTGAGGCAAGTTCTTATCTCGCAGCAGTTGGTGATGGAATCCGCTACGACGCTCCTGCTGCTGTGTTCGACGTTCCTGGAGATGATGGACTTCCAGACGATTATGTCTTCATTCTGTCAGTAATAGGTGATTATGGGTCTCCGAGAGATATTTCTGTTACTTTCGAGGCTACTTTCAGCAACGAATTCGGGGTGAATATTGGCGAAAGAGATACACTCGTGAAGTCATTCAATATGTCGATGACGATTTATGAATTGCCAATAACATTCGACCCTTCGAGCT